CAGGCCGCTGTCACTGGCATACTAATTTCCGTCATTGGCGCGAATAGCCATGAGCAAATGAGCAGATAGACGAGAGCAGCAGAGCATCCTTTTAGCAGAGGCGTTACAGCTACGCCTAGCAATTGAGCAGGACTTGGGCGCAGCAGCTTCAGTAGAGTTGATTTATTACATCACCTATGCTGCTAACAAGTCTGTCGAAGACTCGAAATTCTGGCAGCCTTTGAACGCCTGTCTCTAATCAGCACGGGGTAGTGTCTTACTTGAAGGTCATGACTCCGTACGGAGTACGTACATTCCTGTTGAATGCTCCTCGTGCATGATGCACTCAACGCCAAATCAAGACACAACCCGAGCGCCCACGCAACCACGCTACGCGCCACAGCACCGAACGAACCATCAAGTTAAGTCGCGCGCACCTTGTGGCTTGCCAATAATTAGATGGGCGAGCGGTAATTTGAACCGCATCCCATCTGCCCCGTGTGCCTGATGCTATGCCCAGTCATGAAGTCCGGCTGTTTCGACACGGAGTGTCCCAATTATTATTTGACTAAAGCAGTCCATCTTTTTGCTCGCGCAAATTCGTTCAGATGAACAAAGCCGCCGTTGCTGATAATACGGCGGCGGTCGTTGAAATTTGGGAAATCTGGCTTGGCCCACGGAGACGAGTACGCAGACAGGATTCTCGAATTCGTGATGGATAATCCAACAAGTATCCATACGCATTAACTGCAAAATGCGCACTTTCTCTAGTCCACATGACTTCCGTTCCAAATTGAGAATTAATTCAGACATGGGATCAATGGACCAACTCGCCATCTTTGTGTCAACAAATATCATACCAATGGTGTATCCTTTCATTGCTCGACGTCATCGGCGGTCGGATACAGGGATACCCTTGATTGGCGGACCTAGGCTGGAGAGTGTGATACAGCAGGCACCCTATTATACGTATGGTGTCATCTCTGGCGGCAGACGAAAGTCAATCAGCGTGGTTGGTCATCAACCCTCTTTTTGCTTCTTGACAGCAAGATTATCGAAGTGGTTCCATTAGGACGTCGACAGAGACAACAACTTTCATCATCAGGGAAATCAGGCTTCTACAATTTCAGGTACAACGCAGCTTGAAGTGTCACTTCATCCAGTACTATAGTGAGGTTCCGGGCCCTCGACCAGGGGCAGCAGCAGCGGCTTTAACCGTCCTAAGGCGTTCCAAGTGGCGCTGCCAAAACTTGGCGCCTCCCTCCACCACAAAGACAGCACACCAGGTGGCGTGAAGCAACCTGCCGATCAAGGTGGAGTGGGTGGAGGGCGAGGCTGCGGGTGCTGAGTCGTCGCGGTTTGAAACCGAGCCCCATAAACAGTGTTTTGCAACTTCACCGCTTCTTTGAACAAAGCACGCAGATTTGCTTTCTTGAGACCATTCCAAACGATCTGCAAGGAACCAGGAACAGACACGTGTAGATTCCAATCAAGGCGCATGACCACGTATCGTGTTTGAGTCTTTCAGCACATGGAACAAACTGGGTCGACATTCTCGGCATCCCTGTGGTCGGAACGGCGATGGCAGAGACGTTTCAGTAAAGAGCCAAAAGGTCTATCTAATCTACTACGTAGCACTTCGCTGGGGCTCACTAAGCCGCCTGCTTCGGATCGGTGTGCGTCTCCAACAAGGATCGCCCTGTCTTGCTGGCCACGCGGGACTGTATATTCGTTTCACATAGTACCCGCCGTTGAAGAAGGTGTTTTTGCGGATATGTGCTCCGTATAGGCAGGCCATTTCTTGGACATGACAAAGCCAACTCAAAAAGCTTCCCAGCATCGACTCATTGCTGTCAATAGGGCCATTGGAAAAGGCTTCAAGACGCGCTGACTCGGGACATACAACAGGAGAGCCAGGCCCCACGGAGGATATCACCACCGGGTAGTTAATAATTGACGGTAGGCCGTCAACGTTTCGCTTTCGGCAACAACGATCAGGGAGGAACTTGCAAAACGAAATGGGCCCGCTCTCGCACCCACAAGTCCATCTACGAAGCGATCGAGAGAGGAGCTGCAGAAAACAAAATGTTAAACGTTGAATTCGCAGCTTTGGGGGCAGCACTCTCGACAAGTTCCCGCTTGGCGCGGCTCGGAGATGAATGCCACGGCCGATCATTGGATGACGATGCTGGGCCTGCCATTCTTTGATGCATTAAAAAGGAGCTTCGAGCTATCTCACCAGCTCATCCATGAAATTGAAGGCGGGCAATGAAAGTCTGAAGCGGCCGCGAACCCTCCCGGTGTTGATGGGTCACTTCTCTGCGTATGTCCACGTACGAACGAGCAATTGCTCCCGACACAATTCACAATTCTACTCCGAGTCCGTACATACGTCCACATGCAGAATGTTGGATGCTCGTCATGGACCAGGGGTTGAGCCCGAGCCCGGGGTCTAGCAGCTTGCGGTCAAAGAGTGCCCCCCCTCGTGACCGCCGGAGCATGGGAATCGCTGGCCTTGGATTTGGCCTTCGCCAGAGACGTGATATTACTACAGATGAGAGTTTCCGGGGCCCTCGAGCATAGTAACGTGGAGTTCAGACTATTGTGTGACCCGCCAAATGTGTAAGGGCGCATGCGCTCCGGGCTCCGCCTTCAGCTCGGCATTCTCACGAATCGTCACATCGGCCGTCAATCCATCCATCCGTCTGTGCTTGCACCAGCTGGTATCTATCTGATGGGCAGGCAAGAAACGTCTGTCAGCTTGTTCAGACCTGTGTTGCCAAGCAGAACCAAGTTCAGCATGTGACCATAGTTACTTTTTGTCAGCAGTCATGACGGTAGGTAGGCGGTCGATGTTCGGCGTTCTCGCAGCAGCTAGCAGCGTTCTAGTTTCTCACATGCATGCTGCTTCGAATCCAGCGGCGACGGCTTGCGTCATGTCAGGAATATATTGTTGGGATTGGGTTCGGAGGGATTCGGCGCATAATCTAACGTCTGTCCCTTCAAGTCTCAAGTTCGCCAGACGACGAGAGCATCCACTCGACCGTCGGGTGGTCTTTCACAGTTGCTGATGCAAAAATTGGATGAAAAGGCTTCTCTTGACGACGACATGTCGGTCCTGCCGTGCTAAGCCTGTTACCGGAGATGGCCGTCAAATCAATGATTCTGGTGGCTCTCTACTGGATCATTGCGGGCTTTAGTAACACGCGGACCAAAGGGTGGCGTGTGCTCCCTTCCGACAAGTCAGAATTTCCGAAAGTCAAATCCGCAACCTAGAACCATTCGATGCATGAATGACGAATGTTTCATCCCAGGTCGTCTGTCCCCAAAGCATGCCCGTCCCCGCAACTGATGACTGGGAGCGCATCCATTTCTGGCCTTGACAGAGGGAAGGACTTGACCTTGGCAGAGGTTACGTTGGCCGACAGTACAGCTGAACTTGTCATGGCGAGTTAGCCTCATTCGATAAGGGCGTCGTTCTTGTCGCGTCCCAGGTGGCGATGGTCAATGCTTGCTGACTTGGAGGCCGTCTCAATTGACTCTGGCCCAAAGCATCAGCCTCTCGTTGGGCAGGGCGTGAATCTCAAACGGCCGCGCGGCCGTCTGCGTAGCTCGGTTCAACGAGCGGTACTCCGTACATATGGAACTTGTTCCGAGTCTCGTGGGCAAAATACAGCCACAGTCAACTGCCGGCGGGCGTTCCGGAGCGGCCCAGGCTTCCGGTTCAGGTCCAGCCTGGCCAATTCACATGTACGACGGACGTGGCATCAGCGCCGCCAACAGCCCGACGCAAAGGGCAAACGCGGTACTCGGTACTCGTATTTGAGACGTTGTAAAATGAGGGCTGGCGCACCTTGGTCAGGTTGCCCATCGAGAGTCGTGGTTGGTCGACAGGCAATTGCTCCTGACGAATGAAAGTGGTGAACCATGTCGACAAGATCTCGTATGGAAACGGCTAGCAAAGACGCTTGGTCATCAACATGGGATTGTCAACGCCGTCTGCCAGTCTCGACTCAGCCTTGGGCTAGTAGGGCGAGGCAGCCCATTGACACAGCCCAAGGTCGTTGTTTTGGCTCATGCTGCAATGACCTGTCCCGTTTAGTCCGTCCATCAATTCCGGGCGAAGTGGTGAAGGAGGGCACCTCAGCTGCAGCTGGTAGCTTGGCCACGATGGGCGCATCAGTGCGTCGTCGGCACGACAAGGCCCTGGCCACAGAAGAGCTGAGCTGATGGTCCCCTTGGTCGAGATATCTCACTACGCTGGCACACCCACAGCTTCCTGGCGAGAGGCTGGCTACCTGTTTTGGTGCGGGCGCTTTCGAGCCAAAAGTGTTTGACGCGCCACCCGCGCCTTGAAATTGGCCCCATTTCCGCAGAACAAGACGGCTAGTGAACCTCATCACGGGGATGGACATGCAAGGTGGTCTCGAGCGGCGCAGCATTCCGGCAGGCGTCGATGTAGCAACGCTGGAACCGTCAATTCTCAGCGTCTCTTCATCAACGTCTTTGCAACCATCGAGTGTGGGTGCATCTGAGCGCAGAAGCCGTCAGCAACGTACCACGATATGGGACAAATTGGACTCGTGAGTTTTATCAGCACCATGCACCGGTACGTGGGTGCTCCCTTCAGGCAAAACTCAAAATTGCCATTACATACTTGTTGTATTGCTTCACCCTGCACGAAGCATCTTCACCCACGGGCCTTTTTTATCATTACTCCGGGTGCGGGCATGGTAATCCGTGCATGAGTGGAGTTGTTTCGAGAAGGTACAATTCAAATGCCCGTACGTGCTCCGTACAATGCTCTGGGTTCCGGGTTTTGCGGGATGCATCGTCATGAGCTCTGGGAGATGCAATGGATGCAATGGGCCCCTGGATCAAGTCAGTTGCCGCCACTCATTCACAGCTACAGTAGAAGGGACATGACCCGTCGTGTTCTCAACGTTCTCTCCGGACGCCTTATGGTATCCTTCAAGTTCAGTCGACACCTTGGCACCAACTTGTTTGTATGAAGGCGGCGCATGTCGTGCGAAGACGAAGCAAGACACGGAGCCGTTCAGCCGTTCAATTGGCCCGCTGCCAAGCCAAGACCCACCTCCAGCCCGCCCGGCCGCCGGGAGCCAAGTGGAAATCCCGTGACTTTTCTTGTCGACTTGACAACCGTCCTTCCTCCAATATCCCATATCCCGTATCTCCCATCCCGCATCCGTCCCCAGCGAGCTCCCTTCGCCGACGAGCGGAGCGTCGGAATGGACTACCAGAATCGTGCTGGCTCGAAATTCGGCGGCGGCGGCGTCGCCTCCCACTCCGCCACCAACGCCGACCGCCGCGAGCGCCTGCGCAAGCTGGCCCTCGAGACAATCGACCTCGACAAGGACCCCTACTTCTTCAAGAACCACGTCGGCTCCTTCGAGTGCCGGCTCTGCCTGACGGTGCACCAAAACGACGGCTCGTATCTCGCGCACACGCAGGGCAAGAAGCACCAGACCAACCTCGCGCGCCGCGCCGCCCGCGAGCAAAAGGAGGGCAAGGCAAACATCGACCCGGCCACGGGCCTGCCCTCGAGCGTCGCCGCCTCCTTCGCCGGCGGGCCCCGCCGCAACGCCGTCAAGATTGGCCGTCCGGGCTACAAGATCACAAAGATCCGGGACCCCGTCACCAGGCAGCAGGGCCTGCTGTTCCAGCTGCAGTACCCCGAGGCCGCCGCCGACATGAGCCCCAAGTGGCAGGTCATGAACGCCTTTGCCCAGCGCGTCGAGGAGCCCGACAAGACCTTCCAGTACCTCCTCGTGGCCGCCGAGCCCTACGAGACGGTCGGCTTCAAGATCCCCGCGAGGGAGCTGGACAAGAGAGAGGGTCGGGGCTTCTGCTTCTGGGATCCCGACGCCAAGGAGTTCTGGATACAGGTCATGTTCATGACGGAGCGGGAGGAGAGGTTCAATGCCGCCCCCGGGCTGGCTGCTAGGAGATGAGCGGCCTGCCGTCGAAACGTCTGCCAGGCAGGACAAGGAGCTTGCCCAATCGTCACAGGGGCCCATGCGAGACTGACAACGACGACGACGACGACGACGACGACGACGACGACGACGACGACGACGACGACACCACCATCATGCGTCAAAGGCGTCCTCGTCAAGGGCAGCTAGCATCAGAGTCAGCAGCAGTCTAGGACTGTCAAGGAAGAATCAGGACAGCAGGAATGCACTGCACGGCTACGGTGCGGGTCCAACAGGCCTTCAATGGCCAAATGTAATTCTAGGCAGAGCAAATTCACGATCCAAGGAAACGGACCACAAGGGGAACATCACATATACCCATCAACAAAATACGGACCAACGCATTAACATGCTATGTAGCCTCCATCCATCCAGCGCGAAACTAGCCTCGTGTAAAGATACTTTCAAATGGCCCACGTCTCTCATCCCCATGTACATTGCCATCACCGTGTTGTCCCCGACAAGCACTCAAACATGACATAAACCGCTCATCATTGATTCTGTGCAATGTGACGCATCCATGTATGACCATTCAACATACCACGCCAGCTCTCAAAGCCAGGCGCTTTGCTACAACCATTCCCTCATTCCCTCCATCCAAATATCAAATCCCGTGCAACACGCGCCACTTCGATGCCAAAGGCCAGGTTTCTCACCTATCGAAAGTTGTTATCGAATCGCTTGAAGGTGTATCCGATAAACGGCAGGCTCATCTCTGGTGACTCTTCAATCTGGCGGCCCTGCTGCAGTGCCTGGGCCTTCAAAACAGTGGCATTATCAGTCTGGTCAATCTCGTCCGTGGGGAAGTAGGTGGTGTCAATATTGGATGTCAGGCGAGGCTCGAAGGGAGCTCGAATGCGACGAAGACTGTCAAATTCGACGCCACGGAAGAAGGCGTGGTTCTTGATTTCGTCGGGGCTCCCGCGTCCAAGACGGTTCTCGGTGTTGCAAACCATGCTAAAGATGAATGCATTTATTAGTCGGGTGCTTGACAGGGAAGTCAAAGAGAGTGTCTAACCTTCGAATCAAGTTCTCGGCCTCTACACCCAGGGTGATGTCGTCTGGAAAGTACAGCGTTTGTCTCCAGTTGACAATCTTACGGTACGTGTCGTGACTATCCTCAGCGCAGAACGGAGGCCACCCAACCAGACACTCAAACATGATAGTCCCCAAGGACCACCAATCACAGTCAAATGAGTACCCATGGCCGGTAAAAATCTCCGGGGCGATATAATCAGGCGTACCAACGGTGGAGTAGGCCATAAGTCTTCTTGACCGTCTCCAGTCGTTGATCTGAGAACGGTTGCTGACGGTAAGGTTGATCTGATCGATGGCAACAGAGTTCCTATCACGAGGTCTGTTTGATCGCCCTTGTAAAAGCTGCTGGTAGTAATTGTTGTCGTGTAGGCGGTGGAAGCCGGTGGAAAGGCCAAAATCAGTCAGCTTGACGTGACCACCTCGATCCAGCAAAATGTTGTCAGGCTTAATATCTCTGTGGGTGGGTTAGGTTTTCTTTTTTTTTTCTTTTTTCCAAAGAAAAGGAAGGGAAAAGGAAAAGGAAAAATAATCACATTGACAGGCAAACAGATGAAGAGGAGAGCTGGCTTACCGGTGAATAAAACCGAGCTTGTGAACTGCTTCAATAGCAAGAACGATTTCGGCAATGTAGAATCGAGTAATGTCCTCTGAGAAGATTTCATACTTGATGAGCATCGTCATCAAGTCACCACCTGGCAAAAACTCCATGAGCATGTACAAGAAATAAGCGTCCTGAAAGGTGGTGTAGAGCTTAACAACCCAGGGGCTGTCAGACTCGGCCAAAATATCACGCTCAGACCGCACATGAGCGAGCTGGTCCTTTTTGAACATTTCCGTCTTAATCAAGGACTTCATGGCATAAACCTTGCCATCTCCCTTCTTCTGCACGAGCTTGACCTCACCGAATGCACCCTTGCCAATGATCTTGACTGTGTTGTAATTTTCAGGCTTATCTTTGGTTCGCAGAAAACGCAGATACTGTCCCTCCTTGCGGCCAGCGGTCGACCACAGCTGCTCTTTCCTGGTGGCACTCTGTGAAGGGTCGTGAAGCTTTTGCTCCAGCTCGCTTTGTCTAGAATGGGGTGTCAGGAAGAGTTTGAACAGTAACAGCCGCATCTGAGGTGTGAATAAGAAAGAAATGCTCGAGGGCGTGTGTATGTGCGGGACGTACCTTTGGTTGCGCTCACGGGCTCGCTTTACACTATCCTTGAAGAAATCCGCAGCCAGCTGTGAGCATTTCTTCTGGTTGCTGTTGGCGTTGGTGCCATAGCGGTCCGGGTTTCTCTCGGGGGCGGCCTGAAATTCACCGCCGACGGGCACGGACTGAGAAGGCAGAGGCGGCGCATTCGCATTGGAGTAACTGGTATAGGCGCCAGGCTGGGTACCAGCTGTTCGTGGGCGCTGTGAGGGCGAGGGCCCCCTCGGAGCAACTCGTGCGGCACCGCCAAGATTCTGATGAGAAAACTGGTGGGCTAGGCCGGTGTTTGGGTCGTTGGTGCCGGGAGTATTGGACCTTGCTTGATAGTAGCCATTCTGGGCGTGGGCAAAGTCGTTGTTACCGGCTTGAGCAGGATAGGCGGCAGGATAGGCGGCACCGGGCTGCGCAAAGTAGCCCTGAGGAGCATAGCCGCCGGCATAGGGCGGCTGTTGCGGCTGAAGGCCTCCTTGGGCTTGCTGTGCGTTGGGCTGTGGGAAGACGGGCTGGGGAAATGTTGATGGTGTCGTGGGGTAGGCTCGGTCGTTTACCGGTAGGCGGTCATTGTTGCCAAAGTTGAGATGCAAGCGATTGCCGTTGGGATCCATGATGGGGATTGACGATTGTGATGGCAATGGCCGCGACGATCCGAGCTGTCCTGGGGGAGGGGGGGAGGAATCGAGGATAGACTTGACGGACAACGACGGCAGCGTGGTGGTGACTCGGTGAGGGACCAAGGTCAAGGGCCGCAGTTGGAGGGACAGTTAAAAGGGGACGATTGGGACGAGTGCGCAGTGCTTAGCTAGCGCCAGGTCAAGGAAGGCGCGGTGGAACCTCACCCAGGTGCTTCTTTCCGGTTTGGAATGGGAGAGTGCGGCGGTGGCGCCAGCAACTCAGGGCACTCGGCCAGCCGGTCGGTCACCCATAATGCATCATCAGGGGTCCGTCATTCATCTTCATTTTCATCTGCATTGCATCCATGCCATGGGCGAAACTGCCAAGGTAGGTCGCTAAGCGGGTGCTTTCTGACACATTTGCCGCTCTTTATTTGTCGTGGTTGCAAAAGCTGTCAATTGCGCACGTGCGGCAGCTTCACCGTCACGAAAATCACGGAGCAGGACAGTTTCCTCCTTCGAGTTCGGGCTGAGGGGCGGTCAACCTGCAGCCCTCCAACGCACTCGAGCACGACCATCTGTTTTCGGCATCGGAAAGCCTTCTCATGTCACAACGCCGTATGCCGGTTGGCTTCACTGCTCACTTGCAAGTCAATCAATTTGCTGGACCAACAAGCCATTGGTGGGAGTAGCCGCTGGAGGCCAGAGCGGTATCAAAGCGCGGTCCGTTGTGCATCATAACATAACCATGTACGTCTCACTCTGTCGTGGAGAGAGCATTCAAGTTGGTAGTAGTACTGTACTGCTAGTATGTATGGCTTGACCCGTCACTGACTGCATCGTGGCCTGGCTCGTCAGTTCACATCAGGTTTTGTGCAGCTCTCGACCGCCAGTCGAGGAGAGAGACGAGCGGACACAGTCCCGACCTGACAGGTTGCTCCAAAGCCTTCGAAAGTCCGGCGCAGTGAATGGCCTTTTCAAGAATCTGAGGGCGGAAGCGGGCCGCCACATGCAGCTGACTCCGCAGCCGACATCTCAAGGTTTTTGACGCGCCTCTTCTCTCTCCACCGTTTCTCGTGCTCACCGACCACCTTCCACGTTACCCGTATGCTCCGAAGGCCCCAAATAGCTGTCACGGTGTGCATGAGTTTCCGTCTTCCTTTAGCCGCTCACGACAACTTGACGTGCCCACGGGCAATTTAAACTGCAGGCTCATCACACTACAGCTCATCTTCCTCCACCATCTCCATCCACAGACCGGACAACAGCGCGCCCAGGTCTGTCTGTCATATGTGTTCCGGCATTGGACTCGCTTTTTATCGTGCCACCCCGGGGAAGAAGGATGCGATGTGAAGCTGTAGCTGTGTCATACCACGCAAATTGCTTCGTCCTCGAGGCAACAATTATCAACCATTTGTGCTTGATGCATAAATGACAATACCAAATCATCAATGCCGTCTAGGATTGTTGAAACTTCGACTTGAGGCATTCATTTCCTGGTTGGCTCAGCGGCAGACATGACGGTTCATCTCATGCCAATGAGATCCTGTTTCGTCCATCTATCCATCCACTACTCGTCAACACATTGTCCAGCAAGTCCACATCTCCAATAGTAGCCTTGCCATGGCACGTCAATCCACCGCCTTCACGGAGAAAACATGCTTGCTTGGTGCTTCGCGTGTGCCCTCCGCGTGGCTCCCTGCATGGAATCCATGCACATAGGGACCAGTCCCGTGGTGAATCCGATGCAAGATGCTCTACGGGTACGATGCCACAGGCCCGGACTCGGTCATAAACATCGTGCCCGACGAAATCGCACTCCCCCAGACGAACGTAACAACGCCTCCGCCCAGAAGAGCTACACGAGCCGTTCCCATATTCCCCGTAGCGTGCATCGGGGACATGATCCGCGATTCTGTCTGCAACTGCAGTCTCTAAGAAGCAAAAATGGCGACCGATGGCCATTGGCGGAGTGAGGCCGTCTTCTCCTGACGGGAATTGGATGGAGCTTGAGGAGATGCACAAGGCGTGCTGTTTTTGAGGAACATGGTGCGCTGAACTGGGAGCTTAAAGAAGCTCGACCGTTTTTCCATTCCGGGTTTAACTTAGTTAATCGGGCGCCACATCCTCCTTATCTTATCGCACCTCTTTTTTTTTCCAACCCCAGCATCAGCATCGACAACGACATCCCTAACCAGCACTCTGCTGCTCTACGTGTCGGCACGGCGTCACAAACGCCAACGACCACTTTCTACGAATCCCTTCTTCTTTTTTTTCTTTTTTTAATTCTGCTCGTTTCCCTGAGAAATTTGCATCTGTTCCTCGCATATGGGCGGTCGAAATGGACAACCAGCAGAAAGTAGAAAAGGCCTCTGCCGCCACAAGTCTGCCTCGGAAACCTCGCAACCCGGCCCTCAAAATGCTCGGTCTTCCGGCACTCCCCAAAAGGCTCCCTTCACGGAACTGGATGATATTCTGGGCCGTCACGGGCGCCTTCACCACGGCCATCATCTACGACAAGCGTGAGAAGAACCGCGCGACTGCAAAATGGCGGCGCGCCGTCGAGCCCTTGTCCCGCGAGCTGCTGGGGTCTGCCAACGCCTTACCCCGAAAGCTCACCGTCTACCTGGAGGCGCCGCCCGGCGATGGGCTGCGCGTCGCTCAGGACCATTTCATCGAGTATGTGAAGCCCGTGCTGTCGGCATCCGGGCTGGACTGGGAGTTTGTCCAGGGGAGGCAGCAGGGCGACGTGCGGGCGGCAGTGGCCGAAAGGATTCGACGGTCGAGAATGGCGCATGAGCGTCCGGGCGAGGAGATTCCCAAGACAGACGATTCCATCGTGGAGGACCTGCGAAGGAAGATGGGCCTGAAGGAGTACGACGGCGTCAAGGGAGATATCGTCATCGGGCGCCACGCCTGGAAGGAGTATGTGCGCGGTCTGCACGAGGGCTGGCTCGGTCCCTTGGATCCGCCGCCCCTACCGGAGCCGGAACCGGAACCGGAGCCTGTTTCGGAGACGAAGTCCGACTCTGAAACCCCCTCGGCCGACGACAAGGCCGCCGAAGCAAAGGCGGAGGAGCAGAAGAAGCAAGACAAGCCGTCTCGGCCGCCGCAGCCCCGCCCGCACAACACCACGGGGGACTACGAATCTGCCTCTCTGCCCGTCCACGTCCCCGCCGAGTTCCCGCCCTCGGCGGTCATCGCGTTTCCACATCGCCTGGGCTTCACCCAAACGTTTGTCCGCCTCGGCCGCTTCCTCAATCGCCGCAAGCTCGCCGACGACATTGGCCGCCAGGTCGCCGCCGTCTGTTTCGCCGCCGCCCGCGACTACCGTGAGCACGACGGCCAGTACGAGCAGCAGCTCCTCCTGGTGCAGGAGGAGCGGGACTGGCCCAAGCACACGTGGAAGGAAGAGGAGCCCGCCGCGGAGGAGGAGCACGAGAAGCAGGCAGCGTCCAGACCTAAAAAGGAGCGAATCTGGGCGAGCCCCATGGTCGTCGATGCGCGAATCGCACAGCGCATGAGACGCTTCGAAATCCAGCCCCGGGACGAGGAGAGCGCGGCCAAGATTGCCGTGCCGGAGGAAGAAGTCGAGGGGTGGATCAAGGGCAGCTTCAGGCGTCTCTGGAGATGGGGAGTCGGTTCATTCGACGATAAGCCCAGGGGCCCCAACGTAGGCAACCTGGACGATGACTAGGCTGTGCTGGAGGCGGGAACATGGAATCGACACCACAGCGACTTGTACCATATCTTGATTGTATTGTATGCCATGTACGCACCCACCCAATCGCCTGCTTGGGTAACTCTATACTAGAAGGGAAAGGGGGCGAAGGGGGAGGAGGGCAATCACGGGGGCCACGGCCGTTTGGCATCACCACCACCATCTACTCAACACGACTGAAACAAAAGGCTCACTCGCTACCCCCATCCGTGCACATGTTCCGCCGCAACGGTCATCCGTCGTTGCTATCCGAGCCGTAGTCGACCAGGGCGCCCTTCCGGTCCGGCTTCTCGACCGCTCGCGCAGCAGACTTGGCGGCCTGGCCCTGCCTCGACGCCTCCTCCGCCTCTGCACTCGCACTCGCACTCGCACTCGCACTCGCACTCGCAGCCGCCGCCTTGACGCTCTGGCCCTCATCCGCCCTCCTCTTCACCACCCCCTTTTCCCTCTCCTCCCTCCTCCTCCTCCTCTTCCTCCTCCCCCCGGCGGCCCAGTCCTCGGCCCCCTCGCCCTCGCCCTCGCCCTCTTCCCCGTCGGCCGCGCCCCCGCCGCCGGTCCTCCTCTGCAGCTCCCTAAACGCCCTCACCCCGTCCTCCGTCTCCCGCCTCACCCGCTCCTCCTCCATCCTCCTCGCCGCAACGACCTCGTCCAGAAACTCAATCTCGTCGTCGTCCAGCGCCCGGAACTGGTTCCGAATCCTGTTCGCCTCCTCAAAAGCAGCCTGCTTGGCCGCTAAGCCCAGCCGCAAGAAGCAGCGTCAGCCGTCCGGACGATCCATCCACCGTCGAGGAATCCCCTCCACGCACCGGCCCCAGCTCAACCCCGGCCAGGGAGAGCCCCCGAAGAAACGCACCTTTATTAGCTTGCAGCACGTCGTACAGGCTCCTCTCGCCCTCGCCCGCCGCGGCGGCCCGGCGCCTCTGCTCCTCGCGCCTCCTCCTGTCGTTGTCCAGCTCCTGCTGCACGGCCTCCCACTCGGTGCTCGTGGCTGGTCGTGCCCGCGGCGGCTTGGGCTCGTCCGTCGCCGCCGCCGCCGCCTCGTGGTCGCGGGGGGCGTTGATCGTGCCGCCCGGCACGAACCTGGACATGATGGCGGATGGCGAGGGGGCAAGGGTTACGGATTGTGCCGAGTACGGGGTGTACGAGGGCGCGACGGTTGGCAGGGCCAGATGAGCTTCCCACGGTACATTTGTCGATCGGGATGGAATCGGTACGGGGGATCTGTCGTCGACGTCCGTTATTGTTGTCTGTTGTTGGGGGGAATCAAAAATCCTTCTTTTCCGACATCAATTCTCTGGACGAGTCGGGAATCAGGATAGCTGATTTACTGGTGCGACGTGAAGTGTATTTTTTTTTACGATACTGGCCGTCATCCGACCGTCAGGTTTCAACCCAGACAGGCGCGGGATGGGGTCGTCTCGTCGTCCAAAAAGGCCCTTTGCAGTTCCGAGAATCAGCCGGTCGAGAGATGCCCTCGGGTCATCCATCCTACGCCAATCTCGCCACCCATGTCCACACTCATAAACCATCGGAGATCGATAGTTTGCAGCAAATTCAGTCTTTTTTTTAATGCTGTTCATCAAAGTGGCCTCTAATGGTACCTATAGGTGCGGCCTTCTCACGTGATGCCTCTCGAGCAACCCAGTCGTCTGAAGACCGCCACGGTTGCCAGGTCCATGGCCCCGTGGCCAACCAAGCCAACCACCATTCTTGTCGACAATCCCGAGAAACACATGGATAAAGCTGCCAGCCCGTGTTCCGCAAAGCGAACGACAGTTTGTGACAAAAGCCAGCCGAGTACTCCGTACCAGCGCAGAATTGCCTCGCCCACAGAAAAACAGGAACGCTCAAATTCAAGTCATGAATTGAAATCCATCTGATGAGGATACACCCACTTCATGTCCCCACACCAAGCAAATTGATCATTAAACCTAGACGCACAGAACTCCTTATCCGAAAAGAAAAAAAAGGCGTCTACTATATGCCAGCCCATGATGGGGAGGGAAAAACAAACATCTAATATCGTCGGGAGAAAGACAACCACCGAAGCTGCGCTATGCCAATTGAGCCAGGCCAACGGAGCCCACGGCTGGCTATTCACCAAGCTCCGAGGCAGAATGCGAATGAAAGGGAAAGAAGAGGTCAAGAAAGAAACGAATCCCAAGAGCCTAACGATATAGACTGAGCAACCTACCCGAAGTCCCATTTTATCCGCTGAAAGTAATGCATAACCGTCTCATAAGTGAAAAGAATCCCAAATGTTTTTGTCCCTCTTGTCATCCTAGTTACTTCCGCAGTTGAAGGGCATAATGCAATAGATACTGTTCCCAAACTTTTCTTGTCTCTATACTGCATCATGAAGGCGTCCATCTGCTGGAAAGGGTGCAGCAACGCCTTGACTGTGGCGTTGTCATTTGATCCCAGCGTAGACGCAAAATCGTTTCGTCGGTTTGACAAGTCCCATGTATGATGACAAGCGTGTCCTTGGACGTCGTAACAACAAATGAAAATGAAAAAGTCACCGCAGCAACCGCTACGCCGATAAAAAGGCAAAAGGCAATCCCAAGCTACTCTGATGCTGCCGAAGCCGCTCGAATTTTCATCTGGGACGAACAACGTGCAATACCATGGGGTCGAGGATGCTGACAACAGAGTGACCGATCAGTATCGCCCGTGTTGCTCAGGGCTATCGTAGCTGGCCAGACATGGTATCATGGCGAGGTAAATGTCTTCCCGCAATCAAAATCGAAAGTCGCAAAACACCCGTGATAGCCGTGTAAATGTAACTTCTATAGAGGATCGAGCCCCGTTCCCGTAATGTGTCAAAGCCAAAACGCCGCAGTGTGCCGATTAATAACTTGTACCAAGGAAGAACGGGCTGATCGAGGCTTGCAACTCGACTATATGCCAGTAGAGGTCTGACCGCACACGTCCGATCTATTGCAGTTCGTAGCGCAGGTCATCTGTCGTATATGGGTCGAGTTCCAAGGCCAGCAATCATACCAATAAAAAAAAAAGAGAGAAGCCATAAAAGAAAAGAATATACCACCACAAGCTGATCGCGTGAAACCTTTTTGCGTCTTTTTTGGTCATGCTGGGGTATCTGAAGAAAAGAGTCGTTCTTAAAACACGCGTCGAAAATCCGTAGCCATTACAAAACTTCAACATTTGAAGCCCCCCTCCCACGACTTGTAGTCGCGAGGGGAATGAAAAAGTACTGTCTCCTTGATTGAGGGTCCGGTAGATAAAACTGAAATTTTCTCTCCTTGTTTTTTTGGGGGTTTTTTCTCGTATCAGCTTACCACCTGTTGGCCATATCCACGGGACATAACGGCGTGTGCTTCATGGAACCAACACAGCCAGGGCAGCTGCATTCACCAACCCCGTGGTCCCACCCTCCATGATTATAGGAATAGTGAGAGCAGTAAGGCGTCTGACGATGCTGATAGAAGGAGCCGTGGGTAGGTGGTTGGGAGTATCGGCTGCTATACTGTGCAGCGGCCTGAGCAAACCATTCGTTATAGCGAGCGTTACTGGACGTAGCAGACATGACATACTCCGGAGTGCCGTACCCAGAGTCGGGTGGTGTCAATGGGGCATTCCACGGGTTGTGAGCCCATGTAGCATCGCGGGATCGGTACGTCTGCTGTTGGGCCTTGATGGCTTGGTAACGGTCGTACTCGGCAACCTGTTCTTGCAAATAGCGCGAATGCGGCGATTGGCGGTTGCTGCTGTATCTTGCGAGCTCCGTGTCGATGGCAGGTACGAGGGAGGCGAGTCTTTCGCGATTTGCCTGGACTGCCTGTCGCTTCTTCATCTGCTGCCACTCACGCCAGTTCTCTAGCCAAGCCCGGTAGTCCTTGCTGAGGTCAAGGTTGACATATAGTCTCCAGCCCATGGCTTGGACCCACTCAAACTCCAAAGTATTCAGCTCCGTCACTGGAATGCCACTGACTTCAGACCAAGATCGATTCTGGAACGTGTTGTCGTCGAGAAATTTGCTTGCCAAGAGGAGCGATACAGTTAAATATCGCCATACTTGGCCTTCGGATGCCTCGTACAGGCCATGTCCTTTCATGGCGTTGATTCGCTTGGCAAGATAATTCATACCCAGCAAGATCGTAGTACTGGGAAGCCGTGTTGAGGTAAGAATTTGGGTAACAAATTTGCGAAATCCAGAAGTGATTGTAGCATCAGGAGTGACGACGCGCACAGCCATTTCAGTAACGTATTCTGCCATCATGTCGACCTCGTAATCGAGGACGGCACACACGCCACCCGGCATTATGAAGGTGTCAAGGGCGAGGACCCGACTAAGATCGACGGGGACCTTGGTCGGAAGGCTGGACTCGTCAATACAGACAAGCGGCAAAAGATGTCGACGTCTCCGAAAGTGACCAATCGGGAACAATTAACGTTGTAAAAGAATGGGAAAAGGGGGGGAGGAAAACAGATGGTTCTGTTTCAGGACCGTTGAGCCATTTAATGCCTATTCTCTACTGCCGTATTATTTGACAATATAGCCTAGACGTTCAATGCAGGAAAGATGGTCGACAACAGACGCGGCGGAAATGATGTTTGCTGACGAAACTCGGTTCAAACGACGAGGGGATCGCAATGTTCGAGTGGTGCAAGAAGATCAGATTCCTGTCCACCGTAGCACCTGACACGACACAAAGCGAGGGGGAAGTGAGTAGAGCGAGAAGCAATCTGTTGAAGTGGTGTTAGTTGACAATCGTCTTGGTGCTCAATTTTCAAGTGGTTGATTGGGGGGCGGCGTATCGACAACGTTTGCGTTTGGACGGGGCCCCTTTGAAAGTTCGCAAGGGCCCATCCATCTGCTTGGCCAATACACTTGCATAACAGGATATGGTGTATTGTTGAGCCCGCGGGAGCTGGAAACGACAGCGGCCATCCCTGACCGTTGGTGTTCAGGTCCCTTGGTTCAGTGCCAAAGCCAAGCAACCGCGTGGGAACCACGGCCGACGAAACTCGACACGGATACACGTGAGTGCTCTTTTTCACGTCGAGACTCACCTCAAGCGGAGAAAGGCTTCCAATAGGTAGAGCGTAATGCTGCGAACCCCAGGGGCGATGTCGGGTGATTGGGGGCGGCCGAGAGCAAACTGGCCACTACAAACGACACAGGGTACACAACAGAGCTTCCAACACAGCGAGACTGGGCAGGTTGCAGGAGGCGGCAGGAGAGACTCGCGCGAAAGACCTGAATCCGAGAGTCGACGAGCCGCGACGGGGTTCGTGACGAGGTTGTCGAAAAGTCGGCGGATTCGGAATGCCGTGGAGGAGCGAGGGGCGGGAGTGAGAGGAGGAGAGGAGGACGGGAGAGAGTGAGGGAGAGAGAGTGAGCGAGAAGGAGAAAGAGAGGCCGAAAAGAGGAAGAATGGGATGGTGGATGGCGGATGGTGGACGGTGGATGACGGGGTGTGATAAAGCGTGGACGGCTGGTGGACGGCTGGTGTGGTGGCGCATAATAGAATGAAGGGCAGGCCGGGCATAGGCTTGCATGCGCCAGCCCACAGTCCAGTTCAGCCAGCACCTACGCACCTACCTGGACATTGGAGGCAGGAGCAGGAGCAGGAGCAGGCAGGAAGGAGCTGGTATTACGGAGCACTAGGTAGGTGGTGTGTGGTGTCTGTGGCCTGTGGCGTGGCGTGGCGTGGTGTGGTGTGTTCAACCTTGTAGCGCGTGGGGTCCCGTAAATAATGAAGACTGGGCTGGGGCTCGCTACAAGGAGTACTTCTACGTACTAGTACTACCACCAGTTGACCTACCTTTTTAGTACCAAGTATGAGTAGGAAGTACGTAGGGAGGTACCTAGCTGGGCATTCGAATTCCGACGCACCAGTCGAGCGAGAGCGCCTGCATTTGAGGATAGACGTACGGAGTACATAGTAACATGACAGGCCCAGCAAAAGAGGTCAAAGAAGCCGTCTCCAACCGTCGTGGATGGCGCTTTCACAAGCGGCAGAGCCGGGTATCGGGACGATACGTTCAACGTTGAGAGGTTGTCCAGGACGTGAAGAAAGGGAATGGGGACTGGGGAATGGGCGTTTGGAAAAAAAAAAAAAGCTTTGACGGTGTACGGCACCTGGCGGGTACAGGGCGGTATTAGCGTGACGTCGCAGAATACCGTGTATTGAGGCGGTCTCTCTGTCTTTGTCATTGCTATTACTCCGTAGTTATTATTTATTAAAAAAATTAAAATAAAAAAATCCCCGCCTGTCCCTTGCCTTGTGCGCCAAATTGCAAGTAGACCCTCTGCCTGCTCAGTGGCTGGACCACTCTGGTTCCTGCCAGGCGGACGCGCCTTGTGCTCCGTATCGTACTGAGTACTGAAGTACTTAGTATGGAGTAGTATTTGGCGCAGATGGGGAGACTAGGGAGGACATTGGAGCGCGTGCTCCACAAGACACCGACATGTGCAGGTGCTGATTCGCCGAGGCGAGGTGGAATGCTGGTCTGGGAGACCGGGCCGGGCTGGTCAGGGCACTGGAGAACTTGGCAGGTCGGCATGGTTGCTTGGCTACGCCCGTGGCCTGCAGCCTGCAAGCGGCACTCTCACCACCTGGCTAGAGACTAGAGACTAGAGAGAGAGCCGCAGCACCTAACGGATTGGGGTGTCGGGCCAAGCGGATGTCTTGGGTGTGGTGCATGCGCGTTGGCATGTTGGCGTGCAGCGCGACCGTGTTGCCGTGGGTGCGTCAGCGGGCATGCTGCGGTGATTCACAAGACTCTAGGAAGTCGAGGAGCAAGGGTCATGTGGAGCCGCCACTGACCTGATCCCCAAGCGCGACTACTGAACTCACCAGAAAGCGTACGTGCTCCGTACGGGGTACTGTGCTCGCCTTGTCAATACGGACTGCAGTACACAGTATGGGATCGGAGGAGGGGCGCGGGGTGGCAGTGGCAGTGCCAGTGCCAGTGCCCAGTGCCACCGTCATCAGACTTTTCTCCCGCCGACTCGGCCTCAGCCCAGACTGCAGACAGAACAGAAAAAGCGCTGCGCATTAGGTCCATTCTACTGCCTACGGAGGACAGCCACCGCGTTTTTCCGTCCTCCGCCTGCGCCGTCTGCAGCTTGCACGAAATCACAATCCGCCGCCACCCTTTGCCCGTTGCTCCTGCCACCCAGCCGGGCGGATGCTGAGGCAGCAGTGGTCATACTATTGACGGGACGCTTTGACACTTGGGTTTGCTTTTTAGTTTGGTTTATTTATTCAGTGCATTCTCTCTTTGCCCACGGAGTAAACTACCCGATCAAATAACAGCCTCGTTCGAGACGCCTCACGGCTGACCAAGTGCCTATTCCGTCCTCTACTCCCAGTGGCTCGGTCCATATGAGAGAGCACATGCAATTACACTTTTCGAGACTGGACGACAGAGGTGGATGCAACAAGGTCACCAGGTAACTATATGTTCCGTGGTGTTGCATGCTCGTCCGTTGGACTGGGTGACTGGTTGAGCAGCTGCTTCGCATCCACCGAGTCCCCAAGAAGAAAATTAAATACGTACCTACTCCGTACCAAGTACCCCAGATAGGTAGGTCCCCAGGTTGTTCCGTACTGTACATCCAAGAACTTGGACCAATAGGGCACAAGTCCGCAGGAAGCGATGCCATGCTCTGCGTCATTGGCTCAAGTGCCCTGGTGGGCTCGTCGTCTCACTTCCTTCCTTGCCAATTTGGTTGAATAAGCCGTCTGAACCCATGTGGAAAATAAGTAAAAATTCTTCACGTCACTCATCGCAATCAGCTGTGGGGACCGCAGCGCTCAATGTCGAGCTTGGCCGGACCTTTTTTTTTTTTTTTTTTTTTTTTTCTCCCTAATTGCCGTGCCTAATTCCTTCCAGGTGCCCCGTCCGCTCTCCCAGCAGCTTCGCAGGGACAGTGTTTCGTCCGTGTCAGACGTCTCGGGAGGGGTGACGTTGTAATTACCGATGAGCCGACCTGACTCGCCTTCTGACATCTGACATTGGAGGAAGTCCTTTCATGGCGCGTGGCAATTTTAGAGAACACCAAGACGAATGCAAGACCACCCGGTGGTCCTCAATGGACTCGGTCTCGATGGTGACGTATGCCCAGCAACAACCGTACGCAGTAGGCGGTCCATACTAGTGCACAATACGGAGCACCGACAACATGACATGTCATCGCAGTGCTCCGTACGAGTCCGCAGGGCAGTAGCTCGTAATAATTTGTTCTCAATACGTAACTAGTTCCTAGAGGCGAAAAGGGGAGATAGGATTGGAGCTACTCTGTAGGTGGTTGACATTGGACGGAAAATGCGGAGAGAAATGCCTTGGATCTGCCAATACGCTACTCCGTGCTCTGCACCTTTAAGAGGTACAAGAGGTAAGTCCTTATGTACGTGCTTGCCTAAGTACTTCAGTAGCTTGTGGGCGAAGCACAGTAATTTTACCAGACATTAGTGGATTTGGGGTCCACAGCGACAAGGTGGGTAGGGTAGACCCAACTATTCCCGTGGATGACGCTGAATTTTGCAAGGCAAATACAGTAAGTACTAGTACTACATGCTCTACGCCTGTTGGCAGGCACTCCCAGACGGAAGGGTGGCATGGCTCTACTACCCGCGCAGTTACCCTGTAGGTACGGTCCATTCTGCGTTTAGAAGCTCCGCATCCATCACCCATCGACCTATGTGAGCCAATGATCATTCGGCACTGCCTCGCAAGGGGTCGAGCTATGTGAATGAAGGAATGGCTGCGGGTTATTTTGCCACCCCGCCGGCACTTTGGTTGGCGGTCGTGCTGTACATTATTAGCAGTCAGCTGACATGGCAAAAGGTCCCTTTTCCAGCCCCAGGTGCTAGTGCACGTGTTTGGGGTTGAGTGCACGGAATACACGGTAGACTGGTAGAGATGAGGATGCAGGCCGGTGTCGAGTGAGACCTTTTGATTGTTCTCCGTACAAGGCACATGACTCTCAGATGTGACTGGGTACTAACTACATTAAGTACATAGTAAGTTAGAAAGGGCAGCTCTGGGACGCCACATCCACCTGCATATCAAAATGACACAAACTACGGAGTAAACAGGCGCCATACTCCGTGGAGGTGGGCAGCATTCTATTGTTATTTACCCCCCCCCTCCAAGCCAACGCGTCTTATCACCGTGTGTGTGTGTGTGTGTCAAGTCTCAAGGGTAGGTAGGTCACATTGCTCTGTACAGCGTAGATGCATTCTCATTCATGCACGACGAAACTAGCACCCGGCCAGGCGACCGGGAAACACAGTGAGCGTCTAGTCCTCTTTTCTCCATCTGAACATGCTCCGTACTTGCACATACAATAACACAAGTACGAAGCACAGAGTGGTATCCATAAGACGCGGCGGCTATCAACGCGGCAGCAAGTCGAGGAATGCCAGGTACAATCACGCAACTGGTGCTCCGTGTTGACGCCGTAGACAGCAATTGTTGCTGACACTGTCCTGTCCAACCCCGAGTCAAGGACTCGAGATTGGCTGGCGCGGCGGCGTGCGCACAACAATCACTCCAGCGGATTTATTCAGGAGCCAGCCAATCAGCGCTGCAAAAAAACCCCCAGTTGTCGACGCGGGAGGGGTGCCGCAGAGAGGTGGATGGGGGTGCTCTTATAGAAGCATCCACGGCACTGGGACCGCCAGCCCTTTTTTTTCAGGTGTTTTGTCTCGATCATTTTTTTTCTTCTCCCCTCCAGATGACAAGACCACGCGATCTGCACGCCACGGCCCTTGCAAAAATAGCAGGCAAGCCTGGCCATGAACGAGAACGTTTCTCGAGTAATTGATGCACTCGTCATGACGTTTTCCACGTCACCCTTTGCTGGCAGCCTTCTCACTGTGGGGGTGGACGAGGGAAAGAGAGCGTTAGCAATTTTTACTCCATACGGACGGAGTACGGAGTGCCCAAAAGCACTTTGGAGCCCCGCTTCCGAAGTAGACGTAGACCACACTTGATGAGCGTCTCCCTTTTTTTTTTTTTTTTTATTCCCGAACCTCAGGGTCCTTTCTGGAGCGTGTAGGTTGGTTGGTCCGTTTCGAGGGACACGGGACCATCGCCGAGGGCACCAAAAATATCCAAACCTCGGCGACGCAGTATTACGGAGTAGTACTACGCGGGCACGGAGCAGAGCAGAGCGGAGCAGAGGAGAGCAGGAAACATTATTAGCTGCTCGCTGCCTTGCTTGCCAACCCGGCGGCGCGGCGCGGTGGCCTTGATTTGGGCCAACGCCACGGGCTAGGTCCAACGTCCCACGTCCAACGTCCAACGTCCAGTGTTGATGGTGGCAGCAGTCAGCGAGGCCGACAGACCGTACGTACAGCAACAGAGACGTCAACGCTGGCAGTACGTACGGCGCACATGTCTTCACGAAGCCGCCAATGTTCCGCAGGTCCCTCTTCGGGATACGGTGATTGTGGAGAATGAAGTGGGAGGCAGCGACGGCGTCTTGTCGGGTGCCCTCGTTCTGCTCACCGCAAGATTCGGTTCCTTTCGGGTGCCGTTCATGAAACTGCCGAGGAGAACACAGGTCAGTGCAAGGCTACAGACCCGCCCAAGACCTCCCGACTGTAAAATGTCGATTACTCTAGTACTTATATTTGGCACGCCTCCGCCAACGGGGGCGGTTGAACAACAGAACATGATACTAGCAGTCTCCCGCGACGCATGGAGGGGCAGTTTTTGCCGTCGGGCGTTGGAGCTGACCGAGGTTGACGGATGAGAGCTCGGTGGGGGATGCCCATGATGCCACGAACACCGTCCAGCCGTCCGTGACAAAAGCCAACGAGCCGTCTGACTTGTTGGGACCCTCTGTCCACCCCAAGTCTCATCCGTGAACAACCACAGCTGCGTCATGTTGCCTCGAGGAGGGGCAAATATTCAACCCCCCTCTCCGACGGGCGATGGGAGTCGGGAGTCATGACGGGTGACGCATGCAACCTGATATGGACAGCTTGTGGTAAGAACCGGCGCCGGACTCTTTTGGATTTCTCATGACACCATGACGTTGAACAGCCGGAGGGCCAGAGGGCCAGAGGGCCAGAGGGCCAGAGGGTGTAGGGCGTACAGACAAGAGGAAAGAGGGTATTGGGGCGTCATCGCACCCGTGCCCGTTTTCTGCCGCCCGCGTTCCCCTTTGTCGGTAACACAATGCTCTGTCGGGGCGAATCATTCCCGTCTTCTGGAGCAAGCGAGCACGGCATCGTCCGGGGCCTCGGGTCTCGGGTGTCGGTCACCACCACCAAGGAAGAAGTACGGAGTACTCCGACTCTGGAACCGGGGGATAATACGCCGTCGTACTCTTTGGATGGCGGCGACCAGCCTCCCACCCAAGCAGGTAGTACTCTGTAGTCACTCGGCTTGTCGTGGTGACGTCCGTCTCCTTGGGTCTTAAAAGATAAAAGAGGCGCAGAGGCGGGAGATATAGCAAACGTGCCCACGTCACGGGCCTTTTTTTGATACAGTCCTGTCGGGCGATTGCTCTCGGCACCACACCTGCAACCTGCAACCTGCCTGCATCATGGGCCATGGGCCATGGCACGACAATGTGGCGACGATGCAGGCAATCGGCCAGCTCCTCGACGACAGGCCAGGTCGTCGTGAAGTCGTGAGTCGTCGCAGCCTGCAGGCCGTGACCATTTCCTTGTCCGTGCAGGCCAGGCCCAGGTACGGAGTACCTGATGCCCTTTTCTTGAATTTTTATTTTTATTCATCTACTTTTTTTTATTTTTTCCCTCCAGCCACCAACAAGAGCATACACACTCCGTAGTACACAGCAGACGGTACACGTGCACTTTTGCACGACCCTGACACTCTTGTATTGCGAGGAAACGCCGCGCCTCTTCTTTCTTTCTCTTTCCTTCCAACGTTTCCTCCACGGCCCAAGGCAGGGTCGCAGGCGGTAAAGTCCGCCAACCATCCCAGGACAGCGAACCCAGACGGACAGGACGTGCATGGGACATGTACGCACCATGGGGCCAGCTGTTCCGCGCCGAGTCGTTTCTCGGCGCTGGCGGTGCGGGGTTCGCACAACTTTATAACGGGAGGAGGGAGGGAAGGAAGGAAGGAAGGATGGAGGGAGGGAAGGTGCCCTGTGGGGTGGGCGGGGGAGCTTTTTGGTCTTTTTTTTTTTCTTTACTTCATTCATCCTCCTTCCTCTCTTCTTCTTCAGTGTACGGAGCAGCAGACGCACAGACAGAAACGAGGGGGTTGGGTGGTTCTCCGGAGAAAGGAAATGGCTCGTTGGGCTGGGTTGCGTGCGCATCGTGGACTGCGTCTGCCTGCGTCTGCCTGCGTCTGCATTAGCACGAGTGGGGAGAGTCGTCGGGTTGCTGTCCTCATGGGGCTGGCGGGCCTGGGAACAAGAGTTGCCAAGGTAGGTCCGTCGGCCCTTGGACGAGCGCGTCTCTTTGTTGCCCGTTGCCCGGCTGGGTGGTGGTGATTCTACTCTGCACTCCGCAGGTGAATCTTCTTTTGCGGCGTGAAAAAAAAATAAACATGTCCGTGGTGCGCCGTGCCCGGGAAGCGTTGTCCGTGATCAAGATTGACCGAGGCTCACTCTTCCTCCACAGCAGCCGTCCCGCGAGACGAGACGAGACAAGACGAGGCAAGACGGGCGCCGAAGAAGAAGCAGGCAGAGACACTTCATCGAGTGTCGTCTTGTTCCGAGCCCGAGGAACGGCGCCCCCGGTATGGAGTTACCCAGTAGTGATTAATGGCCGGCAGGCAGCCCGCCTTGCGCTGACGAAAAGACGCATGGGCAGCCGTGTGTACTCGGCACGAGAATCATCATTATTGCAGGCTATTCAGTCCGTGTAGTCTGCGGCATCCGTACGCCCAACGCCACCATCCTTGGCTAAAACTCCCGTGATACATGCGAATACACGTCGCTCCGTCCACCAATACAGTACACTCATCACGTCAAGTGACGCTCCTGATGCGCACGCCATCCTACGACATGCTGTACGGTACTATCGCCTTATCAATGATGGGGTCCCGGCGCGACATCTTCTCCTTCTCCGTGCCCCAGCGCGACCGGAACTCCATCTCGGCCTCGAGCGCCTGGTCAAACGCCTCTCGGCACTCGGCCGGCAACAGATCCCTGATCTCGTCTGACACGGACACCAACCCATTGAACGAAGCGATAGACTCTGCCGGTGTCTCGTTGCTTGGCCGCAGAGACGCGTCGTTGTGCGGCGCACCTTCGCAGTACGTGTCCATGACGAGGAAGTTTCTTGACAATCGGAGAGGCACGGGTGGGAACTTGGCGCTCCCCTTGGTGGCCGCCTCCTCGTCGGGACTCACTTGCTCGATTCGCACACGCGTCGGCTGCATCACGGCCGGGTATTGCAGCATGTTGGTGTGAATGTCGTAGACGCCGGCATTGTTGAACTTGCGAATCGCGTTGATTCCAGCGTTGAATATGCTACATCATGTCAGGCCGCGTTCAAATCAAAACGAGCAAACAGCGCAGTGGATCCGCGGTACCTAGCCTCTCGAGCATGTTCCAGCATCCAGTTCTGGTCATTGACGTTGACCTTGCGCTTCTTGTATTCCGGCTTCCCGTTGGGCACGGGCACGGACGGCACATTGGTGTGGTAGACGGCGCTGGCACCGTGCCAGGCAACGTACTGATTCTTGTTGTACTCGCCAGGAACAAAGTGGTCGTCGGGGTCGGCAAGCTGACCCTCCACGGCGCCCTCTTGCCGCAGTTGAGCGACATTGTAGTCGTCAGTGATGCGCTTGCCGCCAATGATGATTCTGGCGCCAAACTCCCTGAAGACTGACCGGGCCGTAACTACACCTATTGACCGACCCTTGTAAGAATGCGGGATAATGTCTCGCTCGATCATGTCTCGCTTCTCGTCGTCGTCGACGATGATCTTGTGCAGTTTTCGATGCTTCGTGAAGAACAAGTAGCTGTCTCGGAAACCAACGCAACGAGCAGGCTCCGTCGACAACATGTAGAGCCGATTCCCGCGTCCCAACACGGTAAACGTGCGACAGCGATAGTCGCGACCGCCCTCCAGGTTTCCGAGCTTGTCGACCTTGGTTTCGCCCTCGGGGTCCTCGGGCAACACACACTCGTCATTGACAATCTCGGCCACGGTCCCTTCGGCGTCGATGACCTGTTCGGCCTTTGGCGCTGTTGGCCCTCCCTTGCGACCACCTCGACCTCTCCACCCTCCGCGACCTCGACGTCGCGGCGTGTCTTCCGTCACGGTAATCATGGGGTCCCAGTCCGGCGGCTTGTTCTTTGGCGGTCGACCCAGTCGCTTTCTTCGAATCACAGGCTGAGGCGGCGGACTGAGTTGCTTGGTCTCGTCGCCTTCGCCGTCGCCGTCGCCGTCGCCGCCGCGGTCACCTTCCTTGGCAGCTGCTTCTTCCTGGTCCGACGCCATCTTGGTTTCCTCCTGGTCTTCGTCGTCGTCGTCGTCGTCGTCTTGCGCATGCGGCTCCTCGTGCTCGGAGCCCTCGCCAGCCGCAGCCACATCGACCATGGTCTCATCTTCGACGTCGGCAAAACCCTTGGGCGTGCTCTCTGCGGTGTTTGTGCCACGCGTCAGTTTTAAACGAATCTTGGTTCTGGGTGTCATGATGACACGGGCGGCGAGCCTCTTGTGCTAGGGGGCGGACGACACGGGACACACGATGCCAACGCGGGGGGGAAGGAAACGAGCTGGATAGAGACGAAAATGGCACAAAAGACAACGCCAGCCAGCAAAAAGCGCGCGGGCAATCCGCCTCCCTCGAACAAAGACAAATGCAGAGGTTGTGGGTGATATTGCGCTCAAACCAAGGTCAAAGGGGAAAAAAAAAGATGGAGAAGGGTCAACTTTGAAGAGAGGAAAAAGTCCATCCATACCCAGCGCCGCCGACGCCTTCCTAGCAGCAGCGCGACTAGAGCGTCGCCCCATCTTGCGCATTCGCAGCCGATATCTCGCAGTGTTGGTCCGCTCGTCAGTGCAGGGATTGGTACGTTTGCGCCAAAAAAAAAGAGCGTCCCGAGGAGGATCAACTGCCAGAGTTGATGAAAAGAGCTGGTTTGGATACGACGACGGGTTGCCGGTCTGCCCTTGATCGAACAGGAACTCGTTTTGACGCACGGCACGGGCTGGGACTTGAGGACGCGGCTTGATTGGCCTCCTGGTGAGCCTCGCCGGAGTGCACGGATGAAAGCACACTGTACAATGCGCACTGTCTTGTAGCCGCCGCCTCCCTCTACTCCTCAGCCTCTTCATCGCAACAACAAACGTCAACCACAGTACGGAGTACAGAGCACATGGTCGCAATCACGTCACAACTTTCCCAAGCAAAAAGGGACTGGACTCATGCCTACATGATCATCGGCGCGTCACATGCATCTATATAGTCCAACCAGTACATCTGCCATACAACTTGCCTAGCAACTCAAAACATCGTACCGACAACGACCAGCACACGGACACTCGAGCACTTTGGACGCATGCTCTCGAGAATCTCTCTTCCAACACGTCCCAAACAGACAAAACAAAACTCTCCCCCGACCCGCCCCCTCTACAACACAGTGCAGTCAGGCCGTATGGAAAAAGAACAGAAAAGAAAAGAATAGAAAACTCCCTTGACCTTTCCGGAACCAGGAAATGTATATGTAAAACCCGTGCATCTCTTTTCCCTCGTCACAGGGTATCCCAACCTCCATTGTTAATCTCAGCCTCCAACCTGCGGCTGATAAGACTCGGCACACCGTGGTTCAGTACTGTGTTCCGTATCATCGAGTCATATCTCTTTTGGTTCAAGAAGAGCTGTCGGCCGTGACGCAGCTGAGGATCCGTCTCGCCGTATTTGTCGATATAAGGCGCTGGCGCGTATGACCCAGATTGTCGGAAAAGGTACACTATCGAGCACTTCCGTACGTTCAAGTATACTCCGATATTCTTTTGGCACCTGGGTTTTCAATTGTTAGCCGGACCCTGGCTGTCTAATACCTAGACCCTATGCCCGCTCACCTTCGCATGTGCTGTTGTGCACCGCCAATCTTCGTCGTTTCCCGACCGACAGTCTCCGGCTTCTGACAACAGTTGCTCTGGCTGCAAAAGATTTCGCCGCAGAACAGGCAAATGACAGGATCTGTCAGGTCCTTGCCGGTAGATGGGCACCTTCTCCTGATTGACTCTTCAATCAGCGTGTCGTAGGTCTTGGGGAGTCCGATCAGTTCGAAAATGCCTGGATGGCTGACCAGAGCGGATTCGCTCATGTCCCCGTATCCGTTTGGCCAAACAACTTGGTGCTTGATCCAGCCTGAAACCAGGTCGGACGTTGTCATCGGCCAGCCGCACGCAGAGGCATTTTCCGTCACAGAGGCGCACATTTCGTCAAAACTGGGCAGACGGAGAGCCTCTGTCAGTCGATCAAGCTCGTCCGAATCTGCATCCTGGCCTGACGAAACATGGCTGTTGAAGTCGACACCGTACTTGACGTACAAGAAGACCACACTTTTCCGCAAAAAAGTCAGCGCATACTTCTTCACAAAGGTGTACCAGCCTTCCAGACTATCCACGCCCGGCTGTTGGAAGCCCTTATTCTCTTCCTCATTGTCGCTGGTCTTGCCAAAGTTTGCCACCTCGAGTTCCATCCCGCATTTGGTGATTGCAAGCGCAAAGTTGGCAAAGTTGATCATGGCCGCATCCTGCGATTGCTTGCCGGCAAGTCCCTCGATCCACATGCTGAATGGAATGTTTCGTCCCATGTGGAAGACGACCTTGACAAGTTCCGCCAGATAACATAGCCTGAGCAGATGAGAAATCTCGGCGCTGTAGGCAGGGACCAGGCCATATGCGCATTCAACCAGGAAAGTGAATGGATCAAGGCTTAGCAAGGGGCGATAGGCGTCCAGAGGCCGAAGAACAGAAGTAGCCGCTAGCAGGTCCTGGTTCCCAACATATCGACACACGAATAGCTGGCAGTGCTGTCTCTCGCTGTCGATGGTGAACTCGTCTACGATACGATTGGGAGCTCCGTCTGTATGGCCTGCTCCGACGGCTATGTAAGACGAAGCGGTTTCCGCAAGAACTCGCAAGTGGATGAGCACTTGTTCGGGGATTTTATCCAATAATGTCAGGCCTGGTTGGACTTCGACACCGCGTTGCTGGATTTCCACAGATGATATGGTGAAGCCGATGACTTGAACAAGAGTGTCGCTGAAGTAAAGCTCGTCTCCCCCGGTTGCCTTGACATCAAATGGGTGCCGAGTGCGCAGCCCATTCATTCGCAGCGTATCTCGAAGCCGTCGATATGCCGCCTTCAAGTCTCCCAGAAGTTGACTGCTGGGCCCGGCAGCTGCCAAAGAGTAACCAGGCTCTGGCGTGCCGGCGTTGGAGAATGAGGAGCTTGCCGGTGTTCCCAGCACAGAAGACTGCGAGTCAGGGTCGTCTCTCCCCCATGAAATCTCTGTATCCGGTTGCTGGTTCGTCAAACTTTCGACCAGACTGCCTGGTACGCTCGGCGTGTACATATTCGGTACCCTGGGCGAGTCGACCTCGGGGGCCTTACCCCCTTGCAGCCAATATGCTGAACCCATCTTCAGGTCAAGGAAATCCCCAAACGATTTGGAGGGTTGCAAATAGCTCGGGTACGATTCTTCCAGTCCTTTCCATACAATGGGGAGAAATGCGTTGCCGAGAGCTTTACACAACGGGCACACAAACTCGTTGCGCCTTGTGTCTTCTGGATGGTGTCTTGCAATCTGATGCGTATGCCGGCGATTTGTTGCCTCGTAATACATTTCAAAGCATCGGTAATGCATCATATGCCCACATCCGCTGGCAACCGGGCCAGGTCTGGACAGGTTGGCCTTGAAGCCCTTGCCAATGGTTTGGCGTTCGGCCAGAAACGTCTCTCCGTTTATATTTAGCTTCTCGACCATCCTACGATTCTCATGCGCGATTCCAAAAGGCCGAATGTCTTCGGCAGATCGATCGAGGTTGCAGGGCGTTTGCGAAGCTTCTCTTACCAACTCAGGGTCCTGAAAGTCAGTTTGACGGAGCACGCGGCTTTCGTTGAGAAGAGCAAATGTGCCATAGAGCCTCCTGTCGTCTGCGTCCTCCTGGCATAAGATGCAAGTCCCCGTTGGATACTTCCAATTATGCTTTCGGTCCTCAGACTGCCCCATTTCGTCCTCATCGTCATCCAAGTCAGAGCCCCAATCGAGGCCTGCCTGGTTCTCGAGAAAGCTTTTCTGTTGTTGCTGAAACTGCGCCATGACCTTGGCCTGCCGACTCAAGGCAGCCTTTTTCCGCCTTTCCCGCTCTTCTTCAACCGACTTGTTGGCCGGAGAGGCGGTATCAACACGGTCTACCGGGATGCCGAGGCTCACAAAAGAAGACTCGAATGCTTGCGGTCGCTTTTGCCTCAGTCGTCTCAAGACTAGAGCAATCTTGGGGTGAACCGCTTTGAATTCGTCCTTGTTCGACATCAGGGTCAGGAGAGATACAATGGTTCGAGAGTTGTTCGCCTCTGGCATGAAATTGCTGCGAGCCACGGTGGCGAGAGCAGTTTGAACAAATGAGTTTGACGGCTGTCCGGCAACTGGTTCCGATTCATTGGACTTGTCCTCGAGAATTGCAATGAGAGTCAGATGGAGAACGACTTGTAAGAACGTCTCTAACCGGGTAAATGGCACAGAAGGTGTAAACTTTTGGGCCACAAGAGGATACAAAAGTGAGTAGTAAATGATTTGGGCAAACATGCCGGTGTTTGTGAATTGCCCCAAATTTTCAAACAAGCCTGATGGCACAGGCCGGTGCTTGGGTTCATAGACGATCTCTTCGATTGTCTTGCCAGTCTTCTTGGCCATCTTCTTGCGATATGCCATCTCGGACTCCTCCCGCTGGTTTTTGTTGTAGTGTGCAATGTAGGGGTCAATCTCCTCGATGAATTCTTGACGCAACTCGAAAGTGCCCACGTCAGAAATGCCTTCGGGAGGTTTGAAAGTCGCCATTTCGTCCAAGACTCGGTGGAAGTCCTCCTGCTCTTGATACCTTTCGGGCAGCTTACCACATATCTCGTTGAAAGATAGCGGTTTGAAGCACAAGACATGCGTGATGTCTCGTCGCATTGCAAGAATTCTTGAGTTTGGCTCATCTTCAGGGGCAATGAGTGAAGTCCGATCGCTCAAGAGGACGATGAGAAGATGAATCATGTCCTCAACAATGTCAAGGTGTTGCGCGTCATCCTGCGCTTCGGATTTGAGCTCAAACAACCCCTTCACCCAGCCGTCCATACCGAACCGGTCAATGATGGATGCAAGTACTCGGCTTGGATTGCACACAACCATTGCCGTCTGAAGAAGAAAAATATCCCGGTGGTGTGATACGTCCCTCTGCCCAACACCTCGATATGTGCTGGCTTGGTGCCTCAAGCTTATTCCATTTCGAACCCACATATTGGCTTTGATCTGCGCCAGCCAAGCGCAAACTCGCAGAGGGAAATCAAAGGCAGCCATGAGGTAGTCCTCGGGGTCATAATCCTTCCTTGGGATCTGCGGCCGTCCCATCAATCTTGGCTTTGATCTAAGTTCTTGGCCGGTAAAGCTCATCAAGGTTCGAATGTCGGATGCAGGAAGTGAACGACCGCATTCAATAAGCCAGGACAAGGTGTAGTGCAGAGCATGGTGGAAGCTGATGGAATCCTTCTCAACGACGAACTTGACTACTTGGTAGGAAGTGTTCTCCGCATCAAACTCAAAGTCGCTTAGTGTCTTGAACTTGACCTCGTCCTTGATCTCTCCTTGCTTGAATCTGTGACGTTCTGCGCCCGTCGAGTTCAAAATCACAGTCTTTGCCGTAAAGCGAATTGCGTCCTGGAGATAATGTATTTCGTCGGGCTGACAGTCTCTGAATGCCTCGACTAAATTCCTTGCTTGCAGGTTGATCTGCCGTGTGACCAACGAGGCCGTTATCCAAGAGTCTGCCTCGTACTCAACATGCTCAACTACTGCTCGCACATTTGGCCCGATGCACTGGTGGAGCTTCACCAGGTCCAGGAACTGCATCAAATATCGAGGCTCGGATCTGACTCGCTCTTGGACGTGGGGACATCCGAAGAGGTATTTCAAATCTTGGTAGAAATGGTACATGCGGCGGTTGGTCACCGATCCGCTTTCAAACGCGAGTACGGCGTCAGGAGACACATCCCACGGGTGACCAACTTGTCGAGTAGTCAAAAAGGTGTACAGGATGGCTAGCAAGCTGCTCATAAAGTTTCCTCGCTCCACAACTTCGGCGGTTATGGACGGAGATGTCAACATCTGCAGCGACAAGTTGATAATGGAGTGATCTGGTTCCCTGTCACCCACCAAGTACAACTGCGCTAGTATCGTGTAAAGACTGGCGAATCTCAAAGCCAAGACGCGCTTGAACTCCGGCACTAACACCACTGTTGAGATGTAAAGCGATCGAAGGTCGATCCTGACCTTCTTCCACATCCGCAGATCAAAGAGAAGCAGCCAATCGAGACGTACACGTTGAAATACGTCTTCAGCAGGAGGCACATCATCTCGTTGTGTATAGACTTGCGGCGTCTCGATCCAGTATCTCCCAGGCCGAGGGGTGGGCTTTTCCGTTTTCCCGGGAGTTTTGGGAATATCAGCATTTGCTTTGACAAAGGCCGCAGGTACGATCAAAGGATCAGCCGTATCGGAGTCCGAAGGAGTACCATCCCGTTCTCGTCGTGCCGGTCTTGCTTGAACCGGCGGCGGAGGCGGAGGCGGAGGATAGCCTGCCATTGTGGCCTCGTCTTCTTCCAGAGCCTGGTCCGATTGTGACCAGTTCATACCCAGATCACCAACGTCTCCCCTGGCATCTACCATCATGACGTCGTCGTCCTCGTCCTCATCGCCGCCCGCTACTGAGCTAGTGGGCGACTGGCCGTCGTCGTCGTTGCCCATGTCTGCATCGTCGTCCTGATCCACGTCGTCATCGCCCATGTCGATGTTGATTTCAAGATTGCCGCCAGGGGCAACTGCGGCCTGTAGCGCCCTGATGAAGCGAACGTTTATGCCGTGAATCCTGGGCATGCTCTGCTCGTCTTCGTCTTCGTCGTCAATCACACACGACGTGTGCGAAGCAAGGCTCCCCTGACGCCACGTTTTCATCATCTCATCGCAGACTGTTCGCCTAAGAATATTACTGTCGTGCCCAATGGAGCAGCCTGAAATATCGCCTAGCCACTCAACAAGCGTGCCGCACATTTGTTCACGGAAGGTGTCTCGCGCCGACCTGATCGTAACTGTGACTCTGATGGCCTCCATGATCTTGGCCATTTGAAGCAGTCTATCAATGTCGGTTGAATAGGTCAAGATGCTTCTCCCAACAGCATCGGTCTCCCAGGCGTCCGCAGCAGCCTGTCGTCTGGTCTTCCTACATGCCCTAGCAATCTGGTCCTGGACTTCCTGGACTGTGTGTTTCTCGTCATTCCACAATATGAGGGCAAAGTCGCTGCAGGACGCGGCCTCTGGACCGTAACAGACAGATGTCAGCCGCGACGCCTCCTCGTCTCTCAAGATTGATTCCTTGGTTTTGCTCTGCCTCAGCTGTTCCGGGGAGCAGGAAACAACGTCACAAATATAGTCAAAGACGCGTCCGACAGTCATACGGAGGCTGTTCAGGAGGTCATCGGGCAGCCCGACAGCTTCCTTGGCCTTGCCCTTGCCGTGCCCAGGTTTCATGTCCGAATGTATCGTGCAGAACAAGGGCGTCTTCCACGCTTCGTGATCGCCGCAGTCGCAGCACCCGCTATTTCCGACAGACATGTGTATCCGGACCATGTGGCCGGTATGGTCTGTTGAGTCGTAGCACCGGACGCAGAGACAGCATGTGTCGTCGGTTCCGCACGTTCGGCACATGTAGGTGGCCTCGCCAGGTTTGAAAATGTGTCCGCATCGCTTGCCGCGGGCTGCTTCGGTGTACTCGACGCCCTCGACGGCGCCCTGGGCATCGCCAAGCTTCAAGCTGTCGGAAGGCTTGCCATCGGGGAACAGAAGTCGCATGTAGTCTTGGTTGCCACCCGCCAGAGACCAAAACAAGCTTGTCAGGAGTTCCCGTGCTGCATCCTCACTGTAACGGTTGTCGAACCGGGCAGGCAGCTCTGCCAAAAGCTGGCAGAGCTGCTGCTCCTGCGTAGACATTTCCGGTTCCATGCTCATGAGCTCATGGTTTCCGCCGATCTTATCCGGACTGTGCGCCCATGGACCTTGATGAGAAAAAGTGAGATGCTAGCAGCTCGTCGAGGTGCTCGCTGGCAATCTATCGTCGACGATGGGCAGCGATGGCCAGTCAATAACAGAGCTCAGCAGGACGAAGAGGGCAGGTTGTACGGGTAAAAGAGATGGTGGCAACAAAGCACCGCAGAGCTATCTTGGGAGGAGATGATGTCCTCGCTTGCTGATTGCAAGGAGGTGTTTACGTAGTGGCTGGAGCCCAGCAGTTGGTGCGCAAATGCAGGCGAACGGTCTCAGGCATCTGGGGCGCCGACGTCGTCAATTACAGGGCGGCCAGCGAATGATGCCCCTTTGCGCACCACTCTGAACCGGACTGCAGCTGTGGGACTCGGCTCAGACTCCAGACTCCAGAGTAAGAGACGTCGCCGACCTCGCAACCCGAATGCATCAATTGATAAGTTACTTTGCCAAGCTACTCCGTACCAGGCTGGCCTTTGCGCGTCACATTTCTGTCAACATGCTCTTCTTGCTCCAGTCCAGCGCGCTCACGTCACGGCGGTGGCCCTGTCGCACGGGTTTTTGCAGAGGCTGATGCTGCCCGACTCGAACGGCTTGATGCGTGAGATGTCAACTCTATTGATTTTTTTTCCATGGTGAATTGTACAAGTCTAGAGACACAAAGGCTCACTGACCCCTTGGCCATTTCGCCGCCTTCGATTGTATATCGTAAATGTAGTTACTTTACTCCTCGTCCTCGTCGCCACCATCCTCAACATACTTGCTTCGGATATCCTTCCATTGTCGCTGCATTCCCACATTAGTCCAGTGGATTGAACAGCATTATTCGCACATGACAGCTTACGCCGCGGTTGTGGTTGTCCCACCACTTGTTCACACCGTTATTGAAGCCGCTATGGCGAGAGGTTAGCCGTTGCCGAATGCTGGTACACCATGTATGCTGGGGTGAGGTCCGTACACTTCAAAGGCGAAGCCGGCTGCGAAGACGGCCGCCAGCATGGCGTAGTTCTTTCGGAAAAGGGCGCTGCACCAAGTCGCGTTAGCTTCTCGGGGTCTTGGTCGTGGTCGTGGTTCGGCTTCGATCGAGGAACTTGCCCGTAGAAGGAGTTGACGAGGGACTGTCGGATGAGCGATTAGCTGCCAGCATCGACGGAAGAGTGCGCCGTCAGTGCGGACGCTTACCATTGTGACGGCTCCGTGTGATTAAGTACTGGAGAATGCGGTGCCAGGAGGTGATAAGCCGTAAAGCTGTCGGGGGATGAATTCCTTCGAGGGTTGGAGGACTGGCTCAAAATAGCTGCCGGGGAAATTCGCGATGGACTGAGGCCGTCTTTGCCTGCTCTCTGATTGGCCAGTCTCATCCAGCGGATCCTTCGAACCCGAGGTGCGGCCAAGAAGCGGCCGTGTAGGAACAACTTGCACGAGCCGTTATGTCGTTCACGGAAGAGGGTAATGATTACGCTGAGGACCAAGCTCGGCAAACTACCTATGTGCTTCTGGTTGCTTACACATACTTGAGCATATCGCGTAAAATCCCCTCTCCAAGGCCTCATGGCAAACGAGCAACTCGCAGAGTCGGTTCAAAATGTCTCGGGAAGAAGGAGGTTTTGTATCAGAGTTCCTTTAGCTTTTTGACTCCATGTTGGATTGAAAGTTTCAAGCCGATTGTCCTCTTCATTGTTTCCGTCTCCAATGTGCACTTCATGTACTACTCCTTTCCCTGTTCAGGCGGTTTTGGCTCTGGTGTACAATTAATTATTCAATGCATAAAATTATGATGATGTGGGGTCACCTTTTCAGGAATGTGACGACTTGCGCCCCGCGCCCGTCGAGCAGAGCACAACAGCTCGCCTGGAGTGTGCTCAGTCACAGACTCACAGCAGCAAGCATAACGTTTCGAGGCAAATCTTTCAAGCGTGGCCATTATTCGTTCATTCATCACAGCCAGTTCCTCTCGTGGATTTCTGACGATCTTACTTTTCCTACCCTTCCCCACCTGCCTTGGCCTTCTGAATCCCACTGCTCCTGTCACGAGCTCCCGCAAGCCCAGCTATTCGCGATGCCTTCACAGGCCACCACCACAAGCACCACCAACGCAGGAATCGTCACGGACGAAAACAGCGGAGAGCGCCACATTCCCGAATCCGTCCGCGCCGATGGAACCACCCGAAAAGCTATCAAGATCCGACCCGGCTACCGCCCGCCAGAAGATGTCGAAGTTTACAAGAACCGGACCGCCGAGGCCTTCCGGGAGCGAGGTCGAAGAATAGGCATTCCCGGAGCTGCGGGCATCGAGGAAGAGCATCCAGAGCAGACCCCCTCGACAGCCAACAGCAAAAACGCAAAGCGGAGAGAAGCTCGCAAGAAGGCCAGAGCAGGTGCGGACAGCGACGTCGCAACCGAGACCAAATCAACGACTACGACTGCAGAGAGCCCGAGGACTGAAGAGGTCGATCCGGAGGTGGAGCGAGAGAAGAAGGCCCGCAACCTTAAGAAGAAGTTGAAACAGGCCAAGGAGCTCAGGAACAAGAAGGAGGGTGGGGAGACGCTTCTGCCGGAGCAGATCGCTAAAGTGATCAAGATTAACGAGCTCATTCGCGAGCTGGATGCCCTCGGTGTTGATGCTGAGGGCGGGCCCAAGTCGAACGAGGGCAACGGGGTCAAGACGACAGAGGAAGGGAAGGATTGAGCTGGTACGGACGGGGGAACGACTTTGTTTGACAGGGTGATCCATTCATGATTTGAGAAGCAGAGGATAAGGACGGCCATGTTGGTTGTGGATTTCATGCTACGGGAGTTACGGCGTTGTATTATCTCTTCCACGTTCGGTTGCATCGAGAGCCGGGCCGAGAACTATTGCGGTTGATCTTTCACATACCCATGTGAGCCTTGGAGTGGCTGACGTCGCCGTAACGCGTGTGGGCGCGATAGACGCGGATGGATGCTGTGGATGACAGCACTCCAGAGCATGGTGGAATTTTTGGCGAGATGGAGGTTAGGCACGTTGCCGCACATGCGCATTGAGCAACCATCAGAACATTCGACAAGATCGAACACAGTAATTTGCGGCCGTACACATAACCAAGACAAAAGCAAACTCGCATCATTAAAGAGGTCTTTGACCACAGAACCCGCCTCCCTACGATGGCACTTGTAGCCTGTAGATACCAGGCAGGTGAAGCAAAGGTGAATTGATTTGTGAACGCCGCCCGAACCGCAGGGTAGGTCCGGTGAAGCACGTACCGACCTTCTGCCGGCCGTGGCGATTGGCGGCTCCACCCAAGGCTCCAGCGCGTGAGGTAAGCTTCCTTGCCATTGACAACGGCGTAGCAACCACCAGCACCACATCATCGGCTTCATCTCTCGCTTCATCGTCGGCGCCTTTTGCAAGGTGCTCTGTCCCCGGTATCTCCACGCGCGTTACGCCCCACCGTCCTCCTCGACTGCTCCCGATACCTCAACTCTTTGGACGCCGAGTCACTTCGGTGCAGCCGCCGCTGACATGACGCCCGAGGAAGAGCGCCAGGCCACCCTCGACTCGTACCGACAGAAGCTCATCGAGTCCCGAGAATGGGAGGCGAAGCTGAAAAATCTCCGGCTGGAGATCAAGGATTTGCAGAAGGAGTTTGACCGTACCGAAGACAACATCAAGGCCCTGCAAAGTGTAGGCCAAATTATCGGTGAAGTCTTGAAGCAGCTTGATGATGAGAGATGTACGGACAGTCCCCGCCCAGAGGTTTTGCCGCCTCTTTCCGCGAAACAGAATCCACACAAACCATGGCACGTGCTAACAAGTCGAGCAACGCAGTCATCGTCAAGGCTTCGTCAGGGCCTCGATATGTCGTCGGCTGCAGATCCAAGGTGGACAAGGAGAAGCTGAAGCAAGGCACGCGTGTCGCGCTCGACATGACGACGCTCACCATCATGCGCATGCTCCCCCGGGAAGTGGATCCTCTCGTCTATAACATGTCGCTGGAGGACCCGGGACAAGTCAGCTTTGCTGGTATCGGAGGGTTGAATGACCAGATCAGAGAGCTAAGAGAGGTCATTGAGCTGCCACTCAAGAACCCCGAGCTGTTTCTCCGAGTCGGCATCAAGCCCCCCAAGGGTGTGTTGCTTTACGGGCCGCCTGGAACCGGGAAGACCCTTTTGGCAAGAGCAGTGGCTAGCAGCCTAGAAACGAACTTTTTGAAAGGTATGTCTGTTTGGACCAAGGAAAAAATAAAACGAAAAGAAAAAATTAGCACAGTACAGCCATCATTACTCTACACGTCAATACCTTTCCCCCCCTTGTTCAAGAAACTAACTGTGCGTTGCAGTGGTTTCATCGGCCATTGTCGACAAGTACATTGGCGAATCTGCACGTCTTATTCGCGAAATGTTTGGCTATGCTAAGGAACACGAGCCCTGCATCATTTTCATGGATGAAATTGATGCTATTGGCGGTCGTCGTTTCTCCGAAGGTACTAGTGCTGATCGCGAGATTCAACGAACCCTCATGGAGCTCCTCAACCAGCTAGATGGTTTCGACTACCTGGGCAAGACGAAAATCATCATGGCAACCAACAGGCCCGACACTCTAGACCCTGCACTGCTGCGTGCGGGTCGATTGGACCGCAAGATTGAGATTCCCTTACCGAACGAGGTGGGGCGTTTGGAGATTCTCAAGATTCACGCACAGAGCGTCGTCCTGGACGGAGACATTGATTTCGAGAGTGTGGTCAAGATGAGCGACGGGTTGAACGGCGCTGATTTGAGAAACGTGGTGACGGAAGCGTGAGTTTCACTCCTTCAGAGGGCCGGAGGGCCACCGAGAGAAGATGCAGGGCTAACTACTGCATACAGAGGTCTGTTTGCCATCAAAGACTACCGGGATTCAATCAACCAGGATGATTTCAACAAGGCAGTCCGCAAAATGGCCGAGGCGAAGAAGCTGGAAGGCAAGCTAGAGTACCAGAAGCTGTAAGAATCAGCATGACAGAAGGTGAAACAAGAGACCGGCGCCCATAGACGAGGATGGCTAGGCAGGGGGTGCTAGGTCGACGGGGAGCGGCGTCCAGTATCAATCTTGTAAGACTGTACAATAAAAATAAAGATGGGGTTCTGCAACGTCACGAGGTGCTGCTAGATGCTAGATGCTTGAAAGGAACAGGCGACATGTTCTGTAGCCACGGCGAAGATGCTGCCTGCTGTCAGTCGTGTTTCGTGGAGGCGAGAGAATGAATGCCTGGTGAAGGCCAGTCTGTGTCTAGACAAGATGACCGGCAGCGGCAGCGGCAGCGGCTGCGCGAATAACATGGCTTCGAGGCAACTGTTCGCATAGAAAGTAAATAATTCTAACAATTATTCTACTACTTGCGATGGACTAGCTCTATTGAGCCATAGCAAGTGCCAGCTGCAGTCATCCCGGTGGTTTGCCGGACCCCTGGCCATGAGGCTAAAAGTATCCAATAAGGCACCAATACAGTGCCTTGTGTATACTCGAGCCATAAGCTCGAGTCCATTACAGACAGGGAAAGAGGCGAAACAGCTGTCATCCGGCCAGGCCGCAAAAGATGCTAGGAAGAACACAGCGTCTCAACCAAGACCTCGGACCCTCACGAAAGCAAAGCAGTGGCGGAACGTGAATAAGTGCACCCGGCAGGTCTGAATCAAATATCTTCATGTAAAGTCGGTGAAGACTGCATCAAGTCTCTCCAAGTACGTGTTTCGGTCTTGCATTTCTCGTCAATCATGTCACAGATGTTGGGGCGCTAAAGACGGGCAAAGAATCTACAATCGGCCTTGCTTAGTTCTTCCGGAGAGTAGGAGAAGTAGCTGGGTAATATACGATCGTAGAATATCTCCGTGAAGGCTGCTGGATCCTTTACCGCCAGCGTGACCCAAAACGCCCCGTGATACACGAGAGGGCTCTGCACCTCGTCGGTAGTTCTGAAGCTGTTCTTTTCGCTTTAGGAGCTCGAGGATGCAGCATGTTTCGGTGCGAATTCGATGGGTCCAATCTCGTCGGTTAATCCACCGCCGAGCCAGTATGGCGGTTGTAGAAATTCGATGGGCGATGAGCAGGCAAATTCTAGGTCAATGATGCAAGTAATATTCCAGTCCTTATCAACGAAGATGTGGCCGTACTACTTCTCCAACGCGGTAAGGCAAGGGAAAGCCGAGCAACACGAACTGTGGGGGGTCGACATGGACAGGAATACAGAGATTGAATGATCTATGGCGCCAGTACTCTTGCGAAGAAATAGTAACGTCTGTCGGTTTGGTGCCAAGGTGATGTGCTACGAGATCAGCCAGAAGAGGACGATAGGTCTCTATGCGCTTGTAGAAATTCCCTTCTGCTGCGGGTATTCTAGAGCGTGAAGGACATTTCTGCTTTTCGCTGTTGCGGCAGAAAGAGTGACGGGGCCGGAGAGTAGGTTGCGAGTCGTCGTAGCGGGCGGATGGCTTGAGAAAAGGAGTAAGGAAAAGTCGGTTGCTTCGAAGACATCCAATATTGCCGACTCAGGCTCGTTGGCTCGAAACTCGGCACCAAGAATTTGGGTCGCCAAGATCTCACCGCTAGAATTTCACGGGCCATAACTCGTGTCACTCTCGTGGTCCTCCTGTCGGGCAGTAGTCCACAAGAGAAGCAAGAGCGCGTTCCAGCTGAAGGATGTTGCACTACAAGACCTATTAGCATCTCGGGCTCGTGACGCCGCCGAGTGGTAAGTAAGGCGGCTCTGTAGACCCCGCATCGCTGGCAAGCAGGCGCCGTGTCTCAGGTATAAGGGACTCCAAAGCTTAGACTGCACCTGATTCACAATACCTCTCTTGGCGGTGATTCCCTGGACATTGTGAGGCATCTCACCCACCTTTTTGCACACGCGAGGTGCCATCCTGCTCTGGCTCTCTTGCCTTGACCGAGGCCATCTGCGTGAGAAAGACGGCGAGACATGTTGTTGCCGGTTTTCGACGACAGCAGGATGAAATCGAGAATTGCAGGTTGGAAGAGCAACATACAAGCACGGCCATGGCAGTTGAAGGATGGTGTTGATGATTCCGACACGTCCTTTTTCGTGGATGAGTACCCCGGAATATTGTTCCGGGGCGCGGAATTACCCGCGCCAACCCATCATCATAGCAATGCTAATGTGACACCACAGGGTTACCCCCGGAAGTCGGCAGCGCCGGTATACAGATTCTGCCTGGGATGTTAGGTTCCTCGTTCGTCAACGGGAGACCCAAGGTCGGGTGTGCCAAGGGCGGTGAGTTGCGCAGTTGGTGAGCAGATGAACGATTTGATGCCTGCACACGGGCAGAACGCGTGCATTTCCACACCTTCTCTGGTGGTCTGGTAAATTCTGCATGTCTTTGACAAATGGAGGGATGAGAGAGGGACATAGGAAAAAGAAAAAAAAACCTAAAAAACATACAACACTAGGTATTCGCTAGTTGTCACCAACCTAGCTACTAATCTAGCGCTTGCCAGGTTATCCTAGAAGATCGGACGGGTTTCTGAGTTTTCTAGCAGCTGTGGTCGTATGTGCTGGAGAGAGTAGCTATTACAGTATATATACATATTATAGATATAATTTTAAAGTTAGAGGGGCTAAAAAAACATACAACACTAGGTATTCGCTAGTTGTCACCAACCCAGCTACTAATCTAGCGCTCGCCAGGTTATCATAGAAGATCGGACGGGATCCTGAGCTTTCTAGCGGCTGTGGTCGTATGTGAGGACAGTATCGATAGTTATGATATATATAGGTGTTAAACCTGACGGTGGTCCAATCCGTAACTGCTCAGTGCAGCTCTGGCTGAGCCTCCATTTTCCGGCGTTCTTGGAATGTCTCAAATAGCCGAAATAGCAGTCACACAAGCCCAGCAGAAAATGCGTAATCTATTCAACAACAGTATCAACGAAAGATGGCGGCGAGACCTGAAAACTAGCTGCGGCAGCTGAATCGGCAAAATCAACCATCATCAAGAGCATCAACTAGCCGGGCCGCTTAAATAGTGATAGGTTTGCCCTCCAGATGGCTTCGATTTTGGACCAAGTCCACTATCAATCACATCTACAGGGCGCATATCGTAACAGACAGGGTTCTCCTGCCAACAACTGCCACATGAAGAGGCAGTGATGAGTCATGCCTCATCACTAGTCATCTGTTACGAAATAAAAGGTCAGATCAGTGAGTATGTAATGGTTGTTTTTCTTGAGCCATCTGAATTGCCAGAAGTCCTGTAGGTGCCTACATATGTAAGGCAACCACCTGTGACAACAGGTCAAATCGGCACTTTATTTCGTAACAGATGCCGTTTCACAAGGGGAGAAATAGCTGCCCCAGCTATATCTAACTAGAGTCGCTGGAATATCCAGGATATCTAAAGCGCCTAGAGTAGCTACTATAACTAGGCTTGATTTGAAGGGACTGGCCGGGTCCAAAGTGAGCGTTGCTGACAGGCCCGTATCGAAGGCCACGGGCGGGCTCGGTTTGAACGTTGTGGCCGGGATTGAAAGGAACGTTGTGGCCAGGACTGAAATGAGCGTCATGGCCGTATTGAGGATTGCGGCAGAGCTGTTGAGATCCAGGCTGTTGAGCCGGGTGGTCAAATTCAGGGCTTTGAGCCGGGCTTGATTGAAGCTGTTGAACTTGACGAGCTTCGAGCCGGGATGGAAGGTCCCTGCCGGGTTCAATTGGAAGCTTCTGGCCGGGCTCAGATTGAAGGTATTGACTATCTGACTGTGCAAGTCATAGGCAGGCGCGGATTGGATTAGCTGACCACGCTTCAATAGAGTCACATAGCCGTTCTTGAGTTGCATAATGATACCAGGTTCAATTGGAAGGTTAACATCGGTGAATTGAAAGTCCCTGCCGGGCTCGATTAGAAGCCCCCCCCTGCAGGGCTCGGATTGAAGCCGCTGGATTGAATTCCTTTGAATTGGGCGGCCTCGCCGCTGGGCCCGATACCAAGCTCGTTGGGCTTGGTCTCTCCAGTAGTCACAGTCTTGTTGAAGCTTCTAATGTTGCTGCCACTAGCCCTAGTACCAGTTGTAGAGGCTCTTTTCCTGCTGCTGGAGGTAGGTCTGTTGAGCCTCTAGGGCTTGGAGAGCTGCTGGTATCTTTGGTATTGAGGGCTAGCTAGGCAGAGCTCTTGAAGATGCTGGAAGACCTGATTTCTTGACTGGAAGGCCTTCCTGTAGATGCCACAAGTACGGCGCTGCTGATCCTTGCGATGGAGCTGTTAGAGCCGCTGTTACTCCAGTTGATAAAGCCTGTCTAGGGGGATCATTTTGACAGGGCTGGTGGCTGCAGCCGATATCGAGGGATTTGGCCGGGCTGAACAGAGCTATCGAGAGATATCGAGAGCTATGACTGGATTGAACAGGGCAGCCGGATTGACGATGGACCTGACGATTTCGTGCACGATCTTGTGGTCCGCTACAACCTGGGAAAAGCTACAGCTGCCACAGCTCTTGAGGCCATTGCGAGAGGCTGATTGAGGGTGCGTGCCGTGCGGTCCTAGTAAAAGGGACGGCTTTGACGGAATTGGTTGACAGGTTCGATTTGATAAGGGTCCTGGTAAGCTAGGCAAGGTCCTTGAATAGCAAAGCAAACGAACAATTGCTACCACTTGTTACGAAATAAAAGGTCAGATCAGTGAGTGGGTGGTGGTTGTTTTTCTTGAGCTATCTGGGTTTAAAAGTCCTATAAAAAGGGGCTGGCTCGCGCGTTCTAGGTGCCCAAGACAGCCACCTGTGACAGCAGGTCAAATCGGCACTTTATCTCGTAACATTATCGTTGTGTTCAAGTGATAACTCTGCCTTGGCTAATCTCATTGCTGTTCTTTCAGCACGAATTTCGGCTTGTTTTTCAGCACTCCAGAATCTAGATTGGTATTTGCGCGTATTCTTGAATCGCTTTGCTGTTTTCACAGCCCTTTTTTCAGCAGCAGAAGCCTTTTCCTGCGCTACTAGTTCTGCTTCGCCTGGTGATATTGATGGGATTGGAGATCTTGCAACTTCTTCCATGAGCTGCAACTTCTCATCTCTGCCTCCTTTAGCTTCTGCTTGATCCTGGCTGGCTTTTATACCAAGAAGTAAAAGAGCTCGTAATGTGAAATTTGCATCATTGCCACCATTATGAAGCCAACTATATGGACACCCAAGTTCAGTAAGGAGTTCCCCAAGAGTAAGAGAAAAGTGTGGAAGAACTTGACCCGTGATTCTAAAAGTATCAAGACACTGTAGTCCTTGTAGATTAAACCCTATATTTGATAGGACATGAACCTCATGTCTAATATCATGTCCGACAAGAATGACATTTCGATCTGTAGGAATAAGAGCCTTGATTTGATCAAGAACCTCATCAAGTTTTATCCAGACAGGCTTCCTAAATAAAAATTTAAGCATAGCCTTGCGATAGTATTTTGGTGATCCAGTCACAAAATTATATGTTGATATAAGCTTTTCAGGAGATGTAGCTGTAGAAATATCTCTGGTATCAAGAATCGCAAGGCCAAGTTGCGTATCCACATTTCGAGAAAGGTCTCCCCTAAACTGAATATTATTCTCAAAGTCAATCGCCACGAGAATAGTGTCTTGGTAACGTAACGGTGCCTCTTCTTTAGGACCCAGGATCTGAAGGAGGATCTCTAGACCATTTTTGACTATTTGGTAGGTGGGCTCGCGTTTTCGGACTTGATCTTCCATGGTAGGGATTGAAATTAACGTGGAGTAAGGTTAATAAGACCTTAATAACCGTATATAATGTGCCTAGTGATAAGAAGTCGTGAAAGCTTAGGCATAAGACCTTGAACCCAATGAGGCTCAAAGGTTTGCAGTTTGTCCGGCTTTAAGGGTATAAGGTATCAATGCTTGGGTCGCAAAAGGCAAATAATTTGCATAGTAATCGCTATCGCGTAATCAAGAGCCCCTTTGATCAGCGATGTGAATCAAAATATGCAAAGTAGTGTTTGATGATCCGGCGGTGCAAGCTGAGAGAGGGTTTGGAGGGAACTCAGCGCGACAGTGGAAGAGAGCAGTGCGATGAATGGTCAAAGAGAATGGATAGTGCGATTGAAGAAGAGAATAGTGCGATGGAAGAAGAGAACAGCAAGCGGGGTTTTTGGGGAAGAGCTGCGCTACGTATCAAGTAAGCCTGGTTGGCCGAGTGGTTAAGGCAGGAAGCTAGTTATGTAGTTGAGGCTCTTCCGTGTAACACTGGACGAGTTCGACCGGACGACCCCCGGCCTAAAAGAGCTTATCCAACTCATTTCCACCTTCCTAGTGCTCTCAGAGAAGGTGAAAGGCTGCTTTCCAGCCGTCCAGAGATTGATCTCCTCACTGAAGTGCGAGAATTCCAACGCCGACACTCCAGAGTCCAGACGCCTCAAAAGAAGTGGTCTGTGGCGGCGGGTCAGGTTCCACCATTCACCCCAGTTTACAACTTTACAAGCGCTCTTCGTTGAACAAGGAAGGAGGCTCGGAGGAAGTGGCTTGTTGTGGAAAACAAGGTTAGGCCTCGCAGTACGGAGTAGTCAGATGTCTGCATGTTCACTTCGTCCGGCTCGCCCGTGCACGTGCAGCCCACCAGTGTGTGTGTAGGAAGGTCGATAAGATAAGGTGGTCTACCACACAAAAGTGTTGTGTGGGCCACAAATCAGGGTCAATCTTTTTAACCTTGATTTTTAACCCCTGTCAGCACAAACGCCACCAAGACAAGGTGGGGATAGTGCTTTGTACCGTCCCTCAGCAATTTTATTTTATCCGACTTTTGAGTACTTTTACAGCCATCTCTATGTTGCAGAGCATTGTGCGTCCAATTCGCGCTACAATTACTAACCCCGGTTTTCTGAATCACAGCCCAAGTCCTTCGGATTTCTGGTCCGCCATCACCGAGGCTTGAGACCTCAGACCTCCGTCGCAGGATTATGTCTATGCTGCGCCGTCATATGGCGGCAATATGCTGCAGCTGCAGTGCTTCCTTGGCCTGGCTGGACTGGCAAATAATTGTCCAGCTGAATGAAGCGTACGACGAAGCGTTGCATGATCCTTGGTGCACTGCCTGCTCCTCTAATTGCATTTTCCATTTTACGGTCCCGACTATTTTGCTTCCACCCCCTCCGACCCAGGAACCCGTCCCAACCAAGCCTGTCACGCTGTCACCCTTTCATGTACAGATTTGCATGCAGCTGCTAATAGCATAGTTGTCGATTTCAAAAATTACGAGCTTGTCGCTGGCGCCTGAGCCTAAATATAGAGAAAGTTACCAGGGCAAAAAACCTAAAAAACATACAACACTAGGTATTCGCTAGTTGTCACCAACCTAGCTACTAATCTAGCGCTCGCTAGATTCTCCTGGAAGATCGGACGGGTTTCTGAGCTTTACTAGCGGCTGTGGTCGTATGTATCATATGCTGCTACTATTTTGTGCTATGTACTCTGTAAGTTATAATTTGAATATAGAGGAAGTTCAAAGGGGCAAATCAAAAAAATTACATACAACACTAGGTATTCGCTAGTTGTCACCAACCTAGCTACTAATCTAGCGCTCGCTAGATTCTCCTAGAAGATCGGACGGGTTTCTGAGCTTTACTAGCGGCTGTGGTCGTATGTGTCATTTGCAGATACTATTTTATGCTATGTATAATTGAAGCATGGAGGAAGTTCAAAGCGGCGAAGCGAAAAGTTACACACAACACTAGGTATTTGCTTGTCGTCACCGACTGGTTTCTGAACATGGTCAGGGCATCATCCAGAGCTCTCTCGGGAAACTCCGCTTCGCTGCTAGCTGCGCAACCCCCTCAAGTCGCACTCGAAACGCAGCCATTCGGACGGCCTCTGTTCGCAACCACTCCGGCGACCTTTGTTCCAATTCACCCGCACTGGCACGCTACTCCATGTTTCGCCCAAGCAATGCATGAGCAGTCGTTGATGGGTAGGACCCAAAAGATCGAGCAGCGGCCTTACTTTCGAGACCAAGTAAGCCGGCCACAAGGCGCCAAAAGATGCCATACCGTGCTGTGTGCTTGTGTTTCCCAAGAAATTCCGTGCGACAGCTCGGCGTTGTCTCCGCGTCCTTACTGCCCAGTGCAAGATGCTGGAGTTGTTCTTTGTCCTTCCACTGCCGCACAAAATACCTTGGCGCAAAGTACCATTGAAAAGTCAGACGTAAAGGCGGTAGCTTCGGTCCTCGGGCATTGATGACAGGCATCATGTTCCATTCACATGAAAGAGAGTTGCGCACGAGACTTGTCGAGCGACAGTTTGACCTATCGCAACGGGGCAGGCAACTTCTTGACCGTCTGCTTTGGGATGCTTTTGTGGGTACTCCGTAGTAGATCTAGAATGTGGCAGCGTGGGCCATTTAAAGGCAAGACACTCAAGGCGTGCACCGTCATTCTCGACCCTGGCCTCGACTTCAACGTCTTGAGCTGATTTGACATGGTTCTCGTCCAACCTCTCCTATCGCACGGCATCCCCTCTCCACAGTCTTTGCACGATAGCTTCACATATACCCACCATGGTATCGGGCAGATTTCCACGGTCTAACTTTCTTCGGCTAAGTTCAAGCGCATCAAGCTGAATCGGGATCCTGACAAGACCCTGGAGAAGCCAATGGTCTCGCAGAGAGAGCTGCATCTTATCGACCGTTTCCTGTCAGTCTCGGGCGTTTTTGAATCAGTCAGGTTGGTAAACGTCTTCTCGATGCAATTCCTTCCTTGTTTTGTGTGGATCGTGTCATTTCCAATTCTAGATCAAGAGCTCGGATCCAAGTGAAAAGCCTTGCGTTGGGCCGGGATGTGATGATAACTTTGGGGCTCCCAAGGACTACGCGGGAAATTGATACATCAACTTTCTGTCGAGCGAGCATGCAAGACGGGGATTTCTGTGGAAGTGGATCTGCCTCGTTTTAATCCTTCTCCAAGCGATCTGCTTTTCGGTTGGATGTTTCTACAACGGCGAGATTGATGTAGCCCTGGTCCATTGATAGGTGGTCGCCCGAGAGCCGCATTATGTTGAGCTCGTCTCAATAATGCTGGTTTTTGAATCCAGGCATCAGGTCCTGAGGAAAGTGGTGGCACTGCCAGTGAGTGCCAGCTTGAGTGCTGTGCGCCTCGTTGACTCCCAGGCAACAAACTGGAACGAGTCCGTCAACTTTGCAGAATTTGTGGCTCCCATGTCTCGCCCGTGAGCGCCTTTCTCTTGTCCCTTGTCCTAGTGCCCGGTGGCTTGTTTTGAGGGCGCCATCCGAAAGCTGTTGCACACGTGACACGGCCATCCAGGGCTGAGCAACAAGCCGAATCAGGAGGCAAGGCGCCTACGGAGGTCTATTGCTCGGGGCGCTCACCATTTTTGCTCGGGGCGCTCACCACCCCATATGACCCACTTTTTATGCGGCAAGCCCCGCTGCCATGCCCTGTAGTACATTCTTGGTACAAAGATATGGCAGCTTTACTTAACTCTAAAATGCTTCATTGAAAATCAACGGATTTTTCAACAATGCTGCAGCCGTACGAATTTTTCAACAGGCAGCAGCTTTTTCCTTCAACAACAACATCGCGATGCCTCACGAAGGCCCTCACAACCCCTTAAATCCGCCCTTAAATTTGCCGCCCCAACGAGGCGCTTAAAGACCTCCCGCACCAAGCATTCGCAGAGATTGCACACAAGTAGAGATTGAACCTGCCGCAAGGAATCAACGCTCCCGCAAGGAATCAACGCTCCCGCAAGGAATCAACGCTCCTGCAAGGAATCAACGCTCCCGCAAGGAATCAACGCTCCCGGCAGCAGCCGCCGGCGTCATTACAACGATCGAATCGCAATACAAATAACAGGGAAAGAAGACCAATTGGAAGATAGGGCTCCCTTGAGATTGAGGAATTCATTCCTTCAACGCCGTTGCCGCTATCGCAGCCGATAGATGTAACTAGATGGGTAATTAAGCGGCCGGAATAACTAGAAAATCCAGCCCGATAGTGAACATATTAAGCGAAAACACCAGAAATCGCGTTTTTGAGCGATTTAGAGCGGCGCTGTTGAGAAATTTGTATAAATTTATACAAGCACCTTTTTGATTAATTAAGGGCATTTTGCTGCCATACATTTGTACCCAGAATGTACCTGGTGCATGGCAGCGGGGCCGCTAGACCAAAAACAGGGCGTGGTGGGGTATTGAGCGGAGCGCCCCGAGCAAAAAGGTGAGCGCCCCGAGCAATTGACCTACGGAGCGCGGCTGACGGCCCGGAGAAGCGGCTTTGCCCGGCTGGCAGGGCAGGCTATGCTGCTAGCTGCTGAACTGTATGTACCCTTTTAGCGCACCGCACTTGGACTATTTGGTACCCATCACGACCTGTTCCAAATACCCCCTCGAAGTACAAAATAGTTTCTACAGCAAAAAAGTCTACAGAATCATGAAAGAAAAGTTAATTCCCAGCTAAATCAACACACATAAGTAGCAAATACTATTCTTTGAAGAGGGTGGCCGTTGGCATCATGAGCGTCACAAGTATCGAGAAGTATAGCATCGAGATTCTACCGATATAATTGGCCAGGCCCTGCCACGCTGAAAGGCTACAGTTCGGCAGTAAGAGAGACAGGGGTCTCATTGGGTTAACGGATCCGCAGGGTTCTTTTCGTTTCGCTGGGCTCAGCGACTTGATAATGTGGTGGTTTTGATTTGACTACTAGCCAGTGCTCATTCATCCTCATTCTCTCCGTCTCCATCTTCGTTTTCCCCTTCTCCCTCTTCCCCCTCTCCGTCGTGAGCCGAAGTGCTCAGAAGACCGAGGACGAAGAACCCTAAAGCTAAAACGAAACGACCGACGGTTTTGCCATAGTGCTCCCCATCGCCCACCGTGCCTGACACTGACAGGAGTTCTGGGCCAGCGCCATCTTGCCCTGCATGACGATTTGTCAAACTGAGGACGAGTGCATCAGGGACTTGAGTCACTTGACAGAACTGTGCTGTCCGCACGCTGCAGGCGGCCTCCTGCAGCTTCCCCGAAGTTCCCCAGAGGAGATGCAAAAAGGAAATTTCACAACCGACGTCCTAGCAGCTTCCATCGACCGGCTTCAAAGCTGAAATTCAGCAGCAACTCAAAGTACCCGGATTTAACAGGTTCAAAAGGATCGAATCCGCTGCCGCAGTGGCCCGCCGCAAGCGACTCACCAGGCAGCTTTGCTTACACCAACGGCAAGGTCTCGCTGTGGCATCGGACCTCGTCACCCTGTTGCTGAAGGGGAGAGCATGGCTGGCTATCTGATAGCACAGGCCGCATCATCCGCGTCGCCGTAGGGTGGCAAATCCAACTTCAAGATGGACATTGACAAGGGCAGGCAGAGAAAGATTGGCTGCGACTGTGTGGTTTTCGCCGAGACAGTCGCGCCCACTGACAAGGTATTGATGCCCGGTTCAGAAACGTGCCTAGCATCGCCGAGAAGCTCGTCGACGATGTCGGCTTTTCTGTGGACTTGAACGGCCCTGGTTCCCGTGGCGGGCTAACCTGGGATATGCCTCTCTTCCTGCCGTGAAGGACGCTACATCTGGGACTGGTCGGTCACGGCTTCAGCTGATGGGTGATTGATGACTGTGTCTCGGGCTGTAAAGGCGGCAGCTTCGACTACCTCGCTGCGGCTGAAGCTCTGATCACACACATGGCGGTGTATTAGTTTCCCTGAAACTGGTGGGCAGCCAAGAGACCAACTTGGGTCATTTGCCCTTCTTCTTCCAGAAAAATACACTCCGCCACAAAACTTGCAACGAGATCTTGTTTAGTGCTGTACCGGTATTTTCCATTCTCTGCAAAGTCTTCCTCCCCTTTCGATTCAACGTGTGGTTTCTAATTATCAAGACCAGGAGAAAAACTGGAATGCAATCTGGTCAAATTTGTTACGCAACACGATCATCACCTGCTGTGATCGTAATATCACAGCTAGTTCAGCTTTGTCAGCCCGTCACTTGTAGGCGGGCGTGTATTGCGCCGAGTATAGGCGCTCCCATCAGAGACAAATATGTCTGATATTTTCGCAGCTACCATTTTACATGTCCCAGAAAGGGCCTAAATGCATCAATGACAATGAAAGTGCGGAGGACCCCGAAGAGAGACGAATGATGTGTGCTTTTTCTGGGCACGACCAGTTGGGCCAATAGTTCTGGATACAACGCTGCAAGTGACAAGTTTGCTGCGGATTACTACAAGGAGCATCAACTCTCGTCACGCAAGCATCAACTCTCGTCACGCAACACTCCATATGTCCCATTTTTGTTTACTTGACCGAGTGACACATCTTTTCCGGCATTTCACACTGCAAGAAACAGTGCTGATGTGCCCACAGGAAGAAAATCAGCGTCGCAATATCGATTGCGCCATGCAGTTTGTATAGTGTTACAAGGCCGACTGACGATGATTCGCCACGGCCTGTGAACGGCGACACAAAGCGCCATTGTGGCTTTTTCTGGGCCACAAAGGAATTGCCTCCGCGTTGCCGCGTCTGGCAACTCATCCACCAGACGCGCATTCCCGACCAAAATAAAGTCATTTCGAACTGCTGCAAGTTGTCGATGCCAGACCCTGCGTATGGTATACAGGAAAGGGGGCGAGTTTCTCGACGAACAACTTTTGGTGCGAGAAGGATGGATAGCATCCAACAACTATGCAAAGTGCTTTCGTGACGGATAGGTCCTCCTGGCCACACTTGCATGGGCCATGTCTTGGAATGTCAACAGCTGATGGGGTGGTATCGACGCATGCATGACGGCAAGATGGCATGTCTGCCGCAGCTAATGGCTCATCAAAGATGCACATACAAACGACTCTTCAAATCTAACGTGGTCAAGGCGGGGTAGAGAGTCAAATGTGTTGGAATCAATGCTTGCCCTGGTTTCTCCCGAAAGCCCGTCGGGGCTTGTTGTTTCTTCCAACTGCGTATAAATGCGGCGGAGAGCCCGTCCTGACTTTGACGTTTCCTCCCGGGAGTCGACCAACAGAAACTCACTCGCGGGTCAACTATATCAACATGTTGAAACATTCTTCGCTCCTGTATTGTCTGTCCCTTTTCGCCATTACACAAGTGTGTAATGGCCGGGCTGTCGAGAATGAAATCCGTGCGCCAGCGGCCCAGTCTTGGAGAGGGTTGGGCGGTCTATTTTCAGGTACGAGAAGTTTGGGACGGACGCGGCTCTTGTCAAATTACATGCATACTCTGAAGCTGACATTGCGCAGGCCACCCCGGCGTTGTGTCTTGGTCGGCCAACCGGACAGATGTCTTTGTCCGGGGAACCAACAACGCCGTGTACCACAAGTGGCAAGATGGGGAGCCCGGCTCGCCATGGAGCCCGAGCCAGACAGACTACGAGAACCTCGGCGGCGTCATCTACGGCGACGTCACCGCCGTCTCCTGGGGCCCCAACCGTCTTGACCTCTTTGTCCTGGGCACCGACGACGCCGTCTACCACAAGTGGTGGGACGGCAGTTCCTGGGGCGGATGGGAGTCCCTCGGCGGCACCGTCATCGGCGAGATCAGTGCAGTCTCCTGGGGCGCCAACAGACTAGACCTATTCGTCCGCGGCACCAACAACGCAGTCTACCACAAGGCCTGGAACGGCGCCTCCTGGAGCGGGTGGGTGAGCCTCGGCGGCGTCATCGTCAGCAACCCGCAAGCAGTGTCCTGGGGACCCAACCGTATCGACGTGTTCGTGCGAGGCACGGATAATGGTGTCTACCAGAACGCCTGGAGCGGGTCATCCTGGTCAGGCTGGTACAACCACGGCGGCGTGATTGTTGACGAGATCACGCCGGTGTCCACTGCGTCGAACAGACTTGACCTCTTTGTTCGGGGCACGAACAATGCCCTCTACCAGAAGTCGTGGAGCGGCAGCGCGTGGACCGGCTGGATCAACCTCGGGGGGACTATTGTGTCTCGGCCATCCGCAGCGGCATGGGGTGGCAAGTACATCACGGTAGCGGCCCAAGGCACGAACAACGCAGTGTACCTCAAGGAGTTCAACGGCAACTCGTGGGCTGACTGGCGGTCAATTGGTGGTGTGGTGACGGACGCGCCCGTGATCAACCCGAGAGGTGGTTTTGGGGCCGCCATCTTTGCAAGAGGAACAAACGCGGCACTGTACGCGTATGAGTAGGCGGTTACTTTGCTTGCAGTGTATGCCTTGCTTTGGCCTCGCTTCCTGCTGCTGTCAATTTTGTATGCATGCAAACAATGTCGTGTCACATCAGGCAGTCAACAATAAACAAGGTAGACCAAAGGGATGAACACGCCGTCTGGGAGATTTCTAGTTGGTAGTCTATCCATTCGCCAAGGAGTCCAAGAAATGCCCAACAACGTGCTTGCAGTTTCTTTGAGGAAATTTATATATATAAAGCAAACCCGCCGAGGCTATATCCTCGGATCAAGGTGCATGTCAGCCCCATGAGTAGATGTGACCGGACAGGGCCCGCCAAAACACAACTTCAGTTTGCTTCATGAAACCCTTGAAGCTGGCTGACAGACGTGTAGTGTATGACGGGTTGTGAAGTTGATGGTGGATAAAAGCAGCTTGCGCCACTGACGTGTGTAACTTGGCGAACCTTGTGATTTAGTGTGAAGCCAGCCGCAGGGTCTTGTCCAGTCCCGGGCGATTCCCACGTCTTCTCTGCTTCAAGCATCGCGTGTTCCGTGTTTTTGTCTGACGGGAGTAGCCTCAGAGTCGGGTTGATTTTCTCGTCCGCCATGCCCCTAGGTTGGAGCTATTCTGGGCGCACACACGACGGTGACTCGCCGCGGTGTGCCTAGTGGCTCTCCTCGTCCCCCGAATGGCAATCAACAACTTATCAACGAGCAAAGTTTGGTGCCGGAACGCATTAGACATTCGCCAAAGAGAGGTTGTGGGCCAAGGCGCCAGTGAATCCAGACTACTCAAGGAAGCTTGGACCGACCACATCTCACACTTGCCTTGCCAAAGTGTGTGTGCTGCTGGAAAGTCGAGTATAAATAAAGACGCGTGCCCAGCATCGAAACCAAAGGCCAGCAGTCACCGCGTCACCTGCGCTTCAAACAGTCAGTCCGACATACAGCCAACGACAAGGCAACTCACGGCGTGAGCAAGTGCACAACCCGGACCAGGCAGCGGCCAGCGATTTCAAACGAGCCAGACGTCAAGACATGTCCCAAGAGCGCGACAAGATGGCACAAGAAACATGCACTCAGCCGAAACCACTATTTGTCTACGGAACCCTCTGCGCCAAGGAGCTACTTGCCTGGGCACTGACAGGGGACTCGTCCAACGTTGATTACATCGACACTCTGATCCGCCCTGCGAGGGTCTACGGATTCGCACGATACAGATTACGCGGCCGCGACTACCCGGCCGCTACCGTTCGCGGAGACTCGTACATTGATGGGTATCTCGTTTCCTTTCAGAGCACGTCGCAGCGGAGAAAGCTAGATGACTTTGAGGGTGAGACGTACACGCCCGTTTCCACGAGGACGTGTATTTTGGACGAAAACAACGAGTGTTCTGGGGAGGAGATACCAGCAGATATATACCTTTGGAACGGCCCTGCCGAGAGCCTGACTCAAGAACCTTGGGAGTTGCAGGTGTTTGTCAATGAAAGCTTGGAAGACTGGCTTGATTTGTTTCAAGGCATGGAGCTAACTGGTGGCGAATAAGGGGCCGACACCAAAATAGTTGTACGTGGATCAGTTGGTATCCCACTGCTTCCAGCGCCTTGACTGAAACAATTGCGTACTCTATGAACTTCAATACAAACTCAGTCCACCGGATCATTGCGTCAGGTTTTGTTGTCCCTTGGTGTTGTCGAAACTCGACGCACAGCATCAATTAGGCCTGTTGATAGAGTTGTAGAGATAAGGTCTTGGCCTAAATACTAGTCCTTTGTTGGAACTGTGTGTATTGCACGCTTGCGTAGTATGTAAAGTATAGAATACTTAAGTATACATTATAGGTAGTATAAGCCCTTAAGTATACTTTACTTTTTAACTTAGCTACGTAACTAAAATATAATATACTCGAGCTGTAGGCTCGAGTGTACGCAAGCCACCGATATAGTGCCTTGTCGGATACTTGTCGGATACTTATTAAATGTATATTAGACTTACGTGTATAAAATAGCTAGAAAGGGGGGGATAGGGAGCTTCTCTATTCTTCCTCCTTTCCTCCTTAAGTTTATAGTTAATACTAGTCACGCTTACACGCAGTTGCCTGTAAGGCTAGTTCTTAACAGGCTTGTACCTTTTATTTAATTTACTAGGAAATTACACTTAAGGATATTATAATATATTAAGAGATTGTTATTAAAGGCGGCGAAATTTAGCTCTACTATAAGGAAATTCAGCCCTTATAGTAGGGCCTAATAACAATAAAATTATATTAACTAAGCAAAAAGTTAATAATATTATTAGTAATGTAACTATCAACAATTTACTAGGGAAAAACCTTAGATAACTGTGGATTATCGTAAAAACCTAAATATCGCTAAGATACGGGATCGTTATAGACATAGTTTACTGTATTACGAAAATACGTAGCAGGGAGGACCGGGGCACAAAACGGCCCACAAATTCACCATGGCGCCCTCCGTTTTTCACGGCAGCGACGTAAAATACTGTATCCCCACCGTGCACCACAGCGACCACACCACCGGCTTCTTCCATGCTCATCTCTCGTCTTGCCCTTCTCCCGACATGTCAAAGGCGCCTACTCATGTGCGACGGACCCCCCTTGCATTCGTTCCTTTCGAAAACAGATGGAACCCAGCGTGCGCCTGTGCCTCCGCGTCCCGCGGCCACTGATTGTGATGCGAAGCATCCGTGCCGGCGCCGACCGATCGGGGATCTTCGAGTCGTCGAGTCAGCCACGGTGGCCTGCTCCTTGAACTGTCTCTAGCCCCAGAGCACTTGAGAATACATCTCGAGTCTGGACTCTGTTGGTTGCGTAATCTTGACGTCATGGGAAATACAACAAAACATACGACAATACCTAGTATTCGCTGTTCGTCAGTTATCCCGGGGGACTAGACAGGAGGACACCGCGTCCGACATGCAGACTCTCCCAACCTTTGCTCATGCAGCAGTCAGTTGGGAGACGCCGACCCAGCTATACAACACAGTAAGCCGATGGCAGGGAGTCTCGTGACGAAACCACACGTGGCAAAGACAAGACACTTGACCCCCGCCGAGGTCAGTCTTCTTGACTAGTACCCGAGTCTAGTGAGCCATCGATTGGGAAAATGGCCCCGAGAAGGCTGTCGAGCTTCCATCTTGTTCCAGAGTTCCCGTCCAAACCGGCGGCGTGACGTGACGTGACGCAGCCTCTCTCGCGTCCCGGCTGCAGCTAGGCGGCTAGGCCTGTTCCGCTCCCCTTTTGGCCGAGCAGCTGTCATTTTTTCAGAATTTGCTTTTGGACAAGTCCAGATGACTGTGCAAGCATCCCGCGAGCATTTCATCATAGCCACCATAATGTGTCGGCCGTACCTGGGCCAGGGAACCGCAACATACCACGTAATGTAGCACGAGCCCATCGCCATGCGTCAGATACTAGCAAGATTGGTGATTCATGGCGGCGCGCTGTCGAAGGCTATGTCGCGATAGCTTCAGCCACCGACGACAAGAGCAAAATATAGTTTGTGACAGTGACGCACTCCGAAACACTCAAAATAGCCGCACAGCATATATTAATATTCCACAAGTCCCTTCCTCTCTCTCTCTCTCTCTCTCTCTCTTCGTGCCCTCCATCTCTTCTGGACATTAATGTTTCAACACCAAACCTGATCTCTCGAGCGTCAGTCATGAGCGGCTTAAAAGAGATCTTTCATGGCAAGAAGGAAACGAAAGTAGAGCCGAACACGAGATGAACCGAGCGTCAGTTATGAGCGGCTCAAAAGAAAGGAGATCTTTCATGGCATGTCATAAGAAAGGAAACTAAAGCAGAATCGAACACAAGATGGACGGAGCGTCAGTTATGAGCGGCGAAAAGAGATCTTTCATGGCAAGAAGGAAACGAAAGCAGAATCGAACACGAGATGAACCGAGCGTCAGTCATAAGCGGCGTAAAAGAGATCTGTCATAGCAAGAAAGGAAACGAAAGCAGAACCAAACACGAGATGAACCGAGCGTTAATTATAAGCGGCTCAAAAGAAAGAAGATCTTTCATGGCATGTCATAAGAGAGGAAACTAAAGCAGAATCGAACATAAGATGGACCGAGCGTCAGTCGTGAGCTATTGGTCGTCAAGTGGTACCTTGAGACCGGAAGAAAGAACAAAAATCATCAAGCACGCAAAAAAAAACGGCGAAAGGGAGGCTGTTTTCTTCTTCACATCGACGAACAAGCCACCAAATGCAATGAAAAAAAGGCTGCGTCACCTGGAGGTAGTGTAATACCAGGGACGCAGGAAAATGCATCAAAAATTGTGCCGGGCACTTACCAGACCTGCTGATCATGCCAGGGTGTTAGGAGCCTCACGCAGGGCCCTGGCAGTCTCAACACCCAACCTGACCTCTTGAGCGTCAGTGATGAGCGGCGGAAAAAAGATCTTTCATGGCAAGAAAGGAAACGAAAGCAGAATCGAACACGAGATGGACGCCAATTTATACTTTTCCAAAGCACGCGCTGGCTTTGCTATTTCCTGGCTAAGTATGCTTCAAAGGGAAAGAATGGACGCAACTGACCAAGGGTAGGTGTGGCACCTGGCGAGCTCTTCGGAAAGTTGGGAAGGCGCAACATCCAGGGCAGGCAAGCTGCTAGCTGCTTTTGCCTGCGTTCCTGCGTTCCTGCTCTTGGCACAGGCGAGATTGTGCAAAGTCAGGAAAGCGCAACATCCGGCGAGGGCAGGCACGCTGTCAGCTGCTTTTGCCTGCGTTCCTGCGTTCCTGCTCTTGGCACAGGCGAGATTGTGCAAAGTCGGGAAAGCGCAACATCCGGCGAGCGCAGGCACGCTGTCAGCTGCTTTTGCCTGCGTTCCTGCGTCTTGCGTCTTGAGTTCTTGCGCCGCTCTTGCGTCCTTGCCTCAGGAGAGCCACTCGACAAGGGACATTCGAGCCTTCCGAGCAAGTCTCTGTGACCCGGCACCATCGGGCAGGAAGGAAGGCCCGCATGTCCAGCCATCACCAGCGCGTCGTATGGGCTCGACGCACTGAGCCGTGAGGGAACTCGACCTGCAGCTCCGGGTGCGTAGAAGCGGCCTTTGCCTTGTTCTGATTCCCATGACACGTCGTTTCACCCCTCCCCTTTCCCCCATGGGGCAATGATATCAAGTTGAAACTGACATCCGCGCCCTGTGTCTAGCGCCGGCATGTCTGACGGTACAAAGATACAAAATAAAAACAGACAATTCATAACGACGCCGGGAAACATGGCGGCCAAAGAAAGACTGGACTGTCCGAGAGCCTCGGAGGCCTCAACTCTGGTACAACGCTACGGAATTGCTGTCGCCCTGTCAATCACCTGTACAGATTCACATTCTCTCCGGGCTGTGCCGACTATGCCGAGGAGTCTCGATCTACCGAAAGGGCTGTGGCGGCCGCAGAACGGCCAGCAACGTTGGCAATTCAGGGCCCGGAACTACTACGGGCGTTGAGCCCGTTGGCGTCGAGAGACGCTCGTCATGAACTCGGATTGTTGCTGGCGCGGACAGGATTGACGGTCAGCCGCGGAGCGTGGACTGACGGATACAACAGGCAGACGGTGACTTGGACGGATATACGAGTGGCTACAACAGAAGGGACAGGAGGCTGGAGGGGGTTGCTGAGTGGAAACGAGGTCACTGGGGGTGCCGTCTATTGAGTTGTGCTGCCTCGGGGTCCAGTATTTGCATTCAGCTATTGCTTCTGGGTCTGTCTGGCTTCATGGACTCGACAAGCTCCCAAATAGGTCAAATACACCTGTTTGAGATGCTCTCCTCTGCTCAGCGCCATATATTGTCCCATTGCCTGGTAACGGCTGGCCGTGACAGACCTGAAACCTCGCAGATTGTCAACGCAAAGCACGTTCGTATTTCACACCATTCGTCTGGAAACACGACGATGTTTTGTGCAATTGCGCAATCTGTACTACATTAGCTGCCCCGCGAGCCCCTAAAAAGCAGCGGTAGGGCCGCCTTTAGGGGAAATGCAGCCTCAACTTCGTCGCTGGGCAATACATCAGTAATGACACCAGTAGACCCGTTGGATGTGGTCGTTCCTTTGCCATGCCACCAGGCGGGGCAGATGCTGACAATGGCGAGGGATTGACGTTGGGATTGTGTTCCTGCGACGGCAATGCGTGTCCTTGTCCGAGAGACTGAAGCAGCACGTCTCCTTGGTCCTTCGTACTTCCCATCAAGACGGACTGGGCTGCGACCGCTTCCTCCAACAACCTCGCCGCTCCCCAGGCCGTGCGGAAAGTCGTTCTCCCGCCGAGGCCATGCAGACATCCTTATGCAGCAGACCTGGCAAGCCGCGTGTCGATCCGATTCTTCCCATCTGTCCAGGCCATCATCAACAAGTTTACATAGCTTCTTGGCCTGGGACATCCGTTCCGCGCTCGAGCTCTCAGGCGGGCCAGCAATCACCAATATCAACGAACTTATATATCACAACTTGAAAAAAGATATATTTAAGCGAAGCCTGGCTGTGCCTCGTAGACAAGTGGGACTACCAAATGGTATACCTCTGTCACACGTCATAGGCCCTAGTAAACATAGAATATATATATTGATAAGTCTATAGTAGCTACAAAAGGAATAATTGTGTGCGCCCTTATTTATAGGTACGCTTATCTATGTAAGGGGCTGTGCTCTATTGAGGGCAAGCCCTTATCTAGGTTACTAATACGTGGTGGGTATTAGTCATGAGTGACCTCTTGCGACACAACCCCCTAATTGAGCATGTGAATGAGGCTATCACAAGTTTTGCGAGGCATAAATAAAGCTCAACTAGCTGTTGAAGCTGCTAATGCAAGCTCAATTGCCTGCAAGTCACTTTTCTTGGTGTTCTAACTAGCCCAGTCCTGCAATTGGTCAGAATTTCAGCCACCAGCCTTTTGTTTACTAAGGTGAATTAAATGTGAGCTACGCGCTCTTATTAGCCACGCCTATTTAGCTTTTATACGCGTAAGTCGTTAGCATCGTCAGCTTCTTTTCCTTTTCCTCCCCACTATACACTACTTCTTGGGCCACAGCTACATTTTGACTAATATCATGCCAGTTGAAAGGCGCCTATTGCCGCAGGGACGTTCAAGCATCTAGGACGTGCCGGAGATTCCCCAGCAGCAACCATCAGGCTCTGATTGCCCGCTTTCGGCGGCTTCAAGTGTAGAGCCGCTGTCCATTGAAGAGATGGCCGAAGCTGCCTCCGCGTTGTGTGACCATCTCGATGATCAACAGCAGAGAGTTGACGGAGCAGGCCGTCATGAACGTCAGCCGTCCCCGTCCCCTACGGGATCCCCGGAACTATCGGTACTGTGCTTCCCGAGCTTTCGATGTGCTGGTCGGAGTCGCTAACGAGCTTTCAGGCTGTCACCCCAGAGCCTCATGTCCTCCGTGACATCCCTTGCGAGGGTTGTATCAGGGCGGCCATCGCCGGCAAAGGGCAAGGTCGGTGCTACGAGGTGACCAAAGGCCGGTCACGTCGCTGTCGTTCGTGCAAGGTTGGCAATCACACTTGCAGGCCTTGGTAAGCTCAAATTTCCCTTTCCCGCTTGGTCCGCTATGCTTAGTGAGCTCTAAATATGACTGACATCGTTGCAGCCATTCCGTTTTAGTCCCTATAGCCAAACGGATGTTGTTGGCGCTGGACGTCGACTCGAAGGTCAGTTTCTTACGCTCTCGTCCCACAATTCAAACGCTTATTTGAGCATACAGATGTATGACCGGTGCCGTAAGGCGCTGCGTCTGCAGCTTGACCTTCTGGCGGAGTCCAACTCTGTCTATGAGGGTTTCGAGTCCAGTGATGCTGGGGCTGGTGTTGCTACTAGGGGCTCCTCAGCAGCGGCTGAACGGAAACGTGCCAGTGTGAAGGCCGCCGTGGAGAACCTCGTGGAGGCGATCCTTTTGTAAAATAAGCATTGTTATGATGTGAGCTATGCTCGCTTTTGCGTCGGCGTTTGGCGTTTCTGGCGTTCGGCGTTGGGCCTCAACAAGTCGTGGTTGCCTTCCAGTCGCGTTTTGCGTTGGGGGGGGGAGGGTACTCCTGTATTATCGGGGCAAATATATATTATGCCCCCCTCTGGTGGTTCCCTTGCGTGTGTAGCTCGTGAATGTTGTGTTGTGTTCGTAAATCTACCACGTTTAGCATGCTTCTAAAGTGTTCAAAGCGCTGCCAGCTTAGTGCCTTTATAAAGCCGTCTGCAGGCATCTCTGCTGCGGGCAGGTATAATATATTGAAACTTCCTTTTTTGCATTCCTGCTTAAGCCACATATTATAGATGTTGACATGTCGCAGATAAGTGTTAGTTTATTCGCTTGAATTAAGCACAAGACAAATAGTCTGCTGATTGTCACACTTAATATTGCAGCTCTGCTTAGGGTTGAATTTAATGTCTCTAAAAAGGCGCTTTAAAGCTGTTGTTTCCTTTGCGGTTTGCTGTAAAGCAAGCAGCTCTGCTTTAGTCATAGACGTAGTTACTGTAGTTAGGTCAACTGTATACTCCCTTATTAGTAAGTGAGCGTTGTTTTTAAACCACATTTCCAGGTATTCAAGCGGGCGTTTCCGATTCTAGGCCTGGTTCGGGCTAATATTATACAGGAAAGTGGCTGCTTGCACGCTTTCTGACCACAGGTTTGTAGGCAGCCGTGCGCCACTGAGCATTGAATTCGAGTTAACTGTCATCTGTTGACCTGCTCGTTCCACGCTTCCATTCGATTTGTGCGTGTATAGCCTCCTTGATATAACTTGGCGAGCGTGGACTTGCGCACAGGTTTCGCAGTTGATGCGCTTAGTCCCCTTAAATCGCACGTTCCTCGTATGGATTGGAAGCTTGGTTAAAGCGGCTGGAGCGAGATGGCCCGATCGAAGGTGCCAAAGCTCCTTAGTATCTTCTCTCAGCCTTGGAGGGTCTCTGCTTAGTCTCCCGCGCTTTGAGCTTTGCATTCGATTCTCTACTGCTTGAATGACTGCAGAAAGGTTGATGGGGGGGTTCTTGGCGGCATACAGGGAAAGAGGCTTATATTGAAGAAACAATATTTTATGCTTTCGGACTAATGGTGCTAGAATTACGCCTTGTTTTAAAGGTCCAAAGCGTAGTGTATCGTCAAACCCGCAAATCCAAGCGCCTTTATCCCTCAAGCGGCTTGCCGAGACAACATTTACATGGAAATCCTTAATGACTGCAACATCTTTGAGTATTAGGTCTGTGGTTTGAGCTCCGTCCACACCGTTTAAGATCTTCTTGAGCACACGAGTACCTCTTCCTGAGATCAGATAGGAGGTTGCTCCTGCCTCTACGTACTCGCCCTTAGTCTCCCTGTACGAGCCGGGCTCAAGGAGGTCGACATCATTGACGAGATGTATAGCGTCGCAGTTACTGAGTACTGTGCTCAAAGAGAGCGGGTGTTGGCGTGTACTAATGATATCACACGGGTCGTTTGCTTGCATGACAGAAGGGTCGATTATGACTGCGCTGAAGCTGCCACCGGTTGGGGAATCGCTTCCTTCTGTTGTTGAGCTTTTCGAGCCCTTGCCCCAGCCTTCCTTTGCTATGGTAGCGCGTAGGCTTTCCCATTGTTTGCTCTCATATCGTTCTTTGGCCTTCCTGCAGTCGTCTTCCTTCGGGAACCTTCTAATCTCAGGATCCTTGGTTCTTGTGATTATCGAGCGTAGGATCTTGCAATCCTTTGCTGCCCATTTATGCCAACTACGGTCTGCACCCTTCGGGCAAGGGCATTTGCTCTTTTTCCTGGATTGGCTTCCCTTTTGTGTCTCTGTTTCCTTGTTTTCCTGCTCGTCTTCTTGATCTGAGCGTTCTCCCAGTGTGGTGCAGACTCCTCGAGCATTGTTGTGCTCGTACTTGTGCCTAGTTGTAATTGCGTGGAAGCATGTGCCATAATCGCGAAGGGTGTATGTATTCTCGATTCCTTGGGACTCGTTGTTGGTAATGGTATAAAGCATATTTCTCGCCCATACGGGGTCAAAACGAGCTCCAACTGCGTCTAGGAAATCGTGAATACCATAGGGTTCCTCAATCTCCCTGATTTTATGGGTTTGAGCGCGCATATAGGCTCTGTTCCATTTTGCATACCACAGGTCTGGTTTGGTATGTGCGAGTGTGGCTTCATTAAGGCATGCTCGATACAGCCTGCGAGTCTCTTCTCGCATGCTTGATTCGCTTGGTGCTAGCCGGCTTTTGATACCCTTGATTAATTGTCTCAACGAGAAGCCTTGAGGATGCTTTTTTTCAAGGTCTGATAGGATAAACTCATAGGTGCTAGGTTCAACCGTTCTGGAGATCCATTTGCGAATAGCGAACGCCTTTGCTTCCTTTGTTTTATGCTTTTGAAGCTTGGTGAGATATTCATTTCGTAGTAATTGAAGGACATTTGCCGCGCTGAATTCAAAAGTTGGATGAGCCTTTTTCTCCTCGGCTAACAACTCTCTTGCTTGAGCCAGGGTTGGACCTAGAGGAGCAGGCAACATATCTCCAGGTTGCTCAGGTTGATCGGGGTTTATTAGGTTCCAGAGCTCACTATCGCGAGCGTGGATCCTCAAGAGCGTGAACCAAGCATACCATTGGGACGGAAGCTCAAGCTTAACCTTAGTTGATAGCTGCGACTTGGTGGCAGCTGTTTGGAGCGTTGTTGCATCCATTGTATGCTTGGAAAACAAAGAGATGAGAGTTGGAATAGATAATCGAATGCTCAAGTTACTTGAGTGGAAGTTACAGGAGAGTCTTTCCTCCCAGGCTCATAACTGTCACACGTCATAGTCCCTAGTAAACATAGAATGTATATATTGACAAGTCTATAGTAGCTACTCCGTACGGAGTACAAAAGGAATAATTGTATGCGCCCTTATCTGTAGGTGCGCTTATCTACTGTGCTCCATTGAGGGCAAGCCCTTATCCAGGTTACCAATACGTAGTGGGTATTAGTCATGAGTGACCCGTTGCGACAACCTCTCTGCGACTTGGGATTTCGCGGCCAAGACAGGACGCCAGCTAGGCGCAGTTATAGCGCCGGCCAAAAAATGCCGACATCAGCTGTCGGACAGGGCTGATATCAACCGGATGGCGTACACAGCACCAGGAGCCGAAAATGGGTGCAGAATAACTAGTAGAAGGAATATAAACCCCCCCCCCCTGCAAGAGGTTCAGCCAGCATATTCGGGAGCTAGGGAGTTGTAGTGTCGACCGGACCTGACGATAGGTGCTATTTGAGGCTTGAGGTGAAGGAAAAGAAACCAGGGGCCGATCGCCTACCGAGATGGGCGTACTATTTTTAGAACAGCAAACGGGGCGCATATTGAGGCTGTGACGGGATGTGACGCCCTTGCTCCGTACTCCGTACTCCGTAACACAATGCGCGGAAGAAGAACCAGAGTAGGCTGATGTGCTTGAATCGTCATCTCCAACAATGCCGAGAAACGTTGTAGCCAGGGCCAAATTTCGTCGGCATCCGGGTAGTGTGCGTTGGCGCCCCGAGTGAATACGAAGAGTGACATTGTGAGTGAAACAAGGCTTGGTGGAACTTTGTTAAACTTGTCCTGGATTTCGGGGACGGCAGCCGCTGTGGCACCTCTGACATGAGCACCTGTCAAAGAGGCGTACGGAGTGCCGAATCGGAACAGCGCCGTGTCCGTTGTCTCTTGCAGAAGTCGTTGTTTTGGATGGCTGAAGCGACATGGTCATTATGTCATCTGTGATCCGCATCATCACGGTACACGATTCAGGATTGTTTACGGAGTAGGCAATGACGAAAGGGTCGGGTCGGCCGGCTTTTCAAAACATTTCTTCTCGGCTCGTGGCAGACTGCTCTGCATTTCGATGCGTTTGGTTGTTGCCATGGAGAAAATGCAGCCAAGCCGAGGCGACATTGACATTGACACAACAACAGCGATTCGAGGGCCAACGCAGGACGGTTGCCACAAGGCGACCAAGCTAGCCTTCTCGTGTTGCTGCACCGTGTTTCGTAGTGCTCCGCATCGCGCAGCCACTGGCCACCTGGGGTCCACCGATGTGGTAAGTTGACTTGGCGATGGTCGATGTCGGACGTCGTGGTTGCCATGACGAGGGCAAGAATGGACGCCAAGGCCCGGACCAGGAACGTCCATGGACCCGTTGGCGCCACCGGGCAGGGGCCACGAGGGGCAGGCGGGCGTCGTGGACGGGGTTCATGAGCGACGGTTTTGACGACGGCATTAGAGTCGAGACGAGAGGAGGACTAGAATGTCGCGAGACACGTCGATGAGCTTCGCAAGTGTCTCGAGTAGCACAGACAAAACCGGAAAACAGACGTAAACATGCGTCTGCTTCTCGCAAGGGCCATGGACGGCTTCGTTCTTCTTCTTCTTTTTTTGCATGGAAGCACTTGGGTTCGGGAAAGTGAGTGCCATGGTTGTTGGGCCAGCGAGGGCAGGCGAGGCAGATGCGGCGGATGATTGGGCCATGGAGCCCTCACAGACACACCTCAGGGCCCTTGGACTGTGAGCAATGATGAAGAGAATTTACACAAAGAAGTCACTGATATCAGCACCCACCCACTGCCTAGAACTCTCAAGCAGGGAACCTAGACTTTTCAAGTTTTTAGCGCCAACCTTGCAAAGGTTCTCGAGAGCTGACTGCCGCGCTTTGCCGCCGTTGAACACGCCCGTGCAGCCTCGGGCTCAAACAAACGAGCGCCGTCCCAATGACAACATCGGCTGCTGTCGCACCCAAAACAATCGTGCCCGCCCCGTTGGATGGAGGGCCTCCCCTGTTATTGTGCCCTGCTACTCGTATTGATCCATCCGTCGCTACCCCGTGCCTTCCAGAGCCCAGAGCCTCTCCTCGTCCTCTGGCCCTCCTCTCTTGGCACTGGCCTCCAACTTTCCCCACCTGCTGAAGCTGAGCCCGAAGCCTCAAACCAGTGGGCCTCTTGGGCCTCTCTCTTGGCCCTTGGGCTCGTCGGCCGGCCGGCTGCCTGCCACTGATTGACTAGTGCGGCGTGCGGCCGCCTGCCTAGGGTTGCCCCCTGCCACCCCTTGGGCCTTACCCCAGGTGTCCCCTTGGCGGCGCGCCATCCATCATCCATCGTCCGTCTTCCCCACCCCTCGCCCTTCGACTTTCACCCATACTTAAGCCAAACAGCTCCCTCCTGGACCGTTGTCCGTTTGATCTCCCGCCTTTCCTCATTTGCCGTCTAGAACCTCCCATCCGCTTCCCTTCACTTCATCTCGTATTTGCATCTATCATACATAGCATTATAATATCATCTGAGGGCAAGGCATCTTCATCATGTGGTAAGCTCCCCTCGCTGTTTTTGCGTACCCCGCCTCGGCCTTGTTTGTCGGCGAATCTAGCTAGAGCTTGCCATGATGGCCGGATTTGCTCCCACGTGCTTGCACCTCATTACTGCAAAGGAAACTGTCAATCGGAGGCAGTCTTGATGCTGACAGCTTATTCTTTCAAACAGTGGCATCTTTGGATACATCAACTATCTGGTGGAGAAGGATCGCAAGTTCATTCTCGATACCTTGATCAACGGTACGTGGCTGACGCCCGGCTCCGGAGAAAACAAAGACAAAATCACGGCTCCAGAAACGCTGACAATATCCTTTCTGCTTCCCGGATGAACAGGTCTCTCCCGTCTCGAGTACCGAGGATACGACTCTGCTGGTTTAGCAGTCGATGGGGACAAGAAGAACGAGGTCTACGCCTTCAAAGAGGTCGGCAAGGTTGCAAAGCTGAAGGCTCTTATTGACGAATCGCATGTCGATCTCTCCAAGATCTTTGATTCACACGCTGGTATCGCTCATACTCGATGGGCTACCCACGGTCCTCCTTCGAAAGTTAACTGCCATCCTCACCGGTAAGCTTGTGTTTGCGGGCCCTTCCCTTCCCTTCCCTTCCCTCCTCCTTCTTGTTCTTTCTTCTGTTTTTTGAAGGGGGGAGAGGGGCCACGTCCCGTCACTGCACTCTACCTGCTTCGAGTAGCACAGCTTCTCCCCCACTTGACTTGCAAGACAACCATTGGCTGACCTCACCGCCTCTTCACCATAGTTCGGACCCTACCTCGGAATTCAGCATCGTTCACAATGGCATCATCACCAACTACAAGGAGCTTAAGACGCTTCTGGTTGCTAAGGGCTTCAAGTTCGAAACCGAGACCGACACAGAATGCATTGCCAAGCTCACCAAGTATATTTACGATCAACACCCTCAGATTGGCTTCACCGACTTGGCCAAGGCTGTCATCTCAGAACTTGAGGGAGCTTATGGTTTGTTGATCAAGTCTGTTCACTACCCACACGAGGTCATTGCCGCCCGTAAGGGTTCGCCGCTCGTCATTGGCGTCAAGACTCAGCGACGCATGAAGGTGGATTTTGTTGACGTCGAGTACGCTGACGACAACACTCCCCTCCCCGCCGAGGCTGCTTCTCAGAACGTGGCCCTGAAGAAGAATGCAACCGGCTTCCTCTCTCCCTCCAACAGCCTGCTTGGAGCTCCCGACAAGTCTCTTCTGCACCGCTCACAGTCCCGTGCCTTCATGACCGACGACGGCATGCCCATGCCCACCGAGTTCTTCCTCTCGTCCGACCCTTCGGCCATTGTGGAACATACCAAGAAGGTCCTGTATCTTGAGGACGATGACATTGCTCATATCCACGAGGGTTCCCTGAACATTCACCGCCTGAAGAAGGCCGATGGAAGCTCCAACGTCCGTGCTATCCAGACTCTTGAGCTTGAGCTCCAGGAGATCATGAAGGGCAAGTTTGACCACTTCATGCAGAAGGAGATTTTTGAGCAGCCCGAGTCCGTCGTCAACACGATGCGTGGCCGTCTTGACATCAATGCCAAGACTGTCACTCTGGGTGGATTGAGGTCGTACATTTCAACTATTCGCCGCTCCAGAAGAATTATATTCATTGCCTGTGGTACCAGTTACCACTCTTGCATGGCCGTCCGCGGCATTTTCGAAGAGCTTGCCGAGATCCCCATCTCTGTGGAGTTGGCTTCAGACTTCCTGGACAGGGAGGCCCCCGTGTTCCGTGACGATACATGCGTGTTTGTCTCACAGTCTGGTGAAACCGCCGATTCGCTGATGGCTCTGCGCTACTGCTTGGAGCGCGGTGCCTTGACAGTCGGTATTGTCAATGTTGTCGGCTCGTCCATCTCTCTTCTCACCCATTGCGGTGTCCACGTCAACGCCGGCCCTGAGATTGGTGTTGCCTCCACCAAGGCCTACACCTCCCAGTTTATTGCCATGGTCATGTTCGCCTTGTCCCTGAGCGAGGACAGGGCTTCCAAGAAGGAGCGTCGCGAAGAAATCATGCAAGGTCTTGCAAATGTGTCCAGCCAGATCAAGACTATTCTGGAATTGGACAAGCCCATCAAGGAGATGTGTGAGAAGGTTTTCAGGAACCAAAAGTCCCTCCTCCTCCTCGGTCGCGGCAGCCAGTTCTCTACTGCACTTGAAGGTGCGCTCAAGATCAAGGAAATTTCCTACCTCCACTGCGAGGCTGTCATGTCTGGTGAATTGAAGCACGGCGTGTTGGCCTTGGTTGATGCCAATATGCCCATCATCATGATCCTCACTCGCGATGAGATTTTCAAGAAGTCTCTCAATGCCTACCAGCAAGGTAAGAGCTACCGCTTTTATTTCTCACTTGACGAGCACGCACCGTTGAGTCACTCGAACCTCGACCATCGCTAACAGGAAATCACAGTCATTGCCCGTGAAGGCAAGCCCATAATCCTTTGCAACCCTGACGACCCTGAGTTTAAGAACTCGGAAGCCCAGAAGATTGAGATCCCCAAGACTGTTGATTGTCTTCAAGGCCTCCTCAACGTGATTCCCCTGCAGTTGATTGCTTACTGGCTGGCTGTTCTTGAGGGCCTCAATGTTGATTTCCCTCGCAACTTGGCCAAGTCTGTTACTGTTGAGTAAAAAAAAAGGCTGTCGCTCGTGTACTGGTCATACCAATGTGTCACGCTGGCGTGTCCCCATAGTTCAGTCTGGGTGTTTGAGGCGCGCTTGGCATACGGTACTCGTTTTTCTCGTGGTCTTGGAGCGACTTTTACGAGAAATTGCCGCTGCATAGTCTCCGCAGCGATGTTGGATGGATTATGGGAGTTATGTCTTTCTGTTGTCTAGGACGACTAGCGATTTGGCTGTAGCAATATGCCCTGCACATTTTGATAACGATGAAAGCGCCTGGGATGGAAATCAGACGAGACGCTGTGTTAGACGGGCGAGGTATGCGCAAGGTTTCTATTCCGGGAAAAGTTGTTTTTATGGACACTTTGCACAATACAAGACAAGCGTACTTTTGTATCATCTACGGCGCCGGCTACTTGACAATTCCTCACTACGTGAATGTGCTGATTGCTGAATGCTGATTTGAAAAGACTGAACAAGCAGACGCAATTATTAGTACAAGTTCTATGCTCTAACTTGGCCTAGCTTCGTCAGTGGCATTGGTAACGAATGGCGGCAATCTGTGTCTCGTGCACTGTAGAAGAACCCAGATTTCCCAACAACGATGTTCTTCATGAACAGCCAGATTTCCCAACAACGATGTTCTTCATGAACAGCCAGATTTTGAAACCTCCCCAACCCATCACACATGGAGAGGGAGTTTCTCCCCAGAGAGCTCGCCTGTATCGAGCCAGCAATGCACTCAGTCCATCGTTAGTTGGCGTACTCAAACCGTCTGGGTTCCGTAACCCCTGATTCTCTCCGCAAACGCCCAGCTCTGACTCTCCAACTTCTCATTCTCCTTGAGCTCCACACCGTCCTTGGTGACAACAGCCAGTGAGTAGCTGTCCAGACTCCTGGCATCTCTGTAGAACAGAACCTTCATGCACTCCTTGACGACATCCACGGCTTCCTCGCGGGTCAGCTTTGCAGCAGACTCCTCATCGGGAGCGTGGCGTCGCATGACCGGCTGGGCGAGCATTGCGCCGAAGCCCGTGGCCAGACTGGGCGCAGAGTAGGTTGTGCCGAGCAGGTCTGCCGCAGCGAGGAATGGGCTACCCTTGTCGTCGAGGCCTGCCACCAGGAGGTGGTTCCACAGAGGGTCGAACTTGGAGCGTCGGCGGTAGAGGAGCTTGGAGAGGTAGCGGTGCAGGTTGGAGGCGTTGAGGCGCGCCGAGTCGGGGGAGTCGTAGGCCTCTGTGAGGGCGAGGTCGGTCAGGTGGCGGTCGAGGTACTGCATGTCCGAGACGTCGCCGCTGAAACCAACGACCGAGGCGTCTGCGAAGGGGCGGAGACGTTTGACGTCGGTGAAGCGGGCGAGGGAGCCATACGACGCTGGGGAACGTCAGGTTGCATTCTTTGCCTTGAAATGTAGGGGCCAAGATTATGTGCAGAGGCTTGAAGGCAGGCAGAGAAGGAAAGGAGGGCGTGGGCGTGGCTTGTGAGGCAAAACTCACCGAGGTTGTCGGCTGCAATGACGACGCCGTCTTTGAACTTGATGGCGACGACGGACGTTCCTGTGACGATGGGCTGCTGGGTATGTGCAGTAGGGCCATTTTTATTCATGAATGAGGTATCGTATGCGCCGTAAATGTCGTCTCTGGGCTGTATAAGGGTCAGTTTGGCGCTTGTGAGTTGAAGCACGGGGATTGCTTGGGGGGGGGGGGACTGCGTACCCTGCCCCATGCTTGCGGTCGGTGGTCCATGGCTGATGATTTTGAGATGGGACGATGGAGGATAAGGGAGCGGAGGAAAGAGGTTCTCTTGGCACGTGGGAGGTGCTCGATTGATTGATGTGCTCACGACGCAGGTCGCCTGAGCTGTGGTTGAGCGCTTGTCCGAGAGATGATGCTGTCGCGCGTCCTGCGGAAGCCTGGGGGCGTCGAGGGCACGCTGGACCCAGAATCGTTACATAAGCATATCGAAGAGCGCTTATTGGCTCCGACATAAAAAAGAGCTTAATCAGTACCTTGTACTGGCGAATTGCACCGTCTGCCGGGCTTATCGCAGGTACTAGATACTAAGCTCGCCAGCTAACCTGCGGGAGCTCCAGGAGCTGGTGCTCGTTCCTGCAACAACAGAGTGGAAGAGGAGAGGGGACAGGGAACGGCCGCATGCGACCCGGTTACCCAGCCCCCTTCATTTCATTTCGTACAAACGTCGTCATCCGCCCACACGCCATTTATTGCCCAGCCATCTCCTCGCACAAGTCCCTCCAGCTACTACCACTACTACTGCCTTGGACGTCGTGTCGCTCAAACCCATCAACAACGATGCTGACAGCAATTGGCAGGGCCGCCGCCCGCCGAGTTCTACAACCTGGCAGAACCGCCGCTTCTAGACTCACCACACGATTGCCCCGAGGATCCGTGGGCTATCGCTCCCCCAATGCATTGAGTATCTTTGCCGCCGCCCGGGCCCTGAGCGTGTCGGCGCGGGTGCGCTCGCCGGCCAAGGCACCCGGCAGCAAGACGAAGAAAAGCAGCAGCACAGCTACGAAAAAGAAGAAGGCTACTGCGACTAAGAAAAAGGCAACTAGGAAAAAGACAAAGAAGGCCGCTACACCAAAGAAGAGGACCAAGAAGGAGCTGACGCCTGAGGACAAGGAGAAGGCGGAGCTGGGGCAACTGAAGAAAATGGCTCTGCTGAAGGGACCGTCCCTGTTGCCCGACTCGGCGTGGTCTGTGTACACGTCCAGGAATATTGGTACTGGTGAAGGCACATTGACGGACAAGATCAAGGGGCTCTCGAGTAGGTTCGCCGAGCTGTCCGAGTCGCAAAAGGAGGTATGTTTCCCCCTTTTCAACGCTCGCTCGCTTGTGCCCTCTGGCTCGATTGGACCCTCTCGGGGGGCAAAATCAAGTCGCGGCACCCCGTGGAGATCAAGGCTCAGGCAATCACCGGGGATGCTAACAAGATGCAGGACCTCAAGTCCACCGCCCAATCTAACCAAAACGCCAACAAGACAACTCGCCAGAAATGGGTCGAGTCCCAACCCGTGGAGGCCATCTACCTGGCCAACATTGCCAGACGCCGCATTGCCCGCAAGACCAACAAGACGCGCCTCTTCCTGATTCATGATGACCGCCTGCCCAAGCGTGCCCGCAGTCCCTACGCGCTGTTCATCAAGTCCCGCTTCTCGCAGGTCAACAGTCAACCTGGCAGCGGCACGTCACAGGATTCGTTCCGTGCCATGAGTGAGGAGTGGCGATCCATGTCGGAGTCGGAGAAGCAGCCGTTCAAGGAGGCGGCGGTTTCGGAGTCGGAGAAGTCGGCGGTACTCTTTAAGGATTTGAAGGAGAAGGCTAGAGCGTATTGGAAGGCGCAGGGAGGCGCTGCCAGCCAAGTGCCCTCGTAAGAGAGTGGATTGTTGAAACCAGAGGACCTCTTTCCTTGTTGCCCTTGCTTCAACGCGACCGTTGACTCAAACCATCTGCGACGTCCGTTTGCAGCATAATGAGGATGAAGAAGAAATACGAAGAGGAAGCAGAAATTCGTAGATGCTTGGTCAGGCTTTCGGCCAGAACGAGGCTGGCTGGGTCTAGGCTCAAAGAGCCGTGCCCGCCCTCTTTTGTTTGTTTTGTCTTGTCACATTTGGTTTCCAGGTTTGATGGCTCCGCATCAATGTACTGTATGTATATATACTAAGTGAGTAGCAGGGGTGGAAATTTTCACCACGATCCCCTCCCTCAACGCCGCCCAGTGTGTTGTCCGTCATTTACGCGTGATCGTGCAGAGCTCCCTCTCGTGGACACGTACATGCCACCCAACGCCGTTCAATGCCCGCCCGGCCCTTGACTCCAATCCAGACCCATGCAGACCAACGCCGCGCTGTGCATCCCAGCAAACTATCAGAGGCGTCCGAGAAGACGGGAGGATTCACTTGCTCCCAGCGCCGTCCACCTGCAGGACGACCTGGCCTTGGGCGTCAAGCCACCTCGCGCCCGTGGCCTTGATCTCCCTCCCGCTGGCGAGATACGTGAGCAGATAGATGTGTTTGGCCACGTAGCCCCAGCAGTAGAAGCGCATCCAGTCACGCGACTCGTCTCGCGTACACCACACGCCCCAGCCGGCGAGTCCGCTGCTCAGGTAATTCGTCAGGAAGACCCACGTGTCGAGACGGACTTGGTCGGACCACGATGTGCAATCTACCAGCCAGTATCCCCTTTCAAAGGGGTCGACCTGGCGAGCTGCCCTCGGCCTGTAGCGGGTGGACAAGTCGCGGGAGAGTTTGTCGAGTTTGGGCGACACGAGGGACGCGGGGTCCAGGTTGGCCGTGGAGGTTTCTGGAGACGGCGGCCTGATGGAGAGGGTGTGGGAGATGACTTCTGTGGCGGAGAGGTCCGGGGAGCGGGTCGGGCCGGCCTCTGACGTGCCGGGGGCGAGGGCGAGGGCGAGGGGGACGTCGACTTGGGACGCCGGGGCCGCGGTGACGAGCGTCCGGGCGGTCTTGGTCGGGGGCGGTGCGGGTTCTGCGGCCGGGGACGACGCGAAGCTGTTGGAGATGTGGGTGATGTCGAGGGCCTCGTCTTCTGGGGGGGGACGCTTGTGAAGTCCCGCGGGGGCATGGGGCGTGACGGGAATAGTGTCGGGCTTGGGACGGGGCTGAGCTTCGTTGTCGGGGGGCACGGGGATCGACGAGGGGATGTTGATGGCGGCCGAGTCGCTGCTTGGCGAAGGGGCTCCGGTGTGGTGATGCTTGGGCGAGGGGGTGCTTTGTGACGAGGGCGTCTTTTGGAGATAGCGCTGCAGAAGTCGGGTTGGCGTGGTGTTGATGATGGCGGCGTCTGGGAGCGGGTATGAGTCGCTTATCTGGCTGGGCGGCGAGGTCCATGACGGGGGCGAGGGAGATGCGATTAGGGCCCTTGTTCTCGTTTGCGAGGAAGAGGGCGCGCCTGCGCGCAGACGGGGCGAGGCCCGGTTATCTATTGCGCTTTGAAAGCTGAGGTCTTGGGATTCGGGACACAGGGCTTCCTGGACAATCGGCGACGCGGAGTGCTGGCTGGACAGAGGTGCCGCGGCCGTGGTGATGTCGACTGTGGTCTCAGGCCGGAAGGCGAGATATGCGCGCGCCAGACGTCTGTACGTGTCGTCGTCGGAGACCTTGCTGGGCGAGGTTACGTGAACGAGGATTTCGACGTCGGGGGGTTCCATGGTGCGGAGGTGACATGATGAATGACGTCTTTGGGTCGTGAGTCTGAGTCGCGAGTCGTGACTGGTGAGGCGGGACGCGGTACGATACGATGGCGGTCTGGCGACGACGAGGATGTGGCTTTGTACTTGTGCTCTACTGAAGCACCTCGGAATCTATGATGCACCGACGAACTGCCCGTGGCTGCCGGCCATGAGCGACATGTCGTACAAGCGACAAGCGCACCAATAAGCCAAGCCGCCGCTGCCGCTGCCGCGCGACCCGCCCAACTCAATCTCGCAACCTCCTTTAAGGACCTCGACCTCTGCAGACTGCAACAACACCAGAACCTCATCCAATCCAACTTTACAGAGTGTCAAACTGCCCAGCCCAGCCCAGCCAGCCCAACCGAGCCCAACCCAACAACGCCCGCCATGCCGGAACGCGGCCACCTCGGCCACCTCGTCGTCATCGGCGGCAACGGCTTCCTGGGCCATCACATCATCAACCTCGCCCTCTCGCAATGGACCACCCAGTCCGTCTCGTCCATCGACCTCCGCTGCCAGCATAACCGCAACGCCGCCGCCTCCTACCACGAATGCGACATCACCGACACCGAGCGCCTCTCCTCCCTCCTCCAACACCTCAAGCCCGACGTCGTCATCCACACCGCCAGCCCAACCGCCAGCGGCGACACCAAAACCGCCAAGGAGCTCTTCAAAAAGGTCAACGTCCACGGCACCCAGTCCGTCATCGACGCCTGCCGCGCCGCCTCCGTCAAGGCCCTAGTCTACACAAGCTCCGCCAGCGTCATCAGCGACAACCAGAACGACCTGAGGAACGCCGACGAGCGGTGGCCCGTCATCCGCGGCCCCCAGCAGCACGAGTACTACTCCGAGACCAAGGTAAAACGACGATCCCACAAACCATTTCCTCCCCTTTGGAGTAAAAAAAAAAGCTAAACGTAACGTAATGAAAGGCGGCCGCCGAACAGCTCGTCCTCGCAGCGAACCGCTCGCCACCCTCGGAGCTCCTCACCACCGCCCTCCGCCCAGCGGGCATCTTCGGCGAGGGCGACGTCCAAACCCTCCCCGGCTTCATAAAGGCCTACAAGAACAACAAGTCGCACATCCAGCTCGGCGACAACACCAACATCTTCGACTTCACCTACGTCGGCAACGTGGCCCACGCGCACCTCCTCGCCGCCCACGCCCTCCTCGCCACCGCCTCGGCAGCCACCCGGCCGCTGGACCACGAAAAGGTCGACGGCGAGGTCTTCCTCATCACAAACGACTCGCCCTGCTACTTCTGGGACTTTGCCCGCGCCGTCTGGCGAGCTGCCGGCAGCGACGCCGGCACCGGCGCCGTCTGGACCCTCGGCAAGGGCACCAGCCTGACCCTCGGCGTCCTGAGTGAGCTCTTCTTCACCATCATCGGGAAACCGCCCACCTTCACCAAGACGAGGGCCACCATGGCAACCATGACGCGCTACTACAACATCACAAAGGCCAAGAGCGTGCTGCGCTACGAGCCGCTGTGGACGCTGCAGGAGGGCGTCACCAGGGGCGTGGCTTGGTTTCTGGAGCAGGACAAGAAGAAGGCCTGACAGACGGCCTGTCAGATGGATTGGAGGCTACGGGTCGGTCGAGCTGGGAGAAAAGGGGGCCGTCAGGGTCTCGGGGGCAGGGACGAACACCTCATGTACTTTTGCAACACATAATGCCCTTCCTACGGCGCTTAATAGCTCGGGCGAAATGCCTCAAATCCGCGTACTCACCCACTCGCACCGCACATTTCATCACGATAGTCATGAGCGCCATCGCACAGTCATCTCTTCTATTGGTTGCTGCCACCAGGCCGGCTAAACTACCCGTCACCGATGCCTCGCTATCACAAGTTCCCACATCCCACGTCTTTACTCACTCCACGATCCCTTCCGCCATCCACAAAAGGGACTCAAACACCACCCCATCCCTTATACAAAAGGACACATATTGGATAATGGTGTTGAAAGGAAGAGGAAGAAAAAATAAGTTTTGATAAAAAAAGAAGAAGACAAAAAGAGAACAAAAAAGGAGTCAAGGCGTAGCTTTGGTGCATCAACCAACAAATCCTTCGGTTCCATTCTCCCCGCATCAACAAATGTAATAAATAGTCCGCGACACGCCATGCTGAAGTAAAGTGCAACTACCACATTCGCCGACTACAGAAAACGGTTTCGCCCACGTAATGAATAACAGGTCGCCGGAAGACGTAAAAGCGGAACTAGAAGGAGGTATTCACTGACAACGAATCTTCCACGACTCGTGGAATTTACGCCGCATTGCCGGCTTCAGGGGAGAAATTTTGCCTCCTTCTCATGTCAAGACAAGCCCGTCAAGAGACTCGAGAAAGCACGGGAGAAGATGTCAATTCTGTTGTCACAAGCCCTTTGAAGAAAAAAAAAGCCTGACAAGCAAGAGCAGACAGACTTCACTAATGGAGGGATGTGCATGCAACCACAAAGATTGTCATGTCCGCGTCGTCAATGATCGATGGTGAGAAAATGAATAAGCAGGCCGGCGGCAACGAGGACAGCATTGGCGAAAAGAAGAAACGTTAAATGTTGGGGGGAAGGGACCTTTTGTTGCTTATCGAACGACCAAAGTGAGACTATAACGCCGTTGAGAATGCATAATGGCTACACCCAAATTATGTCTTTTTGTATGAGCAAAAACGCTTAGGCTAAATTCAGCCTCCCGTCTCAAGCGCCAGCATGCAGGAACCCGGAAAGCGATATCGCTGGTCATGAGTTCCCGCCAACACCTAGGCCGCCGCCCCGACGGCCCCAGGCTGAGTTGCGCCAGTCACCACGCTGGACATCCGTGCCATCGAGGTGGCTGTCAGAGTGGTTGAGCCTAGGATTGTATGGTCCTCGTATATGTTCCCCCGAGCCGGGCCACCTTTGCGGCGGTGTTCCCTGGCCAGAGCTGACTGGGGGCGCCGAAGGATCTTGGACTCGGCGTACAGTCCTTTCACCTTGCCAAACGGATGGATCTGTGTCCACTCGCTTGGGAGGAGATCGAGTTGAGACATCCTGTCTATTGTAAACTTCGCTGATGTCAACAGCTGGTAATTGATCCCTGCGATACTGGAATCGCTTGAGGATCTCCTTTGTGGTGATTTCACCGCTGTTACTGAAGATGTAAGGGTCGTTGAGTAATGTCAATAAATCGTCAGGGACCTGGCCATTGTCAGCTACGACGCCCCCGTCTTTGCACTTGAGGGGTTTTGGCCCGTTCCGTGATGGAGTGGCGACTTACCTGACACATCTCCTCGATGTTTTTGATGAGCATCTCCACAGCGTCAATAACATATATAGCCTCACCATCCAGCGCGGGGGTCTTGTTTGGGTTTGTCAGGATATTGGGCGCAATAACCGTGGCGAGATTCCTGATGTCCATCTTGGATCCGACGTCATCGTCCAGTTGATGAAAAGATCCAGCCCACTTCAAAAATGTAAATAGAATCTCAAGACTATCGCGATGACTCTTTGGTAGGAGGCAGCATGTCAGGTGAAGAAAGTGTTTTCTCCTCTCCAAATCTGGCAGCTTCGCCGCAGCGATCCAAAGACTGTACAACTTGTGAGTCATGAGAGGGTCGGGAAGATCCCTAAGGTATCGCTTTAGCAGCGCTGCCAATTGCACAACAGGCTGCTCCATGAAGTTAACAACGTCGCAACCCTCCTGGTTGATCTTTTCGACCAACGCCTGTTGCTTCTTGATATTGCCGTTTTTTCGAAACACGCCCTCGACCGACAGATCCATCTTTCGCATGGAAGCGATAATGTCATCCACAACGGCAGGAATTCGAAGGGTTCCGGGCCCGACGCCATCAGTTGAGTCGGCTCCGTCTCGTTCGATAATGATTTCCAATGGCACCCCAAAGACGCCCTTCTTTTTTACGTTCTTGTTCTTGTCGTTCTTGAATGCCTTGCCCAGGTTCTTCCAAAACGTTGGTTGTTTCCGTGATTCAATAAAATTCAGCAACTCATCGAGCGTGAACTCTTGCTCAACCAGGGGATGCATTGTTAAAACGGCCAAGTGACGGACGTTGAAATACTCGAGACCGGATAATTCAGGGAAAAACTTGCGGACCATTCGGCTGGGAAGGGCCTCGGCAGCACGCATATCAGGGTCTCTACCGGCAGATTGGGTTCTTTGGTGACCAAGAGGTCGCATATTGTCGACTCCGGGTCCACGGAACGGATCTTGACGAGCATCTCGGTCACGCTGTTGTTGCTCCCGAGATTGCTCGACAGCAACGATGCGGGGGATATCGTCCAGCGTGATGGCATCATTCTGCCCAAACATCAAGTCTGTCGAGCCTTGCAAGTCATTCGTCGGCTCATCTGCACCAGCCGAGCTTGGTCGAGGACCTTTCCCGTCGGCATCCATAACGCGAGAGGATCGTGCCTGGCGAACACTCGTGGATAAATGGCGATCGAGGCGGGTACTGCGCAGGCGCCGCACCTCATTTAGGGTGTTTTCATATGTCGATTCGCGGTGATTGTTTTCTTTCTTTTCAGTGCCTGCATATGACTTTGATCTGCCATCCGGCGCAAGGAAGGGCGGCGCGCCTAATTTGTTGTTGCCGGTGGCTTGGACGTCGCCCGTCGTGTACGGTAGGGTGCCATTACTGCGCAGGATATCCAAGAGTCGAGCGAGGGCCACCTTTAGCAGAAAAATGTATTGTCCGAGTTTTGTGACGTGCTCGAACGGTACTTCACCGTCTGTCTTGAGCGCGACGCAATTGGTACAGTATACCTTCCCGTCAAATGCGTTGTGTCGTGCCTCTTCAAGAGACCTCCCCAGCTCTTTCCCACATCGGCTGCAATTGACGCACGCAAGGTGCCATCGTAGGTCGCCGTTCTTGGCACATTCATCCTCAATCGAACGTTGACAAAAGGCACAATGATCAGAGTTTTTGCCGGAGAGGTTTGCACCTCCCATCGTTAGTTGCATTAGGCTTTCATCCGTCTTGTACGTCTCGAAATCGTTGAGGTCATTAAGAAGCTGGTCAAGTCCATCTTGTACTCCGTTGTCTCGCTCAAGACGCAACGCTCCCTGGAGACAGATTCTGATCAAAAGCTTGAGATAATGAGCCAAGCCGGTGACGAGAGACAGAAGCTCTTGCGTCACACCAAGTTTTCGGACGCTCGTGTCTTGTGTCTTCGACAGCAATGAAAAGAACGAAACAATCTTTTTGCATAGCAGTTTAGCCTCGCGCCCGTATGACAAGCCTGCACGTGGTAGTGTCAGCCTAGAGTTGTTCTGCTACGCCCCTTTAGGGGCGTCAATTTTTTTTCCGTCATTAAAACTTACCCTTTTCGCTGTGAGATAGTACCAACCGGTCAAGTCTATCTGCTGACTGGAAGAGGATTTCAACGTGCCATATAAAGCGCTTCGCTACAAGAATGCCGTCAACATAAGCTCCATTGCTGACGTGGAGGAGCATATCCGAAATGCACGCCGCAGAGGACTCTTCAAACGTTGAAAGGACGCTCCAAATGCGGTAAACCTTTTCCTCCATTCGCTCTTCTTCCATACGAATATGTTCTCTGACGGCATTATCCTTTGGCTCTGGCGGGGGCTCATCTGGCGTGTCGGTCGGTTGACCCAGGCGGACATTCCAAAACTTGTGAATCATGTAACATTCCGGATGCCAGTGCTGATTCTGGCCATTCCGAAATATTTCCACAAATTGCTTCAGAATGGCCGTCTGGCAACCATTGCACCGCTGTGCAAATTGAGTCGAGTAATGATAGTGGCAGTAGACGTGGCCTTCGTGTTCATAGTAGCTGTCTTGGGCTCCGAAAACTGTCGAGCAAAGCGAGCAAGTGAAATGGTCGACATGGTACTTTCTATCCAGGGCGGTGATGTAGGACCCTCTCAGGGCTCCTCCACACTGGTAGCAAAGCAAGCCTAATCTTCGAAAGTAATCCGTCTCACAAAGGGGATATGGCCCATCCCCATTCTCGTCATCCGCAGGAAAGAACTTTGATGCCACAATCTCACCACAATCCTTTGTTTAGTCTATTAGTAGGGGGGATCAAGAGGTATTGTGCACGTTTGTGAAAAGGACCATGGCAGGGGCAAGTTTCGGTTGGATAGGAGGGAGAGGGCGTCAACGCCTTTATCGAGCCTACTTACACGGCACTTGAAGCAATCCAGGTGAAAGGTGCCATCTAGGGCTCGGACAAATTGGCCAGTCAATGGCTCGCCACACTTTTTACAGATCCTCAACTGGCCACTGGCAGTGCGTCCGTTTCTTTGTCGCGATCGGTTCCTCTCCCCGCTCTTGCGGGGCGGAGGTTCGTCAGACCAGGTCCCTGGAAAGGCTCCGGGCATGCTGGAGCCAGAGCTGGTGGGCTTGAGATGATAGGTACTATCTGGTGTTCTTGAGCCCCCATTTTGCCAGTTTCTGTCGTTTGCGTAGCCCGAGTCGGAGGCTGGGTGATCACCTCGAGAGCGGTCGGTAGAAGGCCGGCCGTGGTCCGATGCCATCGTGGCCCAATGATGCAGCGACGGCCTAGCTAGACAAAGGCAACGCTTGCTTTTCGTCGTGGAAAAAGAATGCAGTCGCCTAGCCGTCGAGCCGTCGGTTTATGGTATGCTTGAAACCACACAGACACGCGGTGTTGCGTCCGAGTGTGGTCTCGTTTCAGCGCCAGGTGTACGACAAGAACGGACGAGGGGGGAGTCTCTCGGTCGGCATCAGCTATGTTGGTCCCCAAAAAGTAATACGGGTGCCAATTGAAGACGTTTGGGCGACCAGAAAATGATGCGCACGACGGACAGGAACACTGGCGGCACGGGGTCGAAGGCGTATCCTTGTTCGCGTGACTGCCCAACGGTTGCGAGTATCGAGATCGGGGCTGAGCTTCGCAAATTGGGGGCCAGCTGGGCAGCGGCAACGGCAGCGGCAACTGCGTGATGACGCTCGGAGAGCAGAGGCCGAGACGGGCGTTAATAGCATGTAAGACTGAACATGTAAACACTGAAAGATGCAGAAGGCGGGGCTCGGTCGCGGCGGCGACGTGGACGATATGGGCGGCAGAGACGATGGTAACTGATGTGAGCCTGGTGTTGGTGTTTGACCATAAGAGTTCGATATGAGGGACGGAGAGGGACCCGAGGGGACCCGAGGGGACGTGGACCAGTGGGACCGGTTGACCAGTGGGACAAATCTGGTGGGCTCAGAGGGAGCAGTCCACTGGCAACTGGTGGGCTCAAGAGTCGGGACCTTGGATGGCGGTCAACTGGTCCGGTTTAAGTTGGTTGCCAAAGAGTGAGCAGTGACGCCTGGCTGCTCCAGTGTCCAGATGTCGGTCAACTCAGGCGGTGTCAACGCCTGGCAACAACATTGACAGGCCGCTCAGGTACACCCCACCAGCAGAGCCTCGGCGCGGTAGCGCCAATGGCAATAGCAGTAGTGGGAACATTTGAAGCATTGGCGGTCAATACCTGCCATGGCGCGGAGTGCTTTTATTGTTACTAGCACTTCCATTCACTTGACAGTCAATAGCACGAGTCAACCAGCACATGAGACTGGTCTAGATCCGGAGCGCCTGCAAGTTGCAAGAGGCGACAGCCTGCAATGTTGATCCATGTCAAGCATGCAAGGCCACAGCGGCCCTTGAGCCCTCTCCAGCGCTGAAGCCGATGCCTCCCAGTGGGACTTTTGGTCTCAAGCGCTATTGCAGCCTGCAAGTGCACAGCCAAACAGCACTGCACCGCCGGGCATCACTAGACCTCAGGACCTCGGTCACCACACACATGGATGCCATTGGTAGGTATCAAACCAGTCATCAGAAGCCCTAATAACTGCCGCTCTTTCCTTTCGAAACCGTCAAGTGGTGGCGAGTGCTTCGCGTATTATTACCGCATGTGCACAGATGAGAAGTCACCACTCTCTCTATACCGAGCACAGCCGTCGATGCTTCAACACTGGTCCTCCATGCCCCGTACTCTCCACGTCTTTTTCATAGGCCGCTTGCTTGTGCATCTGCTTTTGCTCCTCGTTGGGGACCTGCATTAACACGCAACCTCGCACAACGGGCTGGACCGGCTGGAGAGAAGGGGGTTTTGTCTGGCTGTTGCCAACTTACCGCAGCTGTACGGTACTCCTCCTTTACTGAGCACTCGAGCGCCAAGCCAAGGAACTACTCTGTGCTCCCTAAGTGCCTTGTCTGCCTGCCTGCCTAAACTGGCCTTCTCCTTGTTGACATTGACCGTTGTTGGGCGGAGATGTAGCCCCTCCAAGATCAACAAATCCCAGACCCAAGGCCACAATATCTCTCATCAAGAACGTCTCCAAAGCGTACAAAGGATGCCCCGTCAGAAACAACCCTCGGATCCACATCCACAGGCACGTAGAAGGCGGCCCGTTGGCCAAAGAATGAGAACTCCATGTTCGGTTGGCACACTCCTTCATCTCCCAGGCAGCCAGCCTACCAGATCCAGGCGAGGGCCGCATCAAGTCGGACTCTGGCACTTGAACTGGAAAACGACTGGGCAACTGAGCCGACTTCACGACGTCGTACCCGAGATCCTTGGTGAGGTCTGTACGTACTCGGTACATGATGATGTACTACGGTGTGCAGGAAAAGGGTTGATTGATTCCAGTCTCCGTCCTGTACCACACGCTGCGCACGCCAGGTCTTGGGCTGGGGAGCGACCTTCTCGCTGTGAGCAGTGCACCGTTCTCAGCAGTCCGTACTCCGTGCCATGTTCCGTATTTCGAACTTCAGTCTCGTTCCCTTTCGCGTGTTCTCACCGGCTTGTCTTGGTAGTGCGTATGCATCCTACCGAGGAACCACACAAAGCAACTCTTATGCTCATCTCTGCACCAAATCGAACGCGCGTATATCATTGTTTTGAAATTGCGCTCGGTACAAGAAAATAGATCGAGTAAACATGGGGCAGCAATTTGGCGGTATTTCAGCCACAACGGCCTCCCGACCAGGGCTGGGAGGGCAGATTCTCATCCAGGCATCGTGAGACGGACATTGTTTACCTCATTTGGGTCAACCTGCCGCCCCCGCCTCCTCCCGCGGTATTTTCGATTCGTCGGACAGAACTATGCTTAAATGCTCCTCGGTCATAATGCTTCTTCGCGTACGGGAACGCCGAATGAAATATGAATAACTGCGGCTGATTCTCCAAACGCATTTGAAGTGGACTTGCTGATGTACATGAAAAGCACAGTCTCCATAACGACTTGGGCATCGCTGCCTCTTGTCACCACGGTCTTGGAGCCGACTGAACAGTGTTGAGAGCAAGAAGAGTGACGAGGCGAAGGAGCCCTTGGTCAGCGCAAACCAAGGTGAGCTCTTCGTAACAGCTAGACGACATGTTTACTTCAACAGTTGAAGATCAAGTTCTCTGAGACGCCGTTGCTCTTCGATTAGAGTGTCGACTGCGATTGTGGGCCGCCCAAACGTGTGCTGGAGGTCGTGATGGAGTTGTCTCCGTAAAGGCCAAGGATGATCGGTGGCCGGCAATATCAAGCAGCATTTCTGGCGTGGCGTACTCCGTACCGACAGAACTCCCGTCATCCTTGCACGGTCGACGGTAAAAGATTCCGGGCCACAAGGTGCAGATCCACGTCCGTATCTGAAGCTGCTGACTGGACGCCAGGCCACACATTCTTCACCACCGACACACATCTCGAAGCCAAATCGTCTCAAGGCTCCCGTTGACTGACGGGGTCTCTTGGCCGTGTCCAATGTACCGAGCACGGAGTGCTCGAGCAAACAAATATCCGGGCAAACGTTAGTACTACGTACTAGTAGCAAGTACTAGTACTTCGTGCCACGACGACTTGGCACAGGGAGCAACACGCAACACGAATGCGGAGCCCTTGTGCATGCCAAGGCTTGGAACAACCAAGGCCACTTACCTGGACTGTTTCCGCCTCAGGCTCGCCGCAACACTGCATACCATCACGGAACAAGAAAAATGTTTCCAAAAATCACTCGTGTTGTGCAACAACAACAACAACCACCACCGCCACTACTACGTACTACTAGTTGGGAACTACATTACTGCCTCTCTTGGCGTTGGACACGTCGTGCAGGGGAGCATGGAAGGAGGGCTGGTTGTTACACGCCTTCGTCCGTCAGCTTTGTAAGAAATTTCTGTTGGGCTGGTGTTGTGCTTTTGGTGCTGTGATATTATTTCATTTTACGAATTGCGCCCTGTCTTGCAGTTTGGTGGTATTTGGCGAAGCTTGTTGTTGTTGTCTTGGCGCCTCGCACGCGGGCTGAATTAATGATGTTCAAGTGCCGAGATGAGGACGGAAGGCTGCATATGCAGCGTCGACGGAGGAGTTACAGAGCACATGTGCCGTGGGATTGGACGATAGGCGGCGACCTGGTTAAGCGGAGGCGGAAGCGAAACCGGAAACGCAAGCGGCGGGCGTTTCGTCTTTTGCGTGCTGCCATGAATCCATGATCACGGCGGGAGGGGCGCTTGTCGACAAGGAACTCGAAGTGGTCGGTCTTCGAGGCTTTCTCAGCGTGTCGTCGTGGCTTGAGTCGATGTGCTGTTAAAGCGATATTGCTTGGTTTGCCTCTCTCATAAGTGAGGTCTGCCTACGACCATGTTGCATTTTACGTGCGGCATTGACATCCAAGTTTTCCCTACAGGCTATGGGTACCCTTGTTCGGCAACAACTCAACTTGATGCATACCAGGCTCGTGTGACTGTTGTTCTGAGTCAAATCAATCAACTTCTGAAGAATGCCACGGGCGAGGTTATTCATGGTTCCTCACGGTCGACCAATGTGCCAATGAATGTCCAATAAATAACTGAAGGGAGCAGAGCAGGGCCATACTGGTGAGTGATGAGAGGCCATGGGGCAAAATTAAAACGCCGTCATATTACTCCTGAGCTCAGACCGAATTCCTTGAAGCAAAAAAAGTCAGAACAAGGACAATTTACCCAAAAGACAAATCACTTCCCCCTCACAATTTGCTTCAATCTCCTTTCAATCACCTCCCTCCCTTCCAGAGTGCGCCAAACCTCATGTCCCGCCCCGTTCACTATATCCCATTCCTTCAAATTGTCCGTCACGGTTGTCAAGTCTCTCTGTTTCCTCTCCCACTCCTTGCTCCGCTTCACTTCCACCCCCGAGCTAATCACCACCAAGGGGGTCTCTCTCTCTTGGATCTGGCGACTGCTCTTGACATCGCGCTTGGTGAAGGATTCCAGCACCAGACTTTCCTGGAGCTTGGCAAATATGAATTTGCTTCCTTGCTGGACGGCTCTTCCGTACACGCGATCTCGAGACGTACGGCCCCTGAAAATCGCGCCCGGAAGTCGGTCCAGCCCGAGGGGGGAGAGACTGCCACGAAGCCAGAGGAGGAATCCGCGGCCGGGAGATGCCCACGGGCCGAGAAGGTCCTCGTGGAGGGGGTCGATGAACACGAGGCCCCTGACGTCATGGCCATGGCGGGACGAGAATACCCGCGCGTAGAGGGAGCCGATGCCCGCGCTGACAGAAACCCACGGCCCCTGTTCGCCAGCTTTGGCGAGCGCTTCGCTGAGGACGTCGACTGCGAAACCGGCTGACAGAGGGGATGGCGCTGTATCCGACCACGCCATTCCCGGGCGGTCGACGAAGCAGTATCGCGAGACGGAGCCGTTCTTGATGGCGTTGTCTGCAAAGGGCCACAGGCCTTGTTCGACGGGTCGCTCTCCCCCTTCGAGGAGCACAGTAGGAAGCTCCTCCCCGTGCGAGTCGGTCTTGTTTCCATGACAAAAGAGGTGAACGCGGTACTTGTCCCCGTCAACGCTGTACCTCTTTCCGGGGGCAGCGTAGCTGGCATCCAATGCTCGGAGAATAATTGTAAGCGTGATGAGAACGACCGCCACGACCATGACGACAAACGCAATGGTCGACACGATAACCGCACACCATTCCGTCAGAGTCCGCCTTGTCTCGGCACGGCCCGTCAGTCTCTCTTCCTCCTCCTCTTTGCCCCATTTGACCATGCGGTCTGTGAGGATATTCCAGAGACTCATGAGCAAAGCCCAGACGGCGCTTACGATGCCGACCCATCCTTCTTCGTACCGCGTCTGTTGCACCGCAAGGAGGAGGATCAGGTCGAGAAGCAGTAGAAACTGTAGACTCTGTCAGCCCCGCTCGTCCGGCATGTCACGGCGGTTCTTGAGAATGCACTCACTGCCATCACGAAGGCCAGGATCCGGACCGCCTTGCTCGGAACCCCAAAGAAGATGAGAACAAAGCCCAGATTTGCCATGGTCAAAGTCGTCAATCCGAACGCAAGGAACCCGCTGCCACGTGTATGCAGTCCCGGAGGCGTCGCAAAGGCAGAGACCAGCAGGAGAACCCACCAGACGAATGTGATGGCCGTCAAGACGAGTGTCAAGTAGCGCAGGACACGGATACTCCATAGATTATACGGGGATACCGCGGGATCGTCTGGCGTGAGGAGAACTCGATTCGAGTCGACCCGATTAGGGAGCAGACGGGTGTGCTCATCAGGCGGGGCGGCTTCGGAGTCGTCCGCCGCTTCCCGGTGTTCTTGGTCCATTTTGCCGTCGTTTTTCTTTTTGCTGAATAGAGGCATCGTGGCTCAGTTCTTCGGACGCGCAGAAGGGAGGTAGGTGGGAAAGGGGGGAAGAAGCTACTAAGAAAAACTTGGTCCCGCAAACAAGGCTAGGAAATAAGATGAATACGAGAGAAGTAGAGAGTATTTGAAGTATGTCCTGTTACAAGGGTTACCTGCAAGTCTGCTTGAAACGTTTGACGAACACTTGCTCCTCCGGATCTCGAGAACGTCCTCCGAGAAAAACAAAAATTGGGCTTGCAGGTAGACGGGAGGGCTGCAGAGGGGAGATGGAAATGGCCACCTTTTTGTCTGGTCTCGCAATCCCCTCCGCTCGGATCAAGGAATATATGCGCCATCGCCATGGCCCATGATATTTGCCGTGATCTGAGGCGATGGCTACGTCATAGCCAGATTTGCCGCACTTATAGGAAAGAGCTCTGGCCAATGAACAGCGCTGGCGGCGGCGACGGCTAAGCCTTTCTGAGTTCTCCCTATGTTTGGTGTCTCACCCCACTTATCTGATGGCTTCTGGCAAACCAGAGTTCGCGCAGGTTTTCAACGGTGCAGAGAGAGGAGATACATTGAGCAGTATGACTAACCCGGTAAGTTCCAAGGTTGGGGTTGTAAAGTTGAACCTGTATCCACTTCCAAGCTGACAAAAGAGTTTAAAAAAGGCTTCGTTTGACAGCTTCAACACGCCAGCGCCGGGACCAACACAGCCTCCCGCCCCTCCGAGGAGATAACAGCACGATAACGTGTGTAAGCACACACTCAGTGTTCGCCGGTGAACGGTTCATGGTTGGGCTTTGAAGTTCTGCAGCGGCTATCGATGGAGCCAGGGCCGAGTCAAGTTGAAGCCTCGACAGACCAGGGCTGGGTGTCAAGGGATCCTGCAAAAGCAAAGCCAGAGGAGGGCTCAGTATTTGGCGTACATACAAAACAGACATGGGGTTCGTTCTATTTTCGCATCTCCCCTCCCCAACCCACAAGTTGAGGCCCCAACAGCATCCACGACGGGCTACTCCGTAACTTGCGACAATAAGAAGCAGAGGCGGCGTGGGTACGACTCCGTACGAGCCCAGTCAATGAATGAGTAAACGTCACACCAAGAACGTTGGCTGGCCAAAAGTTGTCTGGCGGGCCACCACAGCCCCAAGGGCCGGTGTTGGCGCATGCCAGCGCAACGTTCGGTGGCGCCCTTGCGAAGGAGGTTCCCATGTCAACTTGCAGGGCGCGGCAGCATTCGACAAGAAACAAGAGACCGAGACGTTCGCAATAGGGCCTAAATAAAAACAAGCAACAGGTTCCTTGAAAAGTAAGATATGCTACCCTCTAATCCGTAGAAAGATGGTGACGAAATCCCAGCCTCTGCCAGTACACCAGCCTCCTCAATAGGAGCTGCAGTACTCCGTAACATACTCCGTGGTGAGACGAGAAAACCCCTCCCCAAAAGATAGCCGTCAAATGCTAGTCATGTCTCGTAACAAGTCGGCGGCAGTTCAGCCCACGTTTCACATTGCCCACCACAAATCTTCACACCACCCACGGCGCAATCATGCTCGCATCCCCGAGGCTTGACGTCGATCCAGACGACACTCCGCGCCGTAGATACCGCCGGGTGGGCGATGGCGAATCCCGCATGCCCCTCTCGCGCAAAGCCTTCTCAGGGTCAGGGCCCGCGGTCGACGTCGTCACGCCGTCCGGGACTTTGCCCCTCGGGAGGTGCATCTTGGCCGCGGCATCAGGGTCGTCCAGATGGATGCCATGGTGCTGGTACGCAGCCACGCGCTGCTGCTTCAGGGCACATGCCGACGGTTCGCTGACAGACAGCCAATTCCTGACGGCTCTGTACCATCGCGGGCTGTTGGCGCCGGCGCCGCTGCCCCTCGTTGGTGACGCGTAGCTGGCCGGCACGAGGCGTCTCGAGCCTCCGTTGACGGTACTCTCCTCACAGCCCGACTGAGAGACTTCGGAGCGAGAGCTGATGTAGCTTTCGGAGGCGGTTCCGTCGAGAGACGAGTCCCGAGTTGCAGGCGCAGACGTCTGATGTTGGTGGCTGCACGGCTCGTCTGGCACCGCGACGGATCCCAGCGCAGTCATGGCGGGGTTTCCCGTCCTTCTTTTCCCAATGTCGTCTTGTGTTGCGGACGAGGGTTCCTTTTTTCTTTGTCTTGCAATTTTTCCCGGAGTCTCACTGAATCGAGAGGTGTAGATGCCAAGAGTCGAAGTCGGACGCATGTCGAGCCGGAGACCACCCACCCGCGGGTCCCAGGGCTACCTCGACACAACTCATGGACAGGCCAAATGCTGACGGGTTGTGTAGGAATCAGACAAGCTTCAAAAAAAAGAAAAGAAAATAAGAAAATAGGAAAAAGAGGCGCCGGGACTAGCGCTCACAACGACGGCGCGAGGTGCTTGCGGGTGGCCCTGAGTGATCTGCTTCATTTATTGCCCGCATAAGTAGATTTAACGACGGTTAGTACTCCGTACCCGCTAGTCACCTTAGGTAAGTTACCTGGGTAGGTAGTATCCGCAGCAGGGTTTGACTTGGCGCTTATGCCGCAGCTGCAGAGTACAACGCAGGTACCCATCTGCACCCAGCTCCTGCGCCCAGCTCCAGCGCTAGTCCTCGAGACGTGCGCTATTGGATTACTTATTCGATGCGTCCCTGCAAGCCCTACCCTTCACTGCGTGGCCGAGGTGCGTCATGTCGTAAGGTTGCTTTCGATAATCAAGACATCAATCGAAAACATCATTCTAGAACCATCTGCCATGGGAGCTTCCGCAAAGCTATTGGTAGATTTGCTACTGGACACAAGACTATCCAAAGCCTGTCACACCAATGTGTGCGTAGCCAAAGAACGCTTCCCGAATGTTGAGAAACGTTAACCCTGCATACCATCGTTTATCAACCCAGCTAGTCATTCCAAAAAAACGCTTTTGACATGCATCCGTCGCATGAATTTCCCGCCATGCCCTTTGCTGCTGTTGCAGCTCCAAGTGGTACGAGCGGATAATCGAGTCCGTGTCGTCAGTGGCGAGGGGGCGAATGTTTGCCATCTGGTGAATCTGGCGGTGCTGTTGCCAGTCGTCTGTCAGTATCATCATCAAGTGAGGGTCTTGCCCAAATACACATACACTTCCTTAATCTGCTCGGCACTCATGGACATACCAAGCTGCTCGACTCAGCTCTCGATGGCGTTCGGCCTCCGTCATGAGTACCAACGGCAAAAGCGCCTAGGAGAGACTCGTACGAAACCTAGGATCGCGAGCATTGTTAACATTTATTCCGACTGGAAGGCTGAGGGCTTCATTTTTGGCGGAACCAGACAGGGGAGCACAAATGACGTACCGGTGATGGGATTGTTGAGGGGAACGTTCTGGCGTCCCGTTAGCTTTTACCGTTCCGCAACGAAACCACATTATGCCATCCACGACGCCCACAGAGGGCAGCCAACAATGGCGCGATCGAAATATGAAATATGCCAGCAAGTTGGTCGTTTTGCAGAATCTTGACTCACCATCTGGACGGCGTCTGCCACCACATCCTCAATCTCCTTGATCTTATGGAGCTTGTACCGGCTCAACACATAGTCGCGACGTCTAACCATCATGCGGGCTTGGAGAGGAAATCGCCGACGGACGCGTGGGGTGTGCGATTACGGATCGGATTGGCGGTACCATTGGTGCCGCTGACTGTTGATCTATCGCCGCACATGATGGCAGTAATTCTGAGTCAAATGGGTCGGTGTTGTTCGTAGCGTTCAAAGTCGAAGTCGCCGAGTCAAAAGCATGGAAAGAAGCGAAGGAGGAAAAAAGTTGTACTTCGATCGAATCAATCTACTATTACTACTTACTTAAGTAGTAGACGCACCAACGTTTTCGTGGGGTTCCCCGGGGGACGGATCGGGGCGGCAATGGTACCGAGTAGAACGCAGGGCTAATTGCGTCGTTCCGACGTCGCAACAGGGAAAAGTTTGGAGCTAATTGCAGCACAGTGCACCCCGCCGTCACAGGCGCTGGCATCGCTCGGCACAAGTGGGCCCGCTTCCCGGCGCATCTGGCCCCTTGGACAGTGTAGGGACCGGAGTCACGGACTGTCTGTCCGATAGCGCAATCATCATCACGGCAGATGTCGCGCATGGCGGTCACCCTCATCAGGCTGTCTTGGAGGATGCGATAAACCGGCGTACCGAATCAATTACTGTGCAGCAAGCCTCGTTTAATACTGGTGCTGGTGCGACTGGCCGCCCAGGAACTGGAGCGAAAGGACCAAATCCAGCTCCAGAGGCAAATATTGAAATGAAAGAGGCATCAATGGCCATTGCTCGACTTACCCTGTACTGTAATGCCGTGCATCGCCGCACCTCCAACGAAGAGTCGCCGCCTCAACTTCGCATGCGTCTCGCCCTCGCCACAGAACACGAATCCCTGCCTCTCTCAACACCAACGCCAAGTCTTCACCATCTAGCTCGCTGCGACTCATTAATACAAATAACTGCCCCCCTCCCCAGGATCGCGTAAACTCGGCAAGAGCGTCTGCGAACCCGGTCCTGTCAGCACTGCCATAGTCCAAGGCTCAGGCTCCCAGCCCACACACCTCGCCCAGCGCCAAGAGAGCCCGCGAGTAGTGCCGTTTCTGACACATCATCTCGCGAAAAAAGAATAAAGAAAGATCGCCCGTCAAGAAGGGACATCTTGGTCTTGTCCCCCCCAGTCGGGTCTCCAAACCCGCGCCAAAACACACCCCGCGCGGCGCAAAACTCCAGGACGAGATATATCCCGCCGCCGTCTCCATGCCCGCTCTCACCACCATCTTGACCGACAAACCCGGCGCCAGGTCCCGGTCAGCATCCCCCATTCGTCCTCCCATGTCTCCAATCACGCCTCCCCTGGCTCCGGCGCAACCCCGCGATGTCCCTCCAGCCGCAGCAGAGCTGCCCCCAGCAAGACAAACCTATACCCATTCATCGCAGCCGTCACAGCAGATAGGCATCCCACCGCCTCCCCCCGAGCCCATCGACTTTGAGCAAAATCCCGACGTCATTGCTCTCAAGTCTGCCATTTCCGTCCTCCAGGTCCAGAAGAGGCGAGCCACGGGGGATATCCAGACGCTGAACAGAATCAAAGACGAGGCGCTGGACGATCCAGAGTCGTTTATGAAGGACCTAGCGGCCGGCAAGGTGAAGCCACGAGACGACTGCCTCTTTGAGTCCGTCGACAGTGACGAGCATGACGGGGACACCGGCGGGGAGAACTCGCGCAGCAAGCGTTCGTCTCGGCAAGACGAAGAGTCAAAACCGAGAGAATGGTCGTCGTTGCCAAAGCCCCAGGATGTCGTTCGTTGCCCCCCTCTAAACTGGGCGCAATATGCCGTGGTTGGCGAGTCCCTGGACAAGCTCCATGCCGAACAGGTGGCGCGCCCTTCACAAGGATTGCCCGCCGTCTTTGGACCCAACGGAATGTATGACATAAAGACTGAGGGCAAGCAGGAGAAATACACCGGTGTGGCCGCACCATATGCCCCTGCCAAAGACCGTATTGACAGGAAATCAAAGGGCAAGAAGTAGCGGGGGAAATGGAATATTGGACCTAACGGAAAGTCTGCATTCCAAGAGAACGCCAACATGAATCATTCAGGACATGTTACGACTGTCATGATGTATGACTATGAAGGGCGTTTTTGTATTAGAAAGGTATATCGTGTTTAGTTGCCAGAAGTGGGAACAGTCAGTGTATGTCACCTGAACCGTCACTTCTTTCATGACGATTGATAGCCACCTTGGAATATATCGTCAAGTCAACCCTGAAAACATTTGAAAGAGTTCTTATGGAACCTGTATCACAAAGCCCCTTCAGCACGGCTCTATTTCCGTGACCTGTTTTGCCGCTTGCCTCCCCGAGAATCCTATGTATCTGGGTCTCTGGTTCTCAACAACACCACCTATGTAGTGAAGTAGCTGTGGCACTCCAGTCGACGAAATAGAAAAGAAAGAAGCAAGGGGAGAGGGGATGGAGGGAGCCTCGGCAGTCCTATAAACGATACGCCGAAATAATGCAAGTCATAAATCGCTATATTTCCTCCCACCGTCAAATACCAAAATTGTTACTCGGGAAAGTCTCTATTTGGTGGTTAGAACTGCAACCATCAAGGGACAAATGAAAACGAGAGGGCAAGGGCCTTACTCCATGCTTTGCTGTACTGATCGACGAAGGCGACGGTTGTATTGCTTTTTATCATCCTTTCCGCTGCCCCAGAACAGCTTGGTGGCTTCCGGATTGACAACCATCCTGGGATCATAAGCCGGTTCATCCTCTTCCAATGTTGATATGATGGCCTCGATATGAGACTTGACGTCCTCGCGCTTGAGTGGATTCGGTACGTAGCACGCCGTGCCATCCGGGGCAACATGATGGTGGAAAATTTTGGTTTCAAACTTGACACGAGGCTGTTCGTCGGGGAATCGGGTGCTGAAGTTCATTCTGATCCGGAACAAGCCGCCGTCGAGATTGGTCATGGGCCGACCAAAATAGGTGATAACCCACACAAATGGATTGCCGTTTTCGAGAGTCACATCGTGAGGCATATCGCTTCTTTTGAAGTAGGCCGTGACATGCTCATACTGATGGTGCAAATTGACCGCGACCGTAGACTCCTTGACAACGGCTGCGAGGCCCTCAGCTGCCCAGGCCGCTGGCTCTGCGTCAAGTGCGGTTTTAATATTCTTTAGCCTTCGCTCGAGATCCGGATAGTTAAATTTTCCCTCCATGCAGTTCTTAACCGGCGTTTCAAAAGGCATTCGTACAAAGTTATCCTGTAGCTTGACTTCTGACTTTCCCTTTTCAACTGCGTCCAGGTACGATTGATAGTACCATAGAAACCGACGTTTGCAGATGTCCCTGAAAGGCTCAAATGGTACGTTTACCTCGTCGTCGTCATCACCGTCTTCTCTGATGAGCATTTGAGTGCTACCGCCAACGGGACTGAGACCAAGATAGCTTTCCAACCGCTGAACCACAGAGATTCTCAACGATTCGTGACGGATCTGGATTTTTTTTTTTATCTCTCAAGGTCAGCTATAATATCGCACAAGTCATGTGATTGTCTCATTGTGAATAATTGTGAACCTTTTGTACATAATCTTTTTGGTACATCTTGTCTGATTCTTCGTTTGCATCCTCGAATCCGGGTTCATTTTCGTAGGGGTTGGCTGATAGAAGGCTCTGGATGGATAAGAGAATGGATTCCAGGCCCTGGGCCGATGACCACTCCTCTCCTCGTTCTCCACGCCACGTTCTGTGCGGGTGGGAAAAAACTGGTTGTCAACCACGACGTACACGAGGTAAATGTTGAGTCGCTGAGAAAGCGATACTTACCCCAGTATTGACCTGCCAAGTCAGTATAAATTAGCATGTACAGCAGGGCATACAGATACTTACAAGCAAACTTTGCCGTTAGCATATATATTCGGGTTCAGTCGACATCTGCCTCCGTTGGTGGTGACACACTGGACGTTGGGCGACTTGGACGGATAGTCTAGAAATCGTCAGGCATCGGGAACACGGGGACAGGCATAACAGACAGCCATGACACGAGAATACCTCTGCCAAAATGAATGGCAAACTATGTCAAATCTGTCAGTAGACGCATCGTCCACGGCTTGTCGCACTTCCCGGGCATTGTACCTCGAAGAAACCAAATTCGTAAGGGGTCTCGTGAGGCCCCATGACCAAAGCTTTCACATTGCGAACGTCGATATCGCGGCAAGCCACAGCGATGGCTATTTGTAGAAGCCAGGAAGGGTCAGAGAAAGGAAGGAAGCAGAGGCGACACAAAAAGAACACTCACCGAGGTCAGTACCCCTTTGAATGTCGCTCAGCTCCTGTCCAACAAACAGTCGGGTTAGCCTCCAAGAAGCTTGAGATGAAGGAAACATCCGCAGACGCACAGGTCCCAAACGCAGGGTGCGGAGTGCGGGGCATTTGGCGCAAACAAACCTTGGAGATCCGAATGATAGATTGATCCATGGCGGCTGACCCTACAAAATGTAGGGACGCGAGTGTGAAGAAGGTCCAGTCGGGCAGTGAAATTATTGATGAAATGTGAAAGAGATGGTTGAAGTCAGGCCGAGTGCTGGCATTGACGAAGAGTGGGCAGGAGCCCGGCTTGCACAGGTCTTATATGCAGAACGAGCATTGAACGTCTGCTGGACATTTGCAACCAGACTTGAGTAACTACCTAGGTAAGTACTCAAGTACCTGGGCACTACTGAAGTACGGAGTAGGTCGTCTGGCCTGCCAGCACAAGTGGCCTAGTGGCATTGGGGCGGCGCTGGGCGGAGGCTACTTGAAGTACTTAAGTAGGCAGCCGTCGCGTGCCAAGCGCTCCAAATGCCTGGCCAGTTGGCGGCTCTTGGATGCCGGTGAGTTAATAACATTGTGCGTCAACCAAGATCACATTTGAACGGCGTGTGGGGATTTTTGACAGCAGGCAGCCACGCGGGGGCCGATGCACCCATGTCCGCACGCGCTGGCTGCTGCAGGCAGACAGAGCAGTGGACCCCGCTGAGGTCTCCAGTCAGGCATCCGACGTGACGTGACGTGACGCGTTAATCGATTTCCTTTGCAGTTTGCCTTAATTCCGTCCATCTTGCGAATCATCAGACCCGGCAGCACCAACGTTCCCACACAGATATGGCCAGTTTCTTCGATCTCAAAGCCCGGAAAGCTGCCGCCGCCGCCAATGGCTCCTCCGAGCAGAAACCCCAGAAGCCAGCAGAAGCTAGAAACCAGCCCTGGGTCGAGAAATAGTATGTCCTCGCCTTGCCTCGAGGAGCAGCTCGATCCTCGAACAATAAGAGGAACCCTCTGCTGACTCCCGTCCTTTTAGCCGACCCAAGAGCCTTGACGACGTCACCGCCCAAGATCACGCCGTGACTGTCCTTCAAAGAACCCTCCAGGCTTCCAATGTACAATCGAAACCCGATACAGCACTCAACAGACCACACACCACACACATGTACTGACATCATGACTGTCACAGTTGCCGCACATGCTCTTCTACGGGCCTCCTGGTACAGGTAAAACATCAACCATCCTCGCATTGGCCAAGGAGCTCTTCGGTCCCGAGATGACGAAGTCGCGAGTCCTCGAGCTGAACGCTTCCGACGAGCGCGGCATCTCAATCGTCCGCGAAAAAGTCAAAAATTTTGCGCGTATGCAATTGACCAATCCGGCCCCTGGTTATAGCAAAAAATATCCCTGCCCTCCCTTCAAAATCATCATCCTCGACGAAGCCGATTCCATGACACAAGATGCTCAGAGCGCCCTGCGGCGAACCATGGAGACCTACAGCAAGATTACTCGCTTCTGCTTAATCTGCAACTACGTCACCCGAATCATCGACCCGCTGGCCAGCCGTTGCAGCAAGTTTCGCTTCAAGAGTCTCGACCAGAGCAATGCCAGGAAGAGGTTGGAGGCGATTGCGTCCGCTGAGGGCGTGACATTGGAGGACGGCGCCATTGAAGCCCTAATTCGCTGCAGCGAGGGCGATCTGCGCAAGGCCATCACTTTTCTGCAGAGTGCGGCGAGATTAGTTGGTGCGGGTGCTCCGGACAAGGACGACGGCCATGGCGCTGAACAAATGGACGTGGACAGTAAGCCCGTAACAGTCAAGATTGTGGAGGACATTGCTGGTGTCATTCCGGGACAAGTGATTGATGCGCTAGTTGATGCCATGCGTCCGCGTGGCGCAGGCCAAGCGTACCGCTCTGTATCCAAGATTGTGGAAGACATGGTCGCGGATGGGTGGAGTGCGACCCAAGTAGTCTCGCAGGTACGTCTCCTTTTAGTGTCCACACCGGGCAATTTTCAAGAAAGCTAACGTGTCTTGTAGCTATATCAAGCTCTGACGACAGACGAGACAATAGCAGATGCCCACAAGAACAAGATCGTCCTGGTTTTTTCAGAGGTCGATAAGAGGCTTGTGGATGGAGCAGACGAGCATCTGTCAATTCTGGATCTTGCCATGAGGATATCGGCTATTTTAGCTGGAAAATAAACTTATACACAGTCCACAGCGGCTCGTGGACTTTTGAAATTTGAGTTTGTGTGCGGCGTTGAGGCTCAAGCCAGTCGCCGTGGCAGAACGTATAGAAGTTGCTTCTGACGAGCAGTTTCTTCATACGTTGTCATGGCCAATCAGACCAAGATTGCCGTTAATTTTTGCCCAAGGGTCGCCTTGATTCGGTGACAAGACCTTCTTCCTGAACTGCTTTTTCACAGATCCCTGCAACCACATGTCGTCCTCCGTATTATCCATCCCACCAGTTTCCTCCCCGTCATCGTCCAGTCCCAGCAACACGTCCATCTCGTGAATGGCCGCGATGGAATTCTCCAGCGCCACTTGTCCCACCTCCACCTTTTCTGCTACTGCCTCCAACGTGTTAATCTTGGCGGCGTCGCAGGCAAATATCCACGGTTTGACGCGGCTAGCCGTGTCAGGCCGCTCATTAGGCTTGGCCGATATGATCTCCGGGATGCCTGATCGTCTGCGTGTAGAGTCCTTCATTGGGTACGCTGAGAGCAATTGACTCTCTTCAGCTAGACGGCCGAGGAGCTGGCATGATTCCTTGTTTTTTCTGCCCAGCGACGCGGTGATGTGGGCTTTATGCGCAACGAGGGCTTTTTGTTGTTGGGCATGGGTGATGAGGCCTCGAATATACGGCATGAGAAGTAGGTCAGTGGATGGAAAACCTGGCTCGGCCGATCTTGACGATGATGTAGCGCTTGTTGTCTGTGGGGGGAGTATCGACGGCTGAGATGATTTCGACGTGAGCTTCAGCAGTTCCTTTCTTGCGGCGACGTATCCTTTGTATTTGTCTTGAATTATCTGCAGTTGCCTTGTGATGGTGGCTTGGTCGTCTGCTGTTTGTGCCTGTCTCTGTGGAACCGACGCTTTGTCGTCCTCCGTCGACGCCTTGCTTAGTTCCGCTTCAATCCAGCGGATTAGCTCATTTCGCGTGCTATCAAGAGCTTGTAGTTTTGCGCCGTTGCTGACGAGCTCTGGCTTCGTTTTGCATCTTTCTCTTGCCTCGTCCAGTAGCCGCTCCTCACGTTTCAAAATCAGCTTTGCCTGGAGGACGATTTTGTCCAGCAGTTTGACGCGGCTTTGGAGGTCGGGATGTCCTGCGCTCTGCTCGGCCGCGAAGCTGTTGAGCATCGGGCTAGGAACACTGGGGAGCGCCCTGCCCCCTTCGAGAACCTTCTCGATGCCTACCGTATTTTGCGCAGCTTCCGGAGCCTCGGATAGGCGGTGTAGGTAACTCTGGATTGTGACGAGACATTGGTGCTTTTGGCGGAGCTTCAAGAGGGCTAGGTGTTCTTCGAGAGAGGATGGCGAGTTGTCTGTGGCTCGCTTTGCAGGAGCGACGGGTTCTGTGGTGCTTTCGTTGACCATTTGCTGGAATTTTTGAGAAGCTATACTGTTTGCAATAAGAGCCTCGATGAACTGTTTGTGTAGGCCTTTGAGTTCTGCGCCGACATCTCTGACGATTGGTCCGACATTGAGTGATAAGGGGTGCTGTATTGGGCCATCGCCAGTGTAGGAACCTAGTTCAAGAGCCAGGATACGTCTGATGTAGTTGAATTGCTCACGGGGTTTTATATACGCATCAAGCGTTTCCTGGAAATTGGATATGGTCGTTTCCGGGTGATTCATTTTGACATGCCGTGATGCTGGCGTGCGTCGGATCAAAACGTGTGTTAGTTGAGGACGATGCGTACAGTGTGGATTATCTGGCCGCGACGCACCCCACATACTTATATCGCCTACTGCGATAGTAAACGCTTCCTCATCTAGACTTTAGTGTACAAAAGCACTTTGTTTCACAAGACCAGCCGAGTGTAGCCACTGTAAGCACGCAAGAATGCAAGTGCGGCATTTTATAGTGACGATTGCTCCGCTAGGAAAAAGTCCTGTCGAGGCAAATCGCTCGAAGCCGCGCATGTCATGTGTATGGAATGCGGCAGAACAAGCACAGGGTAATTGGGTATAGTATCAACTGTTCTTACTATTGACTACCTGTCAGGGGAGTGCATCATTGCAATTTAAGTCTCGGGCCTACGAAATTTCATCTTCTAGGCTTCATAAGTGTCTACTTTGAGTGAACTTGTCGAATCAAAAACCTCCAGTGGCGGAGAAAATTACGTCGTGCATCACGAATTATCCATTCATCGCTATTTGCGAGCAGCCCGCAAAGCATGAAATCGTGGCAATATAGTGTCTATGGATATTGAAATATAATGTTGAAATATAATGTAAACATATCAGTGACATAGTTGCAATATGCTGATTACGTGATACGTGAGTCCTTAAAGGGCGCTCGTGGTTGATGCCCCCACCAGCCCCAATGCGGACTAGTGCGGTTGCCTGATGCCTGGAAAGGATCAGAGATCGAAATTTATCAAACACCGGCATTCTGGATGTCGTAAACAGATCACGGTGGCGAGTTGAAGCCGACCCAATTCTCACCCTTAGCCACTTCACCTGGACATCCGGATACCATAATTATTCTGCCGGCAGACTTATGGTGAGATAAAGGCCAAGCGCCCCCGAGCCTTCGTCGAGCCCGTCGGCTCCTTTCCCTCACGAGACCTTGTACCAACAGCCAGCAGTAAAGATGTCAGACCCTCATCGCGATGTATCGCAATACAAGTACTCGGCCATGTCCAACCTGGTCCTCCAGGCGGACCGTCGGTTTGTCACACGACGAACTGACGAGGCTACGGGCGACCCTGAATCTCTTGCTGGACGATTGAGCATCAAGGACATGGGCGCCAGAGTTGCGCGGGATGAGGCACCAAAGCAGAAGAAGCAACCTGGAATGCCCGACATCGAAAGAGGTGCTCTAAAAGAGGGTGAAGATGTTCTACTTAGAGAACAGCGGAGACGGAAAGCGGAGGCACAACAGCGGAGAGGAACTGGTGTTCTCGGCGCAAACGATGCTTTGATTGAGGGCATTACATATCGGCCACGAACGCAAGCAACACGCGTCACTTTCGATTTAATACTGACTTTAGTTGCCAAAAACTTGGGCGACGTGCCTCAGGAGGTTGTCCGCAGCGCGGCCGATGCCGTGTTGGAGTATCTGAAAGATGATGACTTGAAGGATTTGGACAAGAAGCGGGAAATCGACGATATACTGGGATCAACTTTGAATCCTAAACAGTTCAACGAGCTCGTCAATCTGGGAAAGAAGATAACCGACCACGACGCGCAAGACGATGATGAAGATGTTAATATGGGCGATACTAATGGCGATGATGCTGAGATTGATGAGCGCCAAGGTGTTGCCGTAGCTTTTGACGAGGACGAGGACGAAGATAAAATTATTAACGAGGTCCGGGACGAATCCTCCGAGGACGAAGAGGGTGAAGACGAAGATGACGCAAATGGCGAGGCCTCTGGACCTAAACCAGTTGAGGACCTGGATGACGACGAAATGGTCCTGGACACAGGCCCAGGAGGTGCCAAAAGAAAAAGCGAAGAGAAGAGCTCGATATCTGCTCGAGATGTTGACGCGTTTTGGCTGCAGCGCCAGATCGGTACTCTGTATCCCGACGCTCATGAACAATCGAACAAGACCAAAGAAGCTCTTCGTATCCTTTCTGGTGAACCGGATGAGCCCGAAGGTGAAGAGAAATCTCTGCGGGAAATAGAAAACGACCTCATGGAATTGTTCGATTTTGAGCATCATGAGCTTGTGCAGAAACTTGTCGAAAACAGAGAAAAAGTCTTTTGGCTGACGAAGCTGGCACGTGCGGAGTCTGCTGAAGACCGTGAAAATGTCGAACGCGAGATAGTCTCTGAAGGCCTTCAGTGGATTTTGAACGAGTTACGAGGCAAAGCCAACGCCGGAGATGACAGGAAAGGAAGGGTAGACATCAAGATGGATATTGCAGTGCCCGCTTCGTTCAACGCTGAAGCGCCAAAGCAAGAACGATCAGAGGGACAATTGGTTGGAGGTCTACAACCCAAGAAAGTTGTCAATCTTGACAACCTGGTGTTTGATCAAGGTAATCATCTCATGACAAATGCCAAGGTCCGATTGCCAGAAGGCTCTACGAAGAGATCCTTCAAGGGCTACGAGGAGATTCATGTTCCACCACCCAAGAAGAGAAACGAGCCTGGAGATGTCCTGATTCCCATTACCGATATGCCCGAGTGGTCGCGTCTTCCATTCAGCACTGCCAAGTCTCTGAACAAAATTCAGTCGAAATGCTACCCTTCGGCTTTCCAGGACGACGGCAACATGCTTGTGTGTGCCCCCACTGGTAGTGGTAAGACAAACGTTGCGATGTTGACCATTCTGCGAGAGATTGGCAAGAACAGAAACCCAGAGACCGGTGACATTGAACTGGATGCTTTCAAAATTGTGTACATTGCTCCCTTGAAGGCTCTGGTCCAGGAACAAGTTGGCAACTTCGGGAAGAGACTTGAGCCCTATGGTGTTCGTGTTTCCGAGTTGACCGGCGATCGACAGCTCACCAAGCAGCAAATTGCCGAGACTCAGATCATTGTCACTACACCTGAGAAGTGGGATGTCATCACCAGAAAGTCCAATGACCTCACGTACACAAACCTCGTTCGACTCGTGATTATCGATGAAATTCACTTGCTACACGACGACCGTGGTCCTGTTCTGGAGAGTATCGTCGCCCGAACCATCAGGAAGACGGAACAAACCGGCGAGCCTGTTCGGATTGTCGGATTATCTGCTACCTTGCCTAACTACAAGGACGTGGCGAGCTTTTTGCGTTGTGATATCAAAAAGGATCTCTTCCACTTTGACAGTACTTTTAGACCTTGCCCGCTACGCCAGGAGTTCATTGGCGTCACGGACCGCAAGGCTATCAAACAGTTGAAGACCATGAATGACGTCACTTACAACAAGGTCATGGAGCATGTTGGTTCAAACAGGAACCAAATGATCATATTTGTTCATTCAAGGAAAGAGACTGCAAAGACTGCCAAGTACATCCGAGATAAAGCCCTTGAGTTGGACACCATTAATCAAATCCTTCGACATGACGCGGGAAGTCGAGAGGTTCTCAACGAAGCCGCCAGCCAGGCAAACGATGCAGATCTCAAAGATATATTGCCGTATGGGTTCGGTATCCATCACGCCGGTATGAACAGAGTCGACAGAGCTGATGTGGAAGATCTCTTTGCGAGTGGTGCCATTCAAGTTTTGGTGTCAACGGCCACCCTCGCTTGGGGTGTCAATTTGCCTGCCCATACAGTTGTTATCAAGGGTACCCAGGTCTACTCGCCAGAAAAGGGTAGCTGGGTCGAGTTAAGCCCTCAAGACGTCCTCCAGATGCTTGGTCGTGCAGGTCGGCCGCAGTTTGACACCTATGGTGAAGGTATTATCATCACAACCCAGACCGAAATTCAATACTACCTCTCGCTGCTCAACCAGCAGCTGCCTATTGAAAGTCAGTTTGTCAGCAAATTAGTGGACAACCTAAACGCCGAAATTGTGCTAGGAAATGTCAGGACCCGCGATGAAGGTGTTGAGTGGCTAGGATATACCTATCTCTTTGTTCGGATGCTTCGATCCCCAGGACTCTATCAAGTTGGAGCTGAGTACGAAGATGACGATGCTCTGGAGCAGAAACGGGTCGACCTTATCCATTCCGCTGCGTTGATGCTGCGCAAGTCGAATCTTATCAAATATGACGAAAAGTCGGGCAAGCTGCAATCTACCGAATTGGGTCGAATCGCCTCACATTACTACATCACTTCTACATCCATGGATACCTATAACAACCTTATTCAGCCCTCTATTACCACAATCGAGCTTTTCCGTGTCTTTGCTCTGAGCGCTGAGTTCAAATACATTCCCGTGCGGCAGGATGAGAAGCTTGAGTTGGCAAAGCTCATGGGCAGGGTACCTGTCCCCGTTAAGGAGAGCATAGAAGAGCCGCATGCAAAGATCAACGTTCTCCTGCAAGCATACATCTCTCGACTCAAACTTGAGGGACTTGCTCTTATGGCGGATATGGTATACGTCACTCAGAGTGCCGGACGTATCTTGCGTGCTGTCTTTGAAATTGCTCTTAGGAAAGGCTGGGCTTCTGTTGCGAAGACTGCGCTGGATCTGTGTAAGATGGCTGAGAAACGCATGTGGCCAACTATGTCACCTTTGCGCCAGTTCCCTACTTGCTCTAAAGATATAATTCAGAAGGCAGAGCGGATCGACGTTCCGTGGAGCAGCTACTTTGACCTCGACCCTCCTCGCATGGGCGAGTTACTCGGCATGCCCAAGGCTGGGAGAGCCGTTTGTGGCTTTGTCGCCAAGTTCCCGAGAGTCGATGTTCAAGCTCAAGTCCAGCCAATGACACGGTCAATGCTTAGAGTAGAACTCAGCATCACTCCTAATTTCGAGTGGGATGACAGTCTGCACGGCGCTGCTGAGAGTTTCTGGGTAATCGTTGAAGACTGTGACGGCGAGGACATTTTGTTCCAGGATACGTTCCTTTTGCGCAAGTACTATGCCGAGTCCGAGTCGAATGAGCACGTTGTTGACTTCACCGTCCCCATCACCGACCCAATGCCTCCCAACTACTTTGTGTCTGTAATTTCAGACAGATGGATGCACTCGGAGACAAGACTAGCCGTCCCATTCCACAAGCTCATTCTGCCGAATAAATTCCCGCCTCACACCGAACTCTTGGAATTGCAGCCTCTCCCTGTTTCTGCCCTGAAGGTCTCTAATTATGTTGAATTGTACCCTCATTGGACCCAATTCAACCGGATTCAGACCCAAACCTTCAACTCCTTGTACAAGACTGATCAGAATGTCTTTATTGGCGCCCCGACCGGCAGTGGCAAAACGGTGTGTGCCGAGTTTGCCATTCTTCGCCACTGGACGCAGGGTGGTGATGGTCGAACGGTCTACATTGCCCCCTTCCAGGAGGTTGTTGACGCCAGGCTACAAGACTGGCAGAAGAGACTGGCACATCTGAACGGCGGAAAGGAGATTGTCAAGCTGACTGGAGAGACCGCTACCGACTTGAAGCTTTTGGAGAAGGGTGACCTTATCTTGGCGACACCAACGCAGTGGGATGTGCTGTCCAGGCAGTGGAAGAGACGCAAGAATGTCCAAACTATTCAGCTGTTCATTGCCGACGACATCCATATGCTTGGAGGTTATATGGGCTATGTCTACGAGATCATTGTCTCGCGCATGCACTACATTCGGACGCAGACAGAATTGCCGATGCGCATCATTGCATTGAGTGTCTCCTTGGCAAATGCGCGAGACGTAGGTGAGTGGATTGACGCAAAGAAACATGACATTTACAACTTCAGTCCGCATGTTAGACCTGTGCCACTGGAGCTGCACGTTCAGTCTTACTCGAACTCTCATTTCCCGTCCCTCATGCTGGCTATGGCGAAGCCTGCCTACCTCGCCATCAGTCAGATGTCTCCGGACCAGCCAGCCATGATTTTCGTATCTAGCCGCAAGCAAGCAAGACAAACGGCAAGAGATTTGCTTGCCGCTTGCGTTGCGGATGATGATGAGGACCGCTTCCTGCACGCCGAGGTAGAGCAGATGCGACCACTTCTGGACCGTGTCCATGAGGAAGCTTTGGCCGAGGCGCTCTCACATGGTATTGGATACTACCACGAGGCCCTGAGCCAGAATGACAAGCGCATTGTCAAGCATTTATACGATAATGGAGCTATTCAGGTACTCGTTGCCTCACGGGACACATGCTGGGAGCTGACCAGCACAGCGCACCTTGTCATTGTCATGGGCACTCAGTACTTTGAGGGAAGGGAACATCGATATGTGGACTACCCACTCAGTGAAGTATTGCAAATGTTTGGCAAGTCCTTGAAGCCGTCCAAGGATGGAAGAGGACGCGGCGTTCTGATGGTTCCCTTGGTAAAGCGTGAGTATTACAAGAAGTTCTTGAACGAAGCTCTGCCTGTCGAGTCACACCTCCACAACTACCTTCATGATGCTTTTGTGACGGAAATCAGCACAAAGATGATCGAATCCGGTGATGATGCCATCAACTGGACCACGTTCACCTACTTTTATCGCCGACTGCTTGCCAACCCTAGCTACTACAGCTTGACCAGCACCACCCACGACGGCCTCAGCAATTACATGTCTGACCTCGTGGAGACAACATTGCGAGAGCTGAGCGAGTCCAAGATCATTGACTTTGACGAAGAGGACGGGAGTGTCTCGCCTCAAAACGCGGCCATGATTGGCGCGTACTACAACATCTCTTACGTTACAATGCAGACTTTCCTACTGTCGTTGAGCGGACGAACCAAGTTGAAGGGAATTCTTGAGATTGTCGCCTCCGCCACTGAGTTTGAATCGATTCAAGTGCGACGCCATGAAGAGAGTCTGCTTCGCCGCATTTACGACAGAGTCCCCGTCAAGATGTCGCAACCTGTGTATGACTCGCCTCATTTCAAGGCCTTTGTCCTTCTTCAAGCACACTTCTCCAGGATGCAGCTTCCTATTGATCTGGCGACGGACCAGGAAACGCTGCTGTCAAGAGTACTCAGCCTCCTAAGTGCCATGGTTGATGTTCTGTCGTCCGATGGCCACCTCAATGCCATGAACGCCATGGAGATGTCTCAAATGGTCGTGCAAGCTATGTGGGATCGAGATAGCCCACTGAAGCAGATTCCTCACTTTACGCAAGAGGTGGTCAAGGTTGCGAATGACTTTGGGTAAGTTGTTGAATGCGTTCAAAGTGAAGTTTTTTTAGAAAATTCATTGTAGGAGTTGGTGTGCTAACGCGGCCCACAGTATCAAAGATATCTTTGACTTCATGGAAGCCATGAACCCCGACGAAAACGCCGAATACAATAACCTGGTTAAAAGTCTTGGCCTGTCACAGAAACAGCTTGCAGAGGCAGCGGGCTTTACAAACGATAAATATCCAGACCTTGAGTTCGAGCATGAAGTCCTTGACGGAGATGAAATCCAGGCAGGTGAGCCATCGTATCTCAGCATCAAGATAACACGCAATGTGGAAGAGGACGATGAGCTCGACTCCACTGTGCACGCACCATTCTACCCGACGAAGAAGACGGAGAACTGGTGGCTGGTGGTTGGCGATGACAAGACTCGCAATCTCTTGGCTATCAAGCGAGTGACAATTGGTCGTGAACTCAATGTTAAACTTGAGTACACTGTACCAGCAGCAGGCGAGCATAACCTGAAGCTCTTCTTGATGAGCGACAGTTATGTGGGAGTGGACCAGGAGCGCGAGTTTACAGTCACAGCGGCTGAGGGAATGGACGTGGATGATGAAGACGATGAAAATGAGGAGGAATAGACGTGCCGGGGGGGAGAAACTTGATGGCTGTGCCGTGAGTACGAATATGTACAATACCTGACACTACGGGATGAGATTTACAAATGTCAAATACATGAATGGTCATCTTTCCCCCTCCCTCTGACTTGGCTCATTCAATTTCCTACCGATGATCGACTCCAATTGTGACGGGTTTCATGCACCGCCACGGTCGAGGAGCTGAGAGGTCGGGCGCGGTCCTCAGCGCGTGAGGGCTTCAATCCAATTCCGGACGAGACACACACCACTGACAACGGCGAGAAGTGGCGTCAGAAACATAATGGCAGTGAGTAGGCAGTGATTGAGCGATGGTGGCTGCGTTTGGGGCTTTCAAATGTTGTGAGCGGGCGAGGCGGTTGAGCACAAGCGGCAGCTGGCCGGATCACTGGCTTTGCTTCTCCGTGGCGCCAGGCGTGAATTACGAGACTGGAGTCGCGCAGATTCCATGGGCTGGCCTGTGAGGTCTGCCAGGGCTGCCGCCTACTGCTTCGATGCCTCGATGCCCCGACCCTCTGAGAGAGAGAGGGAGAGAGAGCATCAGCCGGGATCATCTCGATGAGCGACTCGGCGGTCACGTGACAGCTCTTCTTACTGGTGACGTTTGAGGTGCTTCCTTGGCTGCTCTGCCCAGCCGACACCAATTTCCCTTCATCAACCCCCATCCAAGGCAGAACGCGGGAGTGGCTGGGATTCTTGGCAATTGCGCAATCCATTCCTACAATCTTGGCCGTTTTTGCGCCAGCACGCTTTTGCGACTTCACCTCGTCACGATTTACGCCCTACGCGACCCGAAACGCGTTCAGCCACCTGACTGAGCTCTCCCCTTCGTGTAGCTACACAACGTTGCACCTCAACCACGAAGCCAATTCTTCCACTCCCACCGAACAATCGCGCGTCGTCGCCATCTCAACTCTTGCGCCGCAATGGCCGAAAAGGCATCCGAGAACGCTGACATCACGGCGCCAGTTGCTGATACTGGTGTTGGTGCTGGCGCTGGCGCTGGTGATGGTGCTGGTGCTGGTGCGGACGCTGATGCCGATGCTCCTCCTCCTCCTCCTCCCGCTGCTGCTGCTGCTGCTGCTGTTCCCGAGACTAAGGCTGATGAGGCCAAGCCAGAGGGCGGAGCTGTCGAGGATGGCGCCGAGGGCTCAGACGGTGAGTTTTTGCACGCAACAAGAAGCGGAGCAGTCGCGTGCGACCAAGAGACATGGTCAAAGATCGGGCGAAAATTTCTCTTCAGTCGCGTCGCAGCCCAAGGTGGCTTTGCTTTACCTGGCGGACCTTGCTGACAAGATGATGCGACACTAGAGCCCAAGCCTGCCGAAGCTACTGACAAGACGACCGAGAAGGCCGAACCCGACAAGGACACCACCGCCGGCGATGCCCACGTCGAAACGGAGGACGCGCCGGACACCACAGCGGTCGAGGGAGACACTACCATAGTTTCCATCGCAGAGACCCCGACAGCGAAAGCCAAGGGGGGCCGCCGCAAGTCTACTGGAGGCGGTCTAAGTAGAAAGGGATCAAAGGCCCGCCTGACTCACACTGATGCCAAACCTGGTGATCATTTCTTGGTGAAACTCAAGGGTTTCCCCGCATGGCCCGCCATTATTTGCGACGAGGACATGCTGCCTCACGCCCTCGTCACTAGCCGGCCCGTCTCTGCGGCCAGACCAGATGGTACATATGCTGAAGCTTTTGCCGATGGCGGCAAGCGTATCAAGGACCGAACCTTTCCCGTCATGTATCTGCACACTAACGAGTTGTGAGTTTGCCCTGCTCATGCACCACATGTTTGGAACCGTCTTGTATTTGCTGACTTGCACGCACAGTGGATGGGAGAAGAACACCAACCTTTCGGAGCTTAGTGCCGACAAGGCCAAGGAGACCATCAACGATAAAATGCGCAAAGACTTGAAGGCCGCGTTTGAACTGGCCATCGAGCACCACCCCGTCGAGTACTACAAGGACATCCTCAAGAGCTTCCAGGAAGAACTGATTGCTCAGGAAGAGGCGCGGAAAGAAGCCGCTGCCACCCCCAAGAAAGGAAAGAAGGGAAAAAGCAAGGCTACTGATGAAGAAGAAGACGCCGAGATGGCTGAGCCGGATGCTTCTGCCAAAAAGTCCAGGAAGAGAAAGGCAGAGGACGAGGCTGCTGTAAGTGACAACAACAAACACCGTGTGCATGACGAATCCCAAGCGCGCCTGTGGACTAATGTTTCACGTCACAAAGACCCCCCAACGCGCCGACTCTGTCAAGAAACCCAAGATTAAACTAAACACGTCATCTACGCCAAAGACAGCAAACGGAGCCGGTACGCCAAAGTCTACTGCTGGGTCCGCTGCCAAAATTACCAAGGTCAAGGCCAAGAAACCAAAGGAGGCCAAGGAGGCGGGCGAGAAGAAGGCTGAGAGCTCCAAGGAGAGCAAGATTGACCCTGAGGAGCGCCACAAGCGCAAGGTGGTAAGTCTTCGACATGTGTGTGTTGTAGCGTGCCTCGACAAGCTGTGTTGCTGACTGAGACGACAGAAGGAAGTGTTGTTCCTCCGTCACAAGCTTCAAAAGGGTCTCTTGACAAGAGAGCAGCAACCCAAGGAGGAGGAGATGCAGGGCATGTCAGACTTCATCACTCTGCTCGAGAAGTTTGGAGACCTCGAAGTATCCATCATCCGGGCTACCAAGATCAACAAGGTGCTGAAGGCCATCCTCAAGCTTGATGCCATCCCTCGCGAAGAGGAATTCCAGTTCAAGAAGCGATCACAGTCTCTTCTTGATAAGTGGAACAAGTTGCTGGCCAGTGACACTTCGGCAAACGGAGTGAATGGCGCGCAAGAGTCACATGTTGAAGCCAAAAAATCCGACGCCAACGGCGTCAAAGTAGACGGCGAGCCCAAATCTGAGGCTGCTGCGGAGCCAAAAGCCGACAAGGCTGATGCTGGCGAGCCAACCAGTGTCAAGGCCGCTGATGAGGTTAGTTGACGGGATACGTCGGTCGTTGATGGACGAGCTCTAATGTTTTGTCGTAGTAAACCACGACTGGCGGCACCCGCTTCCTCAGCTGTCCTTGGTGCGCGAGTAAAAGCCGCCACTGGGCTTCAGGGGCGCAGCTGCTAATCTAGCAAATTACTTGTTTTCTACCATGTTTATGTCTACAGAACCAATCGAGGAGTTATATCATTTTCTTGTTTCGAGTCTTGTCTGACGTGTGCTGGTTCTTTTCGAGGCGCAGGGGCGAGAGATATTGCCGTATGTTTTACATCAGACAGCTCTGGTCGGGCTGGGACGGGGTGGTTGGTGTATGAGTATTTCCTTGCCTTGAAGAATCGTCAAAACACCGACGACAGTTGCTCCAACGGCGTCTTTGAGACCGAGTTTCACCCCGCATCGCTGCCATGTACACGAGCATTTCGTGGCTACGGCTCCTCAAGCCCATGCATGGGTGCGACGAATACACAAAGGGGTCGGCGAGAGACACCCACTGACGAGGCTACAACGGGCACACAGAAGCAAAGAACAAAAAAAAATTCACAAGAGGTGTGGCGTGGCTGGGATGATGGGACGCAGGCCGAGCCAGGCCAGGACAGGACAGACGCGAGGTCAGTTTTGCGGGAGGAATGGGAGCGGCGAACATATTCGTGGTCACTAGTCGGATGAGCCAGAGAACTGCGGTGTGTCTATCGGCACGGCTAAACGTTCCAAGTATCTATTTAGCTTTATGAATTTCACGATGGGATATTTTCGAGACAAGTCAGCACAGCTCATGACACACGGCGCGAGTGTTGTCAGGCGAGGAGGTCACGCTGAGTCTCGACGAGATGCATCTTTCAAGGTGAAAACGAGGAGGTTGAAGAAGGGGTGTGGCGAGTGCGCTGACTGGGTCGTGTAAATTAGCCCACGACGGCCTCAAAGAGTCAAAGAGGACAGAATCAATTCCGAGCCGGATGAATCCCACGATGAACACTTGGAGACGCCTATTTTGCACGCCGTCGCCGTCTTCCCGTCGTTGCCGTCTGCCGCTGCGAGCTGCCAGGCAGGCTGTACAGTGTCGCTTACAGTGCGAATTGTCTTGCGAAACCGTGACGGGAACGTGGAATCGGGCGCGTCTCCTGCCTGGCCATCTTCAATCTTCAATTGAAGAAAACCCCCCCAAAAATCAGTGCTTCAGACTTCTCTCAGGAGCGAAGCGGCGTCGCAGGCAAATCTCCGGGGCTCCCAGGATGGACCAAGAAGTCGAGGTCCGGGATACATTTGCCCAACAAGACCACCAGGTACGGTCATTTCTCCGTTCACAGTCACTTCAGGCGTTATTAACCGGGGCCGTCGCGGCATGTAGGTTGCTTACATCTTCGACCCTGACCATGGCGACGATTCTCCCCGGGACCAGAGGGCGCCGAAAAGACGGCGACTTTCCAAGGGTGCAAGCAAGAAGAGCGTCGGGAGTGGCGAGGCGCCGCTCTTCGTGCCGTTGCTCAATGGCGCCGAGCAGGAGGCATTTGTGAGACTGAGGCAGAAGAGGTTTGAGGAGGCGTGGGGGATGATTGATCTCAGGATCCAGGCAAGCATTCTTCACTCCGGGACGAATTGTTTCCTTTATCGATTTGGCTGTCACTGACGCGGCGTAGGCGATTTTGCGAGAGTCCAACTCGGCGACGCTGGATCAAGTCTCGGCATTTGTGAACGATGCTGCGGCCGTGGGGTATTGCATGCGCCCATCCACGTAAAAGACTTGTTTTCATGGGGACCCAGCAGCTGATTGATTCTTGGACAAGCACCGACCAAATACCCTCTGCGTTTCTCGTGACGGGGCCAAATATCGCTTCGCAAGGCTTGTTGTTCGAACAGCTCGCAGAGACGTTGGGCCAGCAGCCCGCCAGCCGGTTTGTGCGGCTGAAGTCCTCGGAGACGGCGACCCTCAAGGCTGCGTTGAAGAAGGCGATTAGAGATGCCATGGCGACGGCGGGAGACGAGGGTGAGGGCCTGCAGATTGATGATGCGCAGAATGTATGACCCCCCCTGCGGTTGCTGAATTGGGGAAAATCAAGGGTCGACGATACCTAGAGTACGATCTGGAGGCGTTGGAGGCTTTCATCAAGCCGCTTCGGTGTGAGCACGTCTTCGTGGCGTTTCAGGACAGCGAGGGCTTCGACAGCGGCTTGCTGTCCGACCTGATTGCTCTTTTCCAGTAGGTACCGCGCTTCTTTTTTCAGACGACTTTTGCGCTCATTACCGTTGCTAGCTCTTGGCGTCCCCGGATTCCGTTCACGTTGCTGTTTGGCGTCGCCACGTCGGTGGAGTTACTGCAGGCACGCCTGCTCAAGTCTGCGTGCCGGCTGGTGTACGGCGCGCAATTTGATGCCGCCCAGGCGGGCAACATTGTCGAAACAGTCTTCAAAGGAGCCATTGCCGCTGCTGATGTTCCCCTGATAGTGGGTGCGCCTCTCCTTCAGAGCATGCTGGATCGTCAGCATGAACAGGTAGCTGGCATTCAATCATTTATCAGCTCCCTCAAGGTATTTCGCGGCCTGATGTTCTCGTCTTCTACTGTGATGGAAATGTCTGACCTGGAAAAGTACGCATACATGTGTCACTTCTACGCAAATCCACTCAGCATCCTTTGTTCCCCCGATGGTGACGACCTTCTCCAGGTAGAGCACCTCGAAGCCGCCCGCAATTTGCCTTCGTTTCGGCACACTGTCGAGCGGGAAGTAGAGAAAAACACGCGAGAATCGCTCCAGCACGCCAAGTCTTTACTTGACAACAACGACTACCTTCTCGGCCAAATCAGACGCGGGAAAACTACCAAGCAGACCTGCGCAGAAAGACACCTCCGCTCTCTACTGATTTCGCAAGCTGCGGGTGCGCAACGAGGCTCTTTTTCAAGGGTATATGCTGACAGTATGGGGGGTGGCGCTTCGATGCCACCTGGACAGTCCACCGCACTGGTAGCGGCTATCCGCAGGATGAATCCAGATGAGTTATCCGTGGCGCTCGGTGGCATTATTGGCATTTTCAAAGAGGGGGATGCAATGCTCCGTCTGGGACCATCTGACAACGAGCAGGATCAACAAGCGCGAAGTACACTGGAGACCAAACTCGAGGACCTGAAGCGGCTCAAGGCCAACGCAGACGAGCAAGGAATGTCACTACGAAGCAAATACAGTGGACAAAGCAAAATCATGCGCACCACCGTCATTGCGCAGAAGGTCCAGCTGAGCCAGGACTCTGCGGCCCTCCGCGACGAGGACAAGAGATTCACCGAGATTGTCGACCATGTAACGGATGCACTGGCTGCTTATTCCCCTAGCACGAACCCCAGCGACGTCTTGTTTGCTGAGTGCTGGCTCTACGACTCCAAGTCCCCCTCGCGACAAGTGTTCGTCCCTCGACCACGGGCGGTGTTTGAGCGTAGCCTCGGCCGTCCGCACGATTATCTCGGATGCTCATGCTGCAAGGCCGGTGGCGAGGGCCTTCAGGCAACGCTCCCTGCCACATCTATTCTGTACCAGTTGTACCTCGAGACAGGGAGCTTGATCAACGTTGCAGATTTGTGGTCAGCCTTTCATGCACTGGTAAGTGAAAAGGAAGACGATGATCGGAAAACGCTGGTAATGTTTTATCGGGGTCTTGCGGAACTGCGGGCTCTAGGATTTGTCAAAAATAGTAAGAAAAAGGTAGATCATATCGCCAAGGTAAAGTGGCTCTAGCAGAAGCAGTCAGCTTGGAGCGCCTGGAATCATGCTCATGCAGAAATGAGCCTTCTAAAAATAATGACATAATGAAACACTGGAAAATGATGGCCCAGAAAGGCCTGCGACTGAAGGAGGCACAAGGCGAGCCCAGACAGTGACACGGCCAACGTAAATGTGTCAGGTCTCTGGCCCAATGATGGCAAAGACAAGAGAGTGTTTTCAATGAGACGAGACTCTGTCCACCGAGAATCAAATTCGACGCCCCGTGTAATTTAAACGTCTTTTTATTTCCAAGACACGTGGCACATTTGGTTAGCTATCAACCAACATTTCTGTAGCGCCCGGAACACCAACGACGAGAATCAACAAAGAGAGGGTCTCACAGGAACAAGCACAGGCCTCTCTGCTCAAGGTCAGGCTGGCCGATAACCAAGGCAAAGCGGCTAGCCTATACGCGACCAACGGTGAAGTGATGGAATCGATGCGCAGTACGGCGCGAAGAGACCTGATGGCGCCGGGAGCGAAATTACATATATACATAAATAGAAAAGGCGGCGTTATATTTGTACTGGGGACCCTTCACAGGTCAAATAGTACATTGCCACGCAGAAAAGAAGCATAAGTTGAGCGGCGAACGAGTGTGACGCCGGGGAGTAATTGAGACATCTGGCGGAGTAGTACTGAAATTGAGGGGTACTAAAAAAAGAAGCCAGAGTTGTTGTTTGTTCGCAAGGCTGATGAGATTGGTGTGAGAGAGCGAGACATTTTGACCCGCTTTGGGCACTGGGCTTTTAGCTAGGGGATGAGCGAAACTTTTGATTTTTGAGTCAGCAGAGACAAGACAAGCATGTTGATGACTCTTGTGCGTCTAGTGGATCGTTTGTCTGTCTGCTCCGTAGTTACGCGGAGACACACAGTCATCAGAGTGAGATTTGTGCGAGTCGTGCGTGGTGGTGGAACTTGGTGCGGGCGACGACGCTTGATTCCTTGAGCTGGTCGAATGTCTCGGACAAGAGGCGTTGGCCTATTGGCGGCGTGCTCACGGGTTGGGTCAGTGAGCAACCCATCTGGCAGTGTTTTGCGTTTTCGTAAGGGCCACGACCATGTGGACGAGCGGCGACAGGGTAGAGCGGGACAAAGGACCAATTTCGACGTGTTTACCTGACGCTCGTTATGTTGAAGTCTTGATAGTGCCCTTTGTGGGTCATGGAACCGGCAGATCGGATGCTCTCGGGTCCTCCTGCTAAGTAAACAAGGCACGCACCGCCGAATGCAATCATCCGTACTCCGTATCCGGCACTCAATAGTCAGGTAGGTAGTACTAGTATGCGCATATGAGCGGATGCAAGTATGGCGTCTTCCATGTGCCACTGCAACAGTAGTCCAGAATAGTCAACGGAATCAGCATATCGAAGGGTGTATGGGCTTGGCCTCCTTCGCTGTGCCGCTGGGGCTGGGTTAGGTGTCACGGAGCAATATCCCATTTCGTTTGGCGATAAGTCGGGTGATATATATTGGATTCACGGACCCACGCCTTGCACATGCAACCAAATAGACGTGCAACCAACTTGACGGAAGGATCCCCGTTGGAAGCCCCAAGTCTTATTTAGCCATGGGCAAGTAAGAGGGATCTGGGGAACGAGACGCCTCGTACAGGCTGATTCGTTTATCTGCATCGGATATCTAGATGGGCCATGATGGTCAGATGGCAATGGCTGCTGTTGGTGGAAGCAAATTGGATGTGAGAAGTACCTCTTTCTTTGCTGTCGATGGGCTTTCCCCGTTTTGCTTGCTTCTTGGCCTCGCCTCGTCTTGTCTCGTTTTGCCCCATCTCTCGTCATCTTGCTTAGTTGGATTTGCCAGTCACATTCCAGACATTGACAAACTGAGGCAAACACCTGGGCCTGTTAGCTTGGGCACTTGAGCAGCCTTGGCTTTGGCGGTGTCTCTGATTACGGACCAGTCGCACTTGGCGATTTGTGTGGTTCGGACGTCCAACCTGTTCCATACTTATGTATGTGAGTTTCGAGAGTCTGTCCCCAGGTTGCCCATGTTGGCTCGCCTGGGCCCGGTTTTGCACTGGAGAGCTCGGGCCCCACCCCCTCTACTTTCCGGGAGAGAAGGAGCTCTCGAGGCAATTCGCGGAGCAAGATGATTCGCTTCCACTCTGGGAAGGAGAGCTCCCCTCGAGTGCTGCCCGTAATGCTCCGTCCTCGCGGCGAAGTGATAAGTTAAGTACATAGTAAGTACGTACTGAGCCAGTTGCCGTTGCTAGCCCGACCAGCCGCCGTCCATCCGCGCCTGCCCCCTGCGCCTTGCCCCATGTGCCCCATGTTTTCTACCGTTGTTCGCAAGGTGCAAGGTGCTGCCCAGCTCCATCTAACATCTCGACCCTTCAGCCCAGCCTCAATATTGTTGCTACTGCTCCGTACGGACGACGACGCCAAGCCCAACCACTGACTTGCATGTGCGATTGGCGACGAACAAGGCGTGCCTTACCTGGGAAGGCGGGCAGGCTGACAGGCACAGCCTGCTAATCGTCCCTCACTCTATGATAGCCGTATCATGTACTCCATACTCCCTCTTTATCTACCCAGGTGTACGTCCTTATTGCCCGTCTCCTCTTTGACATTGGAAACTGGCCGTGGTCGATCGCATACGACCCGGCGTGGACCTCGTCTCCAATCCTCCAGTGACCACACACTACCACTGCCCGACCCATGCCCGGCTTATGTCTCACTCCTAGACTGCGTCCGTCGCATAAACCACGAGACGGCTGATTTTCCTCTCCTCTTTAGTATTCTGCTTGCTCGACAGGACAGGTTGCCGTCCACTTCCTCCGTGTTTTACCATATATCAGCACATACGTCTGGCTACAAAATAGACAAGGCTGGGGACACGCCGACGGGCATCGCAACTATGCGACTATTCTGTAACGGAAGAGAGGGCCAAGACCGGCCACGCGTGGCTCTTGCTGCCACTAATGCATCGGGGAACCATGACGATGATGATGGCCATCCAGGGTTGGGGGTCGACGTTGGTGGATGCACGAAGATACCAGCATGAGTCTCCACCAACACACGATCCTCTGCTCCGAATGCTGCACCCGCCACCCTGGCAAGCGAGACAAAGGTTCACGCTTTGCCTATACCAGCAGTTCTCTCCTCGCCTTGCTTCATTGTTCCTCCCCTCCAGCTAGGGGCCAGCGAGGTAACCGCTACAGCTCCTGCGCCCCCATTTCATGTCTGGGTCATGCCCAGCGCTGACAGGCCCTGACGCAGGTCTACTTCGTACGGAAGAACCAGTTAATTAATGCGTTGGCCGCTTGCGCCGCATCCACTGGCTAGAATCTGTGCCCTGTCCGCCGCCTCCATTTCGCTCCAGTGCCTCTAACCAGCAAGCAGTCAGCCATTCCCTGATAATCTTTTTGGCTGGGACCACGCAACACCATTGCCATGGCCCCGTGGGCTAGCTAACAGCTCGTTAGACCCGGCACCAGCGACACCATGATGGACTGTTGGAGCATGTGGAGTACGAGGCACCCCCCCCAGGGGCGTCCCATCCCACGACTTTCCCCCATGGGGGGTTCATGGTTCATAAGATGGAGAACAGCTGAAATCAGTGCAGGTGTTTCGAGTGTCTTTCTGCTTCATTGGCGCCGCCGGGTGCGGCCTGAAGAGACCATATGACGATTTTACTGGGCCGGTGTGAAGAGGGCTGGGATACCTCTACACTGCACGTAACAATAAAGACCCAGGAAGCCAAACTCATCTCGCTTTACTTATAACTGGCCGGCCCCTCCTCGTTACCTGACTCCTTGTCACTCTGCTTTGATTTCATCTGCTTCCGCCTATTCCTCTTGCTGTCCTGTACGTGTGCCCGTTATTGCGCATTGGTCCGAACCAAAGTCAAGAAATTTAAGTTTTGTGCTATCCTCTGTCTGCTGAAGGAAGTGCTTTGCGGCGGCCAGAGCCCATTGAGATTTGGTGGACGAGCGAAAGCAGATAGACAACCGAGGTGCCGCATACCAACCGATGCACGGATCCGGCCAACCGCTTCACATTCCACATCAGCCCGTCACTGCTCAAAGCATCATAGGACACTTCATTTGATCATTAATATCGCCGTCTTCGACAAAGTCAGACTTGAATCTTGTCCTGTCTTCCATCAGTGCTTGGCTGCAGCTTGGTGTCGACGTACCAGTCCCCATCATAGGGCAAAAGCGGAACAAAACTACATATACTTGATTCCAGCCGCTTCTGTGCAGCATACCAATTGTGCAGCTTGCCGGACGCCAGAAGCAAAAGGTGCTTTTCTGTGCTTTAGAAGCATCATTGCCTTGGGGATTTAATCCCGGCAATATACCCACGAGTCGTCAAAATGATGCATCGAGAGATGATGCCTTCACCACAGCCGCACTGCGAAACCTTTATTCAACGTCGCCTAGCACGCAACCCAGACCTAGCTTACAAGTTGCACCAGATGGCGCTTCCATTATCTCCTCTTGTCCAACTCACCACCGGTGCTATCCACCCCGATTTCCCTCAAACGGTCCTTCAATTTTGGCTCTTAACGGACGCGCAATTGGAAAGTCTAGCTCATTTCTACCACCAGAAATCGCCCTCGCTCTGGACCTCTCAGTATCCTTGTCCCGTTGTCTGGCTCTCCGACGTATCTCTGGAGGAGAAGCGCCGTAGGATGGGCAAGTTCATCGGCCTTAGAGGCTGCGATTCACCATCGTGGCTCAAGTCAGAGGACGAGATTGCTGCCGAGGCACGATTAGCCAGTATAGTTGCCCAACAAGAAGAGACTTGGAGAAAAAAGGTTCATCCTTGGTAAAGGGCAGAAACGAGGAAGAAGAAATTTCCAACACAAGAGAACGAGCACGAACTACAATCGTGATACCAGGATGCATGGCAAAAGACAGCAATGTGCTCACTGATGTTTTGCTGAGTGCGTTGGCCTCAACTGCAGCAGATCTCGAGTCTACGACTGGAATTTATATACCTTACCCTTATGACCTGTATATACTTCTACATCATCAGCGTTGCGCATTTGTTTTTGGAATATTTGTTTTATATGGAGGCGCCATTCTCCTTTCACGCACAGCATCGGAGTTAACATTAGGGAGGCAATCTTGTACATAGTCGCTAGCAGACGTCTGACAAATGACGTGAGTCGACTGAGCTGTTTCATTATCGCTTATCTGCCCTGTTGCAGATGTGACACGTGGAAGCGTTGTTTTTTATTCTGCCTAGGTGACTGCAGATGTGCCTCGGTTGTGTGCAATACTAGACTCTCATCAGATTACCCAGCAGTCAAAAAATCCCAGCCTCCAGTCTATAAAACACACACACGGAGGACAAGACGCGGTCGTTTCCACATGACATGATCGAGCACCGAATCCTCAATTCCTATGCACCATGAACGCCAGCTTTTGATATGCCAAACGGCAAACACCCGGCTCCAAGCTAGATGACGTGGTGAATGGTATTACAAATGCCCATCGTCCTTCTCTTAAAACGGTCCCATATTTCAAGGGTACAGGGACGCGTACCCGTGTCCATCTGAGTTGATTTGTGGCGCGACCACAGGGTTGATTGGTTGACAGTTTTCTGTTTGTAGATTTATTTCTTGCCCTTCTTCCCCTTGGAAGGTGTGTCCACAAGAACGGCATCATCTTCGCTGGCTCCTTCCCTGACCGAGCTCTTCTCCGACTCGTCCAGCTCTTTCATGAATTCGGACTGGATCTGGCTGCGGCGCTTCTCCCACCACGCCTTTTCGGCGTCCCTTTGGGCTTCGATTTCGTCTAGGGAGGCGCGGAGGCGGCTGTTGGCGGCGATTTCGTGGGCGGATTGGAAGATAGTTGAGCCCCAGTTCGGCGCCACGGCATTAGCCTGAAAGCGACGTGAGCACTCTACTCCGGCTTCACAGGACATGTGTTGACTGGGAGAAAACACGTCTGGCAGTACTTAAAAAAAAAAAAACATACCTCGGTGACGACGTCTCGCAACTCCTCCTCCATCTCCTTCTCGGCACGCTGGAATCTCTGCCACAAATCATCGCCCACGCTGCCGCGCAGAAGCAGAGAGCTACATGCCTGCTTCGCTGACTTTATCTGGATCAAACGACCGATGTCCTCGACAGCGCGCCGTAGAAGGGCGGCTTTTAGCACGCTGTCGGGAACGCGGGGGGTTTTCTGACTGCCGTCTTCGGGTTCCATGTGCAGGAGCGAGAGGTACACGTTGCGCTGGAGATTAGGTCGGAACCACGGAGCCAGGTTGGCGCTTTCGGCTGCGATGGGGTTAGCTATTTCATCAAATTTGGAGGGCTCGAACAGTTGAGCCATAGGGCAGCTTGACATACCGGCCTTTCTCTTGCGGTAACTAGTCGAAAAGGTCATGAGGGCGCCTGCGAGAACCAGCAGGTAGGCAACGGGAAGGGCGAGGCCTACCCAATCGATATCGAACATTGTGGTTATGGTTACGGTATTTCAGGACTGGATATTGGATGTATCGGAGAGCAGAATCAAAGAGTGACAAGCGGTTCCGGGAGGGTCGGGAGAGGGTTTATAGCAATTGTATCGCAGAGTGCCCTGGTGGAAGGGAGCGTGGGTGAGATGGAATCAAGTGGGAGCTGTCCGCGGTGACGGCTGGCAACCAGAGGGATGAATTTGTGGTTGTGCTGAAGCTGAAGTGGACTTGCGCAGCGCCGCTTTAATGGCTGAGACGTTTCTCCGGCAGTCTGTTGGCGTAAGCTCGGCGGGTTGGTGGTATTTGCAATGGCGGCAAGGGCTCTAAGCCTAATTGATATGTCCGCCGAGTACGCAGCGTAGATCTGGCCAGATGGCAGATTCCATACGGAGTACTTCCGTAATGCGGTGTCTTTCGTGGGGGTCGACCGGCCCGATGTTTCTCCAGGACGTTCCCACGGCTGCCAGGCAGGCAATGACGATTGACGCAGATGTCCGCAGAGCTGGGCTCCACTTCAGTCATCGACGTCGATGAGCTTCCACGCCGCTATCCATGATATTTTTCTCGACGTCAAATCACATACATACGCGACCAACGTCGTTGTTTCTCTTGATTACCGTCTGCTATTTATATTCTGAAGCTGGGGTACTATCATCTCTTTCGATCCGCTTGTCCTGTCACCTTTGTTAGCTGTGCATGGGCTCACTTTACTCGAGCACGAGCCCCACCCATCACTTCGCCTGCTGAGTGTTTGGGGAGGTTGACAGCAGCGGAATCAAGACCCGCAAGTAGCTCATCATGCTGCTGCGACTACGAGGGCCGGATGGCATGATACGGTTGACGGTGGAGAATGCCACGACGTTTGGTGAACTAGGAGACCAGGTCGTTACTATGGTCTCTTCGTCTGTTGTTTCAAGTTGCTAATGTGGTGATTATAGCTGCTGCCACACGTTCCGAAGACCGTTGACCCCAAGACCATCACATTATCGAATGCGCCAAATGGAGGCGACGCCAAGGTCCTGTTCGAGATAGCCAAGTTCAAGGTCGGACAAATCGGACTAAAGTAAGCCTACTGATGCTCGACGTCCAGAAGCTCGACAGACCGCGCTGGGCGGGATTGTAACGGGGGATCTAACTCTTTACCTAGGCACGGCGATCTGATTTTCATCAACTACAAACATGCAAACACAACCAACGGTACTACCAATGGCGACGAATCGATCAAGACGACGTCCGGGAGACTCAACGGCAAGCCCGTCCTGCCGACAGAGGATATGCCAATCAATCCCCGAGTAGAGAGAACATCCAAGCCCTGGGAAGTGGTCAAGCAGTCTGCACTAGACGACCGGCTGGACAAGTTGGATGGCAAGATCACCAGAGGCCGTGACAAGATGTGCCGACACGGACCTAAAGGCATGTGCGACTATTGTCAACCTCTGGATCCGTTTGATCCTGGATACCTTGCCGAGAAGAAGATTAAATATCAGTCCTTCCACTCACACCTCAGAAAGATCAATTCGTCAACAAATAAGCCGGAACTCGGCAGCTCTTATATCCCCCCGCTTGTGGAACCGTTTTACCGAGTGAGACGGGATTGTCCTACCGGCCATGCTCCGTGGCCAGAAGGCGTGTGCACAAAGTGCCAACCAAGTGCCATTACCTTGAATCCGCAGCAGTTTCGGATGGTCGACCATGTCGAGTTCGCATCACCGTCCATCGTGGATTCCTTTATTGACGCATGGCGCAAGACCGGGTCCCAGAGGCTCGGTTTCCTTTACGGCCGGTACACAGAATACACAGAAGTTCCGCTGGGTGTCAAGGCTGTTGTAGAGGCCATCTATGAACCGCCCCAGGTAGACGAGCTCGATGGCATAACGCTAAACGCCTGGGGGAATCGGAAAGATGTCGAGCACATAGCCCGGCTATGTGGACTGGAACCTGTCGGTGTCATTTGGACAGATTTGCTGGACGCGGGCCGTGGTGACGGCTCTGTAGTCTGCAAGCGCCACGCCGATTCATACTTTTTGTCCTCGTTGGAAATTTGCTTCTCGTCGAGATTGCAAGCACAGCACCCCAAAGCTTCAAAATGGAGCGACACTGGCATATATGGCTCCAACTTTGTGACTTGCATTGTCACGGGAAATGAACAAGGTGAAATTGGCATCTCTTCATACCAGATGTCGAATGAGGCGGTTGAGATGGTGCGAGCCGACATTGTGGAACCGTCCGCCGACCCGACAGTCATGCTGGTTCGGGATGAAGAGGAAGACGACGGCTCCGTCAGCCGCACACGGTACATTCCCGAGGTGTTTTATCGCAGGGTCAACGAATATGGCGCCAATGTCCAAGAGAACGCCAAACCCTCATTTCCTGTCGAGTACCTCTTTGTCACTCTTACCCACGGCTTCCCCGCGGAGCCCAAGCCAACCTTCACCCAGCTGGGATTCCCCATTGAAAACCGCGAGTACATTGGGCAGTCTCAAGAACATTCCGCACTTGCCAGGGCTCTCAAGTCTTCTTCAGCTCAAAAGTCGAGCAACAACGGGCAAGAGGTTTCCAACTTTCACCTGCTTTGCTTCCTCCACCAAATGGGCATTTTATCCAAGGTTGGTTTTGCCCCCTTTTTTTCTTTTGCAACAAGTCCTAAATTTGCCGCCGTACGCGCAAGTTCACTGACGCTCCTTGCTCCATTTCCAGGATGAGGAAGCACTGCTGTGTCGAGTAGCGAGTCAACATGATCTAGCTGATTATTTCCAACTCGGCTCAACAGAAGGCTGGCAAACCCTCCAGGCCATCCTGCAATCGACTGGTGAGCGACTCCCCAAACGTCGGCGAGATGGCCATGACACCACCTCGGCAGACTCCTCTGCATATGATTTCTCTGCGCGTCATCGTGCGCATGACTCGGGTGAGCCACTTACTAAACGATTTGCTGCCTTCAGGCTGAACGAAAAACGGACGCCGAACCGAGAGGGTCAGTGATGTTGTTTCGGATCGGGTTGATGATGTATAGGGCTACCAAGTTCTCTGGCTGGGAGAGAGGGTTGTCAGTGGATTACGTAGGTAGTAGTCAAGTACATGCGTCACGAGTTTTTGAACGTAATTTCCTCGAGTATCAAGAGTTTCCTGAAGTCATGTCGACAGTGACACGATGACGGCTATCAAAAGCACCCACGTTGCTGTCGCACCCACACCTAGAGAATGTTGTACACTCCTTGTGAGGATCGAGGATCTGAGACGTGCTTTGGTGACGAATGGGACGCCAGAAACGGCTTCTATAGGGTAGTCCACCTGCCAATGCCGGCTTGCTCGTGCACACTCCGTACAGAGCACAAGTTCCTGCTCCGTGCGACACAATGACATAGCACAAGCTCCTTGGCTCCAACATGACGAGAATGTCTGAATTTTCCACGCACAATCACCAGCTTTACAGCAAAGACAGGCAGAGGAAGTGCAAATTACAAACAATTAAAATTGAAAATAAGAATTAAAAAGTACGGCAAAAAACATACAACACTAGGTATTCGCTAGTCGTCACCAACCTAACTACTAATCTAGCGCTCGCCAGATTCTCCTAGAAGATCGGACGGGATACTGCGTCCGGAATGTGAACTCGCCCGACCTTTACCCGAAACGCCTGCCTAGACCCGCTTTTCCCGTCCCCTCCATCCTGCCACCCTCTGATACTGAAGCGCCGGGCAATGGACGAGACCGCACGCTGCCGTTGTAATACACACCCTCATGCTTCATGTTGCCTGTTTTCGACCCTAGCACTCGCATGAAATCCTCAGCCAGGCTCTGGCTCTGAGGGGCGGCGGCGTTAGGCGCCTCCCCCTTCCTCCCCCCTTGGTTTTATCGACAAGTCTTTTTCTACATTGGTCCTGTCGCAGGTCCATGTTAAGTCCGCCCTGGCGTTAATGTGCCGTGTTGGTCAGCCCGTGATATCCCACCTGAGAATGCCTACGTGTACTGTAGGGCCCTATTGCCCCATTGGCCTGATTGAATTTAAGTGACAGACTGACTAGATAAAATAGTCTCTCTCCTCCTTTTATTTGTCCTTGTGCAATTTGCCGTCTATGCTATTTAGTTCTTTGCCCCCTCTTTTTCTTATTTACATATACTGCTACTAAAGCTGCCTTTACTTACTTTATTATTATGCTCTAAGATCTAAAATCTTCTTTTTGCTTTAGCTGCCTAAGTATATATTAGTTTAATAAAAATACTACTAAAGCTATAATATAGAAGTATTAAGAGAAGCTACTTAATAAAGTTTACTACTTTAACTTAAAAATAAAGTAGTATTATAAGAGAATTTAGTAGAACTAGAAATAGTAAGGTATCTCTCTTTTTATCTTTATTTCTAGGCAATAAGTTGTTACAAATTTTATTCTATATAAATTACTGCTTACACTAAAGTTAACTTAGTTAATATCTAGTTTAACTTTTACTTAGGCAAACTAGAAGTTTAAGCTATTTCTAAGAATTTCTTAGATAATACTAGAAGTAGTCTATAATATTATATCTCTGTCTTAGCTTTTAGGAATATAAGAAAGTATATAGAATTAATTGCATATTAATAATAGAAAATATATAGTATTTACTAGAACAGGAAAGATAGAGTTAAACAAGTTTCTCTACACTAGACAGGTACCCAGCGTAAAGTCGCCTCTATGCTAGTATAGAACTAAGAATAAGAATGTATACTATATTATACTATTATACCTACTCTATATAGATATAAAACTCTTAGACTAGCTGTAAAATAATAGAGAGGTTAGGCAAGCTCTAGCCTACTTTAGGCTAGCTGTAAGGCTGACTTAGTAGTTTATTAATATAAGCTAAATAACTTACTACTAATTAATAGCTAAACTAGCTAAAGAATAAAAGGTAAGACTACTTAATAAAATACTAAGAGTAGAATTATAGTAATACTAGCTAGCTGCTAGCCTACTATTATAATAATAGTAAAGTTAAAGAGTTATTAAGTCTATTAAAGTAAGAAAATACTAAACCTATAGTATAGTAGCTAATAATACCTCTAGCAGTAGGCTAAGTTAAGACCATCTTAATACATAATGCTCCACGCACTAAATTTAAATCGGCTGTCCATTTGGAAGACGTGGCTGCAGCTTCTCACTGGCGTTTACTTGAAGTTATATGCGCTGACCCCATGTGAGCGGGCGGTGTGTTTTATGTGTCATCGTGCGACTAGGCAGCAGCGGGCTCGCCCATGGTTCAAGCCTGACGGATATGTAGGCCAATTATAAACGGTATTTAACCGCGTGCACCTCAGGAGCAAATCTGTCAGACAATTGAGGGTCACAAAAGGATCGAGTATAATGGCGCCGTAGGCGCCAATCGTATTGAATGAGAATTACTCCGTATCTGAAGAACAAATGAAAGATGGTAATGAACGCGGTATCTATCTTGTGATCAGCTTCGCCGGATCGGCGAAGCGGTAACAAGGAGTCGTTTCTGATACCTGCAATACCACATCGCGGCATTGCAAAAAGCAACGACTTGCTCCATTTTGAAGTCCTGATATCTGACAAAATCCTCACCCCCGACAGAGACTTCATCAAATTGCGTCGTATGAGAGAAATGTGCACAGTCGCCCCGATCGCAAGGGGGAAAGTATAGCCGAGTTCTCGTCTCGCTCATCTACTATGCCTAACCTCCGCTTGATGCTATGCTGGCCTCGACTGTGATTACTGACTAATTCGGAGGGATAGGTTTGCTAGTGACTGCCCCAATTGGCTCTTATCACTGCCGCGCCTGACTGAAGATATTGCCTCGTTAAAAGCAACAAGATTCGCCAGACTCCGTTGACAAAGCGCACATCATGCGGGTGTCAACCAACTGCATAACCCTGTCTCATGTTACGCTCCTTCTTTGCCAATGAAGACAGGTAGGTGTGGAGAGGTGTAAACCGACGCTGAGTTAGATTACTTCTTCTCGCTGTCTATAAAAAGGGCAAATGGCTCCCATTTAAGCTATCGGCTTTATCAGGTAGTAAGTCGAATTTTTGTGTGGTTTTGTCCGTGCAATATGGTCACGAATATCTGCTACCGTTTCCTCACAGCTTATCAAGTCAAGAGGCTGTATGTGCAACACATTGCTACATCGTCGCCGACTCAGCCGATCATGCTAGAGTCTGCTATCGACTCACCACTGAACCACAAATGCTACGGACAAACTGATTTATTTCAACTGGCTGGGGTTCTTGCAGAAAGAGTGATACTTAATCACCCATACCAGGATGGCAACAAACGAACTGCTCTTTTTGCCGCAGACATGTTTCTAAAGATAAATGGCTACCAGTTACAGAAGAAACCAATGGGCAAAAATGACACAGAACTCAATCAAGGACTTACTAATGCTCATGTTCTCGTCGCAACAAGCCAGTGGACATCAGTGGACCTAGGGAACTACTACGCTAGCGTGGCTAAACCGCTAGAAGACAGAAGCAGGGAGATCAGCGAATACAGCAAGGATGCAGTTGAGTGCTAGCTTGGATGGCCGGTCGACAACCTCAGTATAGTGGCACATCGTTCCCTTCGGTCTAAATGTATTTCAGTGCAAGTGAAAGATCTTTTTTACTTTTGAAACAGTGTTGACATTTGTTGACATTTGGTCAACTATAGTACAGGCAGCCACCAGGTTTGTTCTGATGCTAGGATCATGCAAAAAGCAGGGCCTAGCCCATGCATCATCTATCTCGCAAGAGTTCAGCTACCCCTCGTAATCTTTCATGGCTCTCCCGTGAAGATTCCTCAAAATAATCTACTTGGAATAAGTACTTGGTTATATTATTTCGAACACAAAACAGACTCACGATCGGTCGTGTTATCCAAGGTAATAGAATGTGACGCTCCCCATAGCCAGAGAGTTGCGGGGCTCATGTTGGTTGCGTTCTGTCGTGGAAGGTCTCGCTCAATAACAATACGTGGATATGGTGCCATGGCTTGAAGGAGACTGAATTAGCGTGGTCATTAACGTAAAATGGGATTACACACCATGCGCAAAATGCAGGGTCTCATGGAAGAACATTAAAGGAAGCTTTTCGGGATCAGAAGTAAGGCATATTCCTGTCTGCTTAGTGATGGCTGATTTCATAGCAAGGCCAAATTCTTTATGGAATATAATAAAGGCCTGATGGGGTTCGCCGATGAAAATGTCAAGTTTTTGTGTTTTGAGAGATCCCTTGGCATCAAACGTAATGAGTTCCGCCTTCGCATCATGGAATGCTCTTCGAATTTGGAAAGTTCGATTGTACTGCAATGGCAGTGAATGAAAGGGGCGAAACCGTGGCCTGAGATGAGGGAGCATCCTTCTCGGTGTTCCGAAAGTTGCGTGAGGGTACTCGTCGCCATGAGGCTTGGAGAAGTAAGAGGTGAATCCTGAATTTCCGAGAAGATATGAGGATGACGGATAAATATATATCCGTGACCGACTGACCACTCATTGGTCTCTAGGAGCTAGGCATTTGGGCTGTAACCTCCTCCGTGCTACTAGTAGCAAAATAGCGGAGAGCAAAGACGGGACAAGCGACAATGCATTGGCAAGCCTCTCCCCATCATAGCTCGAGCTAGAAGGAAAGCTGAAGAGAGAATGTAGCAAATCAAGCTCAGCGGCCCACGCAAATTGGCCTGTTCTCATGTTAGAAGCAAACATGTACAAGTCAGGGTACGGCTGCGCACCAAAAATGATCGGGCGCCTTGTTATTGTCTGCCAGAACTCATGCTTGAGGCGATAGTGGTGGTCGTCTTCGGGAGACAACGGGCGACTTGTGCTTCGTTTCAGAAGATGTATGGCCTGACAAACCCATTAACCCTCCCTATTTGCCTTGAATTGAATTGAACTGAGACGGTACTCAACGTGAAACGAGCACATCTCACTTCTTCAGATCCCCAGTTGTCAACCACTCGGTCGAGATTATGCGTTAAATATTGTAGTCGCTCGTCAGGACCGAAAGGCCCCTTCTTTTGTCGCTTGAGCGAGATAGCTGGTTCAATCGCATGGCGCACGGGAGCTGCCGCGTCAAGCTGCCGTCTGACCTCTTTCTCGCTCTCAATTGCTAATGCCAGGTCTGCTTCTGCCTTTTCTGCCCGTGCCTCTGCTTGTCTTGTCGATGTAATCATCCATACCTGATTTCTTTCCAACTCCTCTTTATGTTTTTCCGCCAATGCTTTAGCTTTCTCAGCGTCGTGTCCCCGATACATTCAAATGAATACTTGCGGCCATGGCATACTGGCCGTGATCAAGCATGTTGCTATGAAACAACATAATCGAGTAGTGAACCAACACAACCTACGCTGATGCGGCCATTCCTGCAAACCGCATCACATTGCAGCTGGAAGGGAAGAAGGGAAGAAGGGAAGGAAGGGATACGCAAGGACAAAGAGATGCAGATGCCTAGCACTACCTAACTCATAGGAAATAAGATACAGAATAAAGACGCGGACTAAGTAATAGACTTATTACACACTCTAGTCAAGAAGAGTAAATAATATACATGCGACAAAGGCCTAGGGCTAATACTTCACAGACTAGGATAAGGATTAAAACTAAGTAAGGCGAGTTGGCAATTTTAACGCAATATATGCGCTTTCCCCAGCAGTATAGAGTTCTATCACTATGGTAAATGATTTCTAACCTGCAGAGTGGCGCAGAATATCTTGTCAGGGAGCGGAAGAAAGAGCCTTTCGTTCCTCAAGGCATAAGCAATTTACCCATCATATGATCACGCCAGTGCGTCTCCTGCATTGTCACGCCACTACATCTTCTGTATTGTCACGCCAGCGCGTCTCCTGCATTGTCACGCCAGTGCGTCTCCTGCATTGTCGTGCGAGTGTGGTGCGTCCTCTACTATCAAGATATTTTAGCATCTTGATTGACGTGGTCCACCGCCTAAGAAACTACTTGATACCTTGGGCGTACACGAGCGTATAGACAGTCGTTATAATTATCTTTCTAACCCGTATATCTTCTTATTAAGAAGATTCCCTGAAGTAAGTATCCTGCACTGATAGCCACGGATTAGGCATTCGCCGCCAAGCCCTTCCTTGGCCCCTTAGTTAAAAGGCGAGGAGTGCGGGATGACAGGCTCCTCTGCGTGCGGCACATACGCCAAATATGATATGTTATATCCAAGGTGGTGACGAAGGAGAGCTGCAGTTCTCACCCCCCTCACCAATGGCTCCTTTGCGTGATAACGGCAGTACTGCGTAGGTCGCTCGCCTATGCAAAACCACCAACCCAATCGCGTCGCTCACGCTGTTTACTCATGGCCAGTCGGCACCAAGACTGCTATTGGTTAGCAAGATTGTCGATGATATGCAGCATTGCCATGGTCACAATACTATATAGCCGTCAAAGCTCCCACATGTCTTCAGTGTGGTGAGTCATGGTCTATCGTGCAATATCAAGTCAGAAACATTAATCCGCTTATCCGTCTACCTTGATGTTATTATTATAAAAATGTGGCTGTCTATCTATTTTATACTGTTTTCCATCCTTGAGCTTGGCTTTTGCCAAAGTGACAAGGTCGGATATCCAGCAGATACATTAAAAGTGACTAAATGTTTCCCTAAATTGTGTGTGAATCAGACTAGCATGACTCCTCACTTAGCTTGGACTGAGTTCCCCATTTATGTCTCAACGCCTCGGAATTATACCGGCGGGTTCCCCGGACGTCTTCGACTCGTGTTTCAACTGACTGGAGGTCAGGCAAGGTAAGAGCGACGCTCTCGGGTGCCGAGTCCGCGCTGCATACATAGCCTTGTTCTAATAGTTTGCCTACAGGTTTTGTGGGTTGATGGTTCATGTCTCCCCTGCCAAGGGAAAAAATGATTTGGTTATGTTCCTTTCCGGGGCAAGCTCCGTGGCTTGTATCCAACAGGACCTAAGCAGGAGGTTGAAAGCGCCGCGTTTCGAGGTACCATGTTCCATTGGGAGGTCCTAGGGTTGACTCCGGAATATGCGGTCGCACAGCACGGTCATTGCAGGTAGCTTAGCTTAACAAAATCTCTTGATTTCCTACATAGAGAGTGGAAGCCTGCAGAAACTCAATACTTGTTGAAATACTCGTTGTAATAACTGCTGCCCAACGATATAGCTGTGGCCTTGAAGGAGCGACTTCGTCTTGACATAGACCGTGACCGGCGGAAAACGACGTGGTTGGACAAATTATTCTGCAATTCAGGGTTAACCGCAAAATGAGTAGTTCTTTTGGGATAAGAACATCGCCACGGCCGACCTTCTATACGCGGCCCCAACCCTGTTCTTTATGTTGAACCGGACTCGTCTGGGTATCCTTCACTCTAGATTGAACCAAGGGCCTCTGTCGTCTGAGACCCAACACCAGACGCTGCCATTGCTCGATGCGAACCACTTTAGAAATTGATAGAGACCAGGGCCAAGTAGACGAGTTAAACAAGTAATTGCCCAGGTGTATGACGACAGAAGCCCGCTAACGGTCGGCCGAGCTTAAACTCCCGTGGAGAACTCCATACAACGACCATCGTCTCCTTCCATCCACAACTCCACCACACTATCCGGCGCAAAAGATGGCAGTAACTATAAATGCCGTGCATCAGCAGGCGGCTAGCAGTAACATATCGTTGTTAACCACAGAATACCCCCTTCCTTCCTAAAGGCACCCTCTCAATCAGCCATATATAGCAAGCCGTAAGATCTCCTTGACCAACAACAAACGACCTTGTTCCTCACTCTACCTAGCTTTATTTCTCGTCAATCAAGTTAGGTCGCGTCTGTACGTCACTTTCAAATAAGTTCTCGATTTGACATGTGACTGCCTTTCCTGCACTCTTGAAATAGACTGGAAAGTAGGCACCCCCAGCACCCAGAAAGCTGAGAATAATAGAAGCATCATCATTCCAAAAGGACTTCATGAAGAAGTCAACCTGCTGCTGGGGGGCTGTTATCGACACGTCGCAAACCCCAAAAGCGTGTGCGTCTTCACCGACATCTGGGTGAACACCCACATTAGCCACCCACTTGTTTGTATCCTTTTGATGAATTTTGACGTAAACGTCATCTTCTTGTTGCTATTGTTGTTTTGCTTCTCTAATTTCACATAGTATTCCCGGTGGTGCGGTAATGTACATCTCGTACTTTTGTGTGTCGCGGGGAAGGGCGCCGAAGAACACAGTTCCGTCTATGCGCTGGAACTTGGCGAGCCACGCAAACGCGTTGCTGAGATTCTTTGCGGCCTTGCGTTCCTCGTCGGTTTTTGCAACTTTCCGCAACATCTCGGCCATGTTTGTAAGCGCAAGCCGCACCGGGGCTAGGGTCGTCTCGTTCGTGATGCTCTTTGCCCACGCATTATAATCATCACTATCCTGGGGGCGGCGTTCCGACACGGCGGCTAGCCCTTGGTCGCCGCCCTTGACATATGCATCGACTTTTCGACTGTTGCGGTAAGATTCATATTCTTTGTTTTTCTTCGCTCCCGCCTCGATGCTTGCGACTCCACTGAACTCGGCTTTTAGATTCGTCTCGAAGCTTTCCTTGCTCTCACACTTTTCCTTGCCAATCTCGACCTTGGCCGAGAATCGCGCTCCGAAATGACAGTGTGTAATGAGATGGGTTCCCCAACTGTCGAAGAACTCCATGTACTTGTCGTACGTGTCTTTGTCGGGTCTGTAGGTACCATCATTCCAGGCCTTCCATTCAGGTAATGTCGCAGCGTCTGCTAGCAACTGGGGGTCCACGTTACTTTTATTCCTGATAGTAGCTTTCTGCAAGGTGAGAGTAAACGAGCTATACTCGAAGCCGAAAAACCCGTAGTAGTTGCTTTGGCTCAAGCTTGTGCCAAAGCTGTATGAGGCAGAAGCGTCTAGACTGACTCCTGAATAGCTGCCGCTTGCCGAAGCGTTCACCGACCACGAGTTGCTGATGGTATGTCCGCTGTCCACTACCAGCACGCTGGAAGAGCTGTTATTCAAGACGGTGCAGTTGACGTCGTTGGGAATCGTTATCTTTTTGTCGTTGTTCGCTTGGACTATCTTTGTTGACTTGCTAATGGAGATGACGCGGGTTGTATCGCTGAGTAACGATCCAACATCAAACGGCCCGTTGCCTACTTATGTATTAAAGATCAAGAGCACGCAGGAAGGTTTAGTGACATATTCCGTACCAAGGCTGGGTAGAATATTAACCGACTGCCCGAGAAGCTGCGAATTGGTGAAAACAGGTTGGTCTTCGCCAGACATGATGAGGTTCTGAGATTGCACGACGGTAAGATAAAAGAGGTACTGAGGTGTTGTTTCTTTTGATTGCCATGTAGGCTTACTGAACTTAAGGAGACGGGGAGACTTTATAGTCCGCGCTTAGTAGCAGTCTAGCTTGCCAAAAGGCAGTTGTCTCGGTTAGACTGTTATCTATATTATTGTCTAAAATATTAGAAATGTAACTCAAGATAAAATCAAATTTCTAGTTTCCAGCCACAGTCTGACACGAAGCCACGGTAAAGTTTTTATTCATTTGGGTTGCCTCACCCACAGCTCATGGTCGGAGCTTTGTGGGGGAGCACCGCATGAATTTCCCAGTATAGCTTGCTCGTCAGCATAACGTACTTTGCTTTTATCTTTGGACAACCCTGTCTAATGCGGTGCTGCACCCGAGGGCCGCACGGCACCTGATGTAACACCGTTGCCCGTCACGGGACGCTCCAATTGAATGTAGCTGGCTAAATCCTAACTCCGCAGAAGTGCGAGTACTAGAATTTCTGTATGCTGACATAGCCTACTAAGAACGTGCATAAAGCATTGTCAGTGCTATGCGTTGAGTTTTATGTCGGGGACTATCCGGTCACTTGTCGGACCTAGACAAGTGTCGCACGGCAACGGCATGCCTACGCGCCCTAGCATACCCACCTAGGGCTAATAGACACGCACGTGCATGGAATTAAGTTAATGCGCACCTAATGCGTAGAGCTAAGCGTACTTATTTAAAGAGTATATATAATTCTCTCTTTTGTAGATTAATTTAAAGCTTTTAACTATTATTTAAGTAATATCTAGCTTAGTGCTACTGCTATTATATAATAGTTATAAGCCTAGAAGGTGTTAATTAACTTCTATAACTTCTACTTGTATATTAAGTATTCTTTATATATATTATATACTTATTATTTTGTTCTAAGCTAACTATAAACTAATTTACTAAGCTAACTATACTAGTAGGCGCTATTATAGTGCTAGTAAAGCTTCTTTATTTCTCTATAAATTAAAAGAATTAGTATAATATAATATATAATTATTATAAAATATAGAAGATTTAGAACTATATAGACTTTAATTAACGAGAGTAGAAGTTTAATAGTTTTCTTAAGCTTAAGCGCTTAATAATAGTAAAAGCTAAGGTTCTTTATAAAGTATATTATTACTTTAATTTAACTTATATAGTTACTAAGGTATATAACTAAATACAAAAGAACTATAAGTATTAGTATGCTAATATGCTAACTAGCTATATAAAGATAAAAGTATAATTTATATATATACTTAGTTTGCTATTTTAATTAAACTAAGTATATATTAAGTAACTATAGTTAAGCTAGAGAGAATAAATTCTAAATTTACTCTTAAGCAGCTAGTTAAGGCGCTAAAAGTATAGCTTGCTTTAAATAATTTAAGTATTTATATAGAAGCTTATAGAGCTTATAGAGTAGTTCTTAAAGATGCTTAATATATAAATTAAAATTCTAAGAATTAGTATCTCTAATAAAGTAAGGCCTTTACTTATACTACTATAGAAAATATTACTAAGATCTAGAGTATTATTACTATTTATAATTTCCTTAAAGCAGCTAGATCTTACTATAATTCTAGCTAGGCTAAAACTTTAATTAATATAATAAAAAACAATAAAAGTATTAAAATACTAAAGACTTATATACTTAGAGATTTTAGCAATATATTTAATAGCTACTTTACTTAGAATAAGTATAGTAAGTTAAAAGCTAAGAGTATTTATACTACTTTAGGTAAATACTTAAATTATAAAGATAATAAGAATAATACTAATAATAATACTTAAGGTAATAGTAGTAATAATTAGAATAATACTTAAAATAATATAAAGAAGAAGAGGTATTTTTATATACCTAAGAATTTCTCTCTTCTCTATCTTTAAAGCACTTAAAAATATAGAAAATTATACTATATACTTATAGAAGACTAGAGTCTTAAACTTTATATATACTTAACTAAGAAAGAAATTATATAGATAAAGAACTACTATAATAGTAATAAATAAAAGGACTTATACTTAAAGCTATTAGCAGAAGGTATAGAACTAAGCTTATAAAATAACTAGAGCTTTAATAAGAAACTATACTCTTTTAATAAGAGATTTAATAGCACTATTATAAATCTCTAAATTACTTAATTTTATAGGCAATACTTTAGAATCTATATAGCGCTTAGATAAGCTAAATATTTACTCTTCTTAAGCATACTATTAAATAACTATAGTGCTATATATTTTATTAATAATATTAATCTACTTAAGCTAAGCTTATTTAGAGAGATAATAGAAGAATATATAGAGGTAGAAGTAATAAGCTATTTAATTATTAAAAGAGGTATATATATACTTAGAAAGATTCTATATAGTAATAATAGTACTAAAATAGTAGACTTTACTCTTAGCAATATAGCTTTTATTAAGAACTTCTATATTAATATTATCTTAGTAGATCTTCTATATAGAAAGAAAGCTTAGCTTTATAGTTATAATTATATACTATACTATAAACTATTAGAAAGAAGTATAGTACTAGCTTAGCTAGTTAGAAAGTTCAGCTTAATTTTCCTTAAATATAAGCCTCTTAATAACTATATAAAGAACTCTTAAGAAAATACTATAATTTTAAGCTCTTCTACTATTATTACTATAAGTAGTTACACTTAAAATATATATATATAAAGCTCTTAGCGCTAGAGGCCTAGTAAGAACTCTTTAAAGCTAAGAGAAAATACCCTTAAATTATAGTATTTATAAGCTAGCTATCTTAGTAAAGCTGCGCTTAAGAAGCTCTACTTAAATACTAGAAATATATATATAAAGAGAATTAAGCATAAAGACTATAATATCTATACTTAAGTGCTTATATACTAAGTTATATCTAGGCGCTCTAGAGAGTATATATTACTATATTTATTTTAGTATATATATTAAGACCTTTAAGATTACTTACCTAGTTATAATAGCATAAATTAGCTTTTAGTATTTAAGAATAAATACTTTAAGATAATATAAGTATATCTACTTCTTAATAAAGCATAGAAAATAGTATTTAATATACTCTTTTACTATAAGCACTAAGTTATATAGTAATTTAAGCTATTAATATATAAGTTTATATAAAATAATAAAAGTACTATAATTTAGTAAGTAGGTAAATTTATATTTTAACGCTAGGTATATATATAAGGAATTAAGCTTAAAAACTCTCTCTTTTATATATATAAATTTAATAGTAGTATTAAAAGAGCAGGCTAATTAATTATACTATACTTAAATAAAATACTTATAAGTATAGGCCTACCTATAAACTTATAGTTAGAGAGTATATAAGCTATAGTATATCTTTATAATATAAGCTTTTACTAAACTACTAGTTAGAAATTACTATAGTAAACTCTAAATACCTAGTTTTATAATAATACTTAATTGCTAATAAGAGAGTATATAGTAGACTTAAGACTTAATTAAAATAAAGTCTATATATATAGCTGCTATATATATCTACTTAAAAGAGATTATAAGGCAGGCTATAATAAATAGTACTATAAAATAAGCTCTAGAGGCTATATTAAGTATTTAGTTAAATACTCTGCCTTTAATATATACTAAATATAAATCTCTTGCTTTAATAAAGTTATAATAATAAGAAATATAATATTTAATAAGTTTATTTTCTATAATATATATATAGAAAGTATAGTTAAGCTTTCTATAATAAAATTAAAAGCTTAATTTATAGCTCTTTAAATTAATAATATACTAGAAATAAAGAAGTAAACTACTTACTTTTCTTTACAGAAGACAATACTATAGTAGAACTTAATATATATTCTACCTTAGAGGTAGAAGCTTAGATAATCTCTAAAGATAAAGAACTAAGTATAGTAAAGTAAGAAATATATATAGAACTTTCTACTTTATATTAAACGCTTAATTATATATTTAATATAGATAATAATACTAGTAGTAAGCCTAAGCAGCTAACTAGTATACTATAAGCTTAACTAAGCATTAAGTTATAACCTTCTTAGATATAAATACTAGCTTAGACTAAAGATAAGACTTAAGTAATCTTGCTAACTAATATATAATAAGAGCAGAGTATATTAGCACTAGAGGCTTACTAAGCGCTAAATAAGTTAGCTACTTACTTAAATATATAGTAGAGAGCTTAAGTCTTAATAGAGGTATTTGCTGTTAAGAACTATAGAATAAAGAGCTTATAAAGCATAGAAGCTTTATACTATAGCGCAAGGCAAGCTAGAAAAAAGCGCTAAGATTAAAGTGCTTTATATAGAAGATATTTTAATATATATTTAATATAATATTTATAGCAGCTACTAGAGAATATTCTGCTTAATTAGTAGAATATAAATACAAAAGCTATATAGAGCTTTATAATAGTATATATAGTAATTAATATAATATATAATAAGGAAAATAGAGCTTAGCTCTAGTAATAGCTTAATTTAGAGAAGCTTTACTTAACTAATCTAGTTAAAGTACTTAAGTTCTAGAAGAAGATATAAAACTACTTATTAAAAGCTTAATAAAAGAAAGCAATATTTATAGAGGTTACTATACTATATAATAAAAGCACTTAGAAGGAAATTAAGTATATAAATATTTAGTTTAGGCTGATAATAAGTATATAATACTAGTAATATATAAGCTCTTTAATAGTTATAAAGTACTAGGGAAGTATATTTAATTACTTAAAGCTTTATATAAGCTAAGAGACTTACTAAGCTTATAGTTTAAAGAGCTAAGTATAACTCTTAAGAGAGCTAGGCTTAATTTAAGTAAAGAAGAGCTATATATCTTCTTTAATAAAGCTTAGAATATTTATTTAATATTCTTTATAGATAATACTATACTTACTTTTTATAAGAGAAGAGAAGTAAAGTAAGTAGTAAATTATATAGTTTAGTGCTTAAAGTAAGTATATAATTTAAAAGAG